CAGCAGCAGCAGCAGCAGCAGCAGCAGCAGCAGCAGCAGCAGCAGCAGCAGCAGCAGCAGCAGCAGCAGCAGCAGCAGCAGCAGCAGCAGCAGCAGCAGCAGCAGCAGCAGCAGCAGCAGCAGCAGCAGCAGCAGCAGCAGCAGCAGCAGCAGCAGCAGCAGCAGCAGCAGCAGCAGCAGCAGCAGCAGCAGCAGCAGCAGCAGCAGCAGCAGCAGCAGCAGCAGCAGCAGCAGCAGCAGCAGCAGCAGCAGCAGCAGCAGCAGCAGCAGCAGCAGCAGCAGCAGCAGCAGCAGCAGCAGCAGCAGCAGCAGCAGCAGCAGCAGCAGCAGCAGCAGCAGCAGCAGCAGCAGCAGCAGCAGCAGCAGCAGCAGCAGCAGCAGCAGCAGCAGTCGCAGCAGTCGTCGCAACAACAGCATCAACATCAACAACAACACCAACTGCCGGTGGAACAACTGCCAATACAGCAGCGCGGCTATTATCCATCCCCGCTCCACACTGACAACGGTCTCGATAACGACGAGACTGAAAATGCTCAATCCCACCAAAAACAAAAGCTCCCCGACGTTCGTGGAATCGATGTTAATCACTTGCCTAATATTAACAAATGCCCACTAGACGATAACTTTAGTCTAGATTGTAACATAAATAATGGTTCCCCTAAAGAATTAAATACCAACAACACTAGTGATAACGAAAATACTGCCCTATTGCCCCCTTCGCATTTTCCTGAGTACAAGCATTGATAATTATTAATCGATGACAGATAGTGTCCATAAAACATAGTGGTGTGATTTAATCTTGAACTCGCATTTTATACTGAATAGTGTAAATAACGATAAACTATTGATCGCAACATCAAGAACAACAAGAACAACAGCAAACAGGTATTAAATTATAATGAATTAAAATAATCTATATGAAATGTTTATTAATAAACATTAGTAAAGCGATTTACTCAAAGAAACGAGTGTCTGTTATTTCTATATTCCCAAAGTAACGCGCTTCCTCACGATACTCGAATAATCCCGCGCTACGTTTCAAAGAGTCTCGCATCGATTCGAGAGTACTATGACGCAACGACATGTTCGATACATCGCGCATTCGATACGACACACGTTCAAAGCGCGCCAAATCCTTACCAAGTCGTTCTAACCCCGATCGCGCATATCGATCAAACTGACTCTCCTTTAAACCTTACATCCCCCGATATTATTTATATATCATACTTAATTACTTATATATAATGCGTTTTCTCTTTTACCTTTTCTTCCCATGTTCGTTCGTTTAAAATCAAACCTAACTACCAGTTTCCTTCAAAACCTTATACATATCATTTTTAACTTACCTTCGATTGCAACTGCACTCTCCATCAAACTCTGCGTCCAAAGTTTCGTACCAAAGTTTAATCCTGCTGTAGTTGTTTAATAATCCCAGGTGGCGTTCTTCGACGTATACAACAAACTTCATAGCCTTCGTAATACCGATTCAATTTACCTAACGATTACAACTCGAACCATGTACCCTGTATAGTGTACAAAATATTCATATTTTCGTCCTAATAATATATTTTAAAGTAAAAATAAAAACAGTATTTCCATTCTTATCCATTTGATAAATTACTTTTATATCGTACTTACATCGTAAGCTTGAAAAATTTGCTTCAATGTATCTTAGAACATTGTTAACCACTAATTTTAAACCATAAATTTTAACGATACATCACTATGTCTGTTTCAATAATCGAATTTCCCCCAACGAGATACTGCTCTGAAGTTAGTAAACGCAGAACGAATGGTTATGTAGGTGCAATGTGAATGGTGTTGGAGTCGATTCATTAGTAACACTAACAGAGGTAATACTTTCTCGAGTTGCATCGTAGCTGGAGATAAAATTCAGTTGGGATTACGATCATCTATCTTCGTTTGCTTGATTGTGAGTCAAAATTCGAAGACGTTGCGGTCGATGATAAGCAGTACGAAAAAAACAATCAACGGAATTCATCGACGTTACATGTATTTCGGACGGAAACAACGAAACATGCCACCGATACGTTTGTGAATTAACTGCACGATTCATGCAGATTCTTCGTTTAGTTATTAAAGATGTACGTCATCGAAGTCTGAGCCTCACCGTACGATGCAGTCCATTTATTGGACCGGGAGATTGCTGTCTCGGGCGATATGGAGTGGTATATCAAATTATACGGCATGTGCCGATCCCAATGTGAATAAACGTCGTGAAGCATCCTTCATTTCGGCTGTATGTGGTTTTCCCAAAGATTTTGCACGAGGACGTATGCGTAAAGGACAGTTTGGTGATGACGCTTGGTTCAGTGCCAAATTCAAGACTGTTGAAGTAATAGGTAATGTCAGTCTACTTGAGTCGACAAAAGATCGTCGAGCTTATCTCGGTGCATTTACATATGACTGATAATAAGCGAGATTCGTGAAAATCGGACATCCCGTATCTTTCATCCTCTTCACGAGATCAGTTTGCATTCAAAGAATTTCTGATCAACTAATTGTGAAATGTGATTATGAAAAACACAAAGCAGTTTTTCTATTAGACGAATCAATGTTTTTTTTTTCTTATTCTTTAGGTGTAGCTGATGGTGTGGGTGGATGGCGACATTACGGTATAGATCCAGGAGAATTTTCTAGCTTTTTAATGAGAACTTGTGAAAGACTGGTCTCCATGGGCAGGTTCACACCTTCAGAACCCGCTAGATTATTAGCAAATAGTTACTATGAATTATTAGAAAATAAACAACCCATATTAGGTATAAGAAACAGTCTATTGTTTGTAGCTTTATGAATCTTTGAGAACTTTTTAATGTAAAAGAAACAAATTAATTGTACGATTGTTGCAGGTAGCAGTACTGCGTGTGTTATAGTCCTTAATAAAGAGACGAGTAGCATTTATGCAGCTAATATCGGTGATAGCGGTTTTGTAGTTGTAAGGAAAGGAGAAGTAGTACATCGTTCTTCCGAACAACAACATTACTTTAATACTCCATTTCAATTGTCTCTTCCACCTCCAGGACATTCTGGTCTGGTACTTCGCGACAGGTATTATGTTTTGTATAAACAAAAATGATTAAATGATGAACATTTCATAAATTACACAAAATATCTCATTGATGTTATATCCCTGATGTGACTCTAGCCCAGAATCTGCGGATACCTCGAGTTTTGGAGTTGAAGACGGCGATGTAATTCTTCTAGCAACGGATGGAGTTTTTGATAATGTGCCTGATCAATTACTTATTACTGAAATGCGTAAAATTCAAGGGGAAAGAGATCCTACCAAGATACAAGGTGTCGCTAACTCGATAGCGTGGATGGCTCGTAGTTTAGCATTTGACGGCGCATTTATGTCTCCGTTTGCCCAGAGTGCTAGAGAGAATGGAATTGACACTATAGGTAAGTAAATAACTCTTTCTTAAAATTCTTAAAATTCGGAATCAAATGATTTGTATCGGTTTCGCTTATATTTACCGTCGCGTCAAAAATCAGTCGACATTTTGATTCTTTTTATTTACAATATACACAGTTTATAATAAAAAATATATTCCATTTATTTATAGTATACATTTTACAAATATTGTTAACATAGCCCCTTGATTTATTTGTTTCAAGTATGAGAGGTATGAACAGTGTCAAAAAGAAAAAGTAACGAAAAGAAGAAACAAAATCATGGAATAGATCTTATAACTGATTCTTTAAAACAGAATAACTACTTCATTTTACGAATAACTCAAACAAATTGTAATATTCATTTACATCAACGCTTTAATTTTGTATTTTCCAGGCGGTAAACCAGATGACATTACAGTGCTTTTAGCGACGGTGGCAATATAATAAAGTATGTACAATAGAACCTTGATCATTGTATTATAGTCCATGTCATTGCGTATGTGTACCTAGTTTTACATCATTATATCCCGTTATGATAATCATTTGCTATTTAAATAAATGGTTTTGTAAATCATTCTGTACCATGATTAATTTTTTTTTCTTTAAGTAACCATCGTGAAAAAATAAACAATTAAAACAGAGTAGATTATTTTGTCTGCTATCAGATTATATGGAGACAAATTTTCTGTCGAAATATGTTCAAATAAGTAGGTCCTCGTTACTAACAGTCAGGATATCTTTCATATGCCACAGTAACATACATAATTATACATACAACACTGTAATGCTTTATAAGTAAAAAACGTTATCTGTTTATATTGCACACTCAACAAACTAGTATAGATATAAACATTTGTGACTAATTGCAAAATATGTCCAAAACTTGATCCGAAATTAAATAAATGCATTAAACCCTTTATGGAAAAAAAATACGTAATTTATATAGCAATAATATTAAATTAAATCAAACCGTTTTATTCCATTGCGTGTTCATATAAATAACATTTTTATCTAATATTTACAAAACGACTATTATCCGATTAAATTCTTAAGGCTTTAACGACTTGGATTAAAATGTAGTTAAAATTGCAGAAGATCCTTATATAATCTATGTCCTTCCGAAGAAACGCATTGATTAACGGTTAATCGATAATAAAAATTACGATAGAAATTGTATAATGTGAGTTCCAAGATGTAATTAAAATACAACATCTTTCAAATAAAAATAAGCATGTTCGGTATTGTCATTATCTTGTAAATAATCATTGTTTTTCAAAAGAGCACAACTTATATTTGGAAATTCCTAACAGTTTTAACTAATATCTAGTAAGTCATAAATAGTCAATCAATTGAAATTTTTTTTATAATGCTTTGGCTTTTTCCTGACATACACTTTGTCGCAGTAAGTTCAACAAATATATTGATCTAGTATATGATAGAATGCAATCATTTGATCAATAAAGTGAATACATCACAGTACAATATATAACATGATATCCTAAAGTTAACAAACGTTTGAGATAAATCCTATTATACGTAAATCTAAAAATGATACTCATCATAATATTGATAAGAAACTTAAAAAAAAAAACTTTATTGTGCTTACAAACAATGCGCTAAATTAAGTATATTCATTTTGAAATATTTTGTATCAACCTGGTACGTCTCGTAACGCGTTAATTTTCGATTCTAATTCATACTCAGGAACTACATATGTAAAAAGGACAGAAAATACCGTTCTATATTTCATTAAACGTTCTCTAAATTCCTTAAGCTTATAGATGTATTTTGTAATATTACTTTTATCAAAAAATGCCCATAAAAACATAACTGTGATGTATTCTACTATTTACAATATTACGCATTTTTAAGCGTGGTATAAAACGTATTATTATGTAACTAAAAAATCTAAGAATAAATAGAAATATTTACATCACTCAACTGTACGAAATTCTTATAGTAAAATCTTTTGAAATTAGGGGCTTCAATTTTATATTTTTATAGACAGCAAAAATAGTACTTTTTATTTTATGATCAATTCAGAAATGTAAAAATCACAACATTATTTGTGTTTAGTTAAAACTAGGTACCGAATGAAACACGATGTTACAATGAAACTTTATGAAGGAAACGTGTAATAAGACAATTTAAATTACTTTTATATGTATATTTTAAATTTTGTACTTCATAGAAGTTTTTTAAATTATATGCATTACAATTTCTGAAAATAAATACAAACGAATATTTCAAAACATTTTCTTTGTTTTAACAATTACGTTTTTAGTACGAAACAATTTTTGTATTCTTTTCTAAAAAATTGTGAATATTAACAATGTATCACAATATTCGATTTTTAAGAAGTACTATTTTCATTTATAATTAGTGGTATGTCACTTATACAATATACTGAAAAACATGTAACTACTTTGCATAATACCAAAGTTTTTTGCATGAAAAATTGTAACCCCTGTTAAAGTTGGAAGTCTTATCTTTTTATAAGTTCCTTGTAAGATGATGCAGAATATCATGGACTTTGATCGTATAGTACTGTTGTCAGTAACTGGGAAAATCAAGGACCAGCATTGCACATGTTGCAATGTAAATGTTTACTTGATATGCCAATTGGTAGATGTTTTGGAAGCAGAACCTCAGATTTAGAATTATTGCACATTGGCTTCTTGTCCCCAATTAAATCCACCAGGCCGATCTTCGGGTGGTGGAGTATAATCTGGATCTTCTGGATGTGCGTCAAATAAAGTCTTACTGTGAATAGAAAATACATGAAAAATTTGTTATTATGGCATATAGTTCATTATTTCTTCATTGAAATAACTTACAGTATTTGTGGAGTCTTAAGAATACGAAAACCTCCTCTTAAACGTGGAAATACATCTTCTATAAAATAATACATATGTCCTATGGCCATACCAACAAGATCAACCCATATTGTATTGCCAAGAAGAACAGAAAACCCAAGAAGTACCCAAGGTAAATATGGTGCCTACATAATAAAACATATTTGAATACAATTTATCATACTCGCACAATGTAAAAGAACATGGAAACAACTTACTTGAAAGTTTAGAAGTCCAAAGAAGTTTAGTCTGACAAATGGATTTCTTCGTGACCAAACATAGACTAACATAATTGTAAATGCATGGCCCAAAAATAACAAATTAACAAAAAATGCAAATGTCTATAGTAAGTTCAGAATTCTTGTGTTTAAGAAGGTATATTGAATATTTGCAATTAATACAAAAAAAGTATTAAAAAAACATTAAAAGGATACAATCATACATATGCCCCCAAAAATGAACATCATTACAAAATCAGCTGTTCTTCTGCGAAATGATCCTTCTTCCAACATTCGACAATATCGATATGTAAAGATCATGTTGAAAAGGAAATTGAAACCCATGTTTCCAAAAAATAGAAATGTTGTTATTAATCTCCATAGCTAAAAAAACGTACATTACAGTAATAAGTATTAAATCAAACTAAGGCTTGCTGTTTAATAATTTATTATAAGATTTAATATTTGTTTACCTGATATTGTTCAATTATTAATGTAGGATTAAAATACAATCGAAATGGAGACACCAAATCTAATTGCTAGAATTGAAAAATAAAAATAACCTTGTGGTTAAGTTTTGCGGATAAGATTTTATACACGTGGAACAATACCATGAGAAGGGTATTTTACAAACCACTGCAAGAGTTGTGATGACACAAGCTGTTGTATAAGCTCGTGTCACCACAGGTATTTGCATGTACTCCTGCCGGAAAGTTTGATAGGCCATTGGTGTATTGTTATGATCTTCTGTACACCTAAAGACCAATATTTTTTCCAGATTCTTCGGTTTTGTTATTTATCATCACATGTTGTTCGTTACTATGCGTTATCTACATTTAATCACTAACCACATCACGACAAAATTGTTATGTTCAGTTTTGTACACGTAATACATGAACTTGTCGCAGTCGAACGACGTGAATCTCGATTTTGCGTCGTTATCGATAATGATTTCGTGGCCTTTTTGTATTCATGAAAACTTACGTAATTAGTAGTATTCATAAAAATTTAAAAACACTTACGTAAAAATACAAATTTATATTAACTGCATATTCATAACTATTGTTGATACATACATGTTATTTTTAATTGTTCATGTACATCAATTACTGACCTTTCCTATTTGCGACGTTAAAAACAAAAATATACTTCAATAATGTGTATTTTACTGTTAATAATATTTTAATTAACATATATTTTACACATACTGTATAAAGCTTATATTCCGATTTATTTACAGTTACTACATTTTTTAAAGAAGTATGACTGCTCGATTAATAGCGTCAATATTTCGAGAGAACTTGTTGTACATCATACAAAATTATATACTTTCAATCATTCCAAATAATGAATCTTTATTTATAATACAAAATAAATTTTAATTTTCACAATTCAAATTAATGTTTAATCAGATGGCAGTAGTGTGCTGCCATCTAAATATCTGTCAAGATTTCAAAATAGTTTATTAAACTTTAGGAGCGAGGTTATTTTTCATTTGTTAATTGAAATGTTGGAGTAAGAATAAACTCGAATACGTGAGCCGGTTGACTAATTATTCTGTCATAATTTTTACCTTATGTGAGAGAAGATAAGACATTGTTTGTTTAAACTATTTAGCGAAATGTCATCAAAAACAGAGGTTACATTAGAACATTTTTATATATTTAATGGAACATATGCAAAAAAAGAAGGAGAAGTAAGTGCCTCAAAATTTATACAATGTATGATATTAATAAATTATATATCTTTATCTACAGGAGGAAAAGAAAATTCTTTATTATTATCCTGAAAGAGATTTAGATGTTCAAATTAAGAACATAGGACTTAGTGAAGCAATTATTAAATTTGCACAGTATGTTTAGTTATATAAAATTTTTATAAAACCATTTACTAAATATTTGTGTTTAAGTTGCAATATTATGTTGATCTATTTAAATCATTAGGTCTTTTAATCCTGGACAACCCTGTGACTACTGTCACACACACAAAACTCGTCAAATATATTATCAACCAGAACCAAATTTTTGGATGGTAATGGTAAGCTTATTATTGCAATTAAACTAACAAACATAATACTCAAATAATCTTGAGATTCTTTAAAAGAACAAACATTTAATAGAATTTAATATATTTCTAATTATTTATAGATTGTTGGAGTACCATATATATGTAAAGAAAAAGATGGTGTCAGATATGTAGAATATCAAAATGATGAAGTTTCTAGTAGCATTTGTCAATCAATATTAAAACAAGCATATGTTATGTTCAGATTATTCATGGGTTCTTTTGACACTATTATTAATGAGCCTGAATGTGGAGGTATAACATTATTAAAACATACACTTGAACATTTTTATTCTAGGGTAATTATATGTATATTTCTTAAAACGTAAATTATAAATTTTCTTAACATGTTCATTCTTATGTTACATATTTTTCACAGTATTTACTATCTCTAAAGTTAAATAACAGTGATATTTTGGATGTTTTCCAAGGATTACAATTTTTACCTCTTGATAAAATAACATTTTTAAGGGTTCAATGCTTTATGAATCTTGTAGAAGCTATGTTTTCTCAAGTAAAATATACAGCATTCCTTTATAATGATCAAGTTGTATGGTTAGTAAAGTTGTAGTTATTATATTAACATGCTATATAGTAATTAGATAAATAACTTTATATTATTATTTAGGAGTGGTTTAGAACCTGAAGATATGCAAGTTGTTTATAATTATTTAGTAAGTACACTTCTACCAGCTCATCTTGAGAAAGAATTACATGGAGGTTCAATGCCCAGAAATTCACCCTCACCATTTACAACTTCACACTATGGAAAGTCCGTATATATACAATATTTTATTTATATATTATATACATGTGTGTGTGTGATAAACATAATACATATTAATTACATAAATTTAATAGATTTGTTACTGGTCCATCTAGTATTAATGAACCAAGTTTAATCGGAAAATCTCCTAAAGTGTTTATAAATTATTCCACAAAACCTGTCTCTTTGTACTTAGTAGTTTACAGAGCACTAAGTGCCACAATTTGTCTTTTCGTTGACAGTAAGTACTTATTTTGTTGTTGATGGTTAAATCACTGTTAATTTCACTATATTGAAAATATATAAAGTTGGAGTATTTATTTAACAGGTAAAACCAGTTTATTAATAGATTTTTTTAAAAGTCTGGATAGTTTTCTTGGTCCACAATTGACTACACTTGTCAGTTCAGTTGCAGAACAATGTGCTAAACATGTTACAGTCACTCCAGAATCTTGTACGAAATATTTGTATTTTAATAAACTAAATCTAGCATATAAAAGTACGATACATCTAGATAATAGACGATGTTCTAACGTACTCACTACACCTGAAGTATTGAGAGTTATCACTGACATATATAGCGACACAAATAAGTAAGCAAATATATCCGACAACGATTTCTTTGTCTTTTTATTCTTTATTTAAATGTACATTTTTCTTTATTTTAGGTTGAAAGAAGCCGGTGAAATAGTTATAAAAACTATGAGTGATTATTGGGTTATTGGAAAATTAGCAAACTTGAGAGAATTCTTTGTAGTTATTCAACAAAAAAGTGCAAGCATTATCGAAATAGAAGGTATGTATAATTTACAACTATTTTTTGTTACCAACTGATTTACAATTTAGGAACTATATGCACAAATAACATCTATTTCAGATGAAGTAAAAAGACTTTGTGAGAAACAATTAAAAAGCATATTTTTCCATTAATAAAGGAAATATTTATGAATCAAATGAAAAATCACGTATCTCATAAATGTATTAGTTATAAATGTTGAGCGACTATTTTATACAACGATTGAACTGTTTATTATTTTCATCATGTACAACATATATTAAAATTATAGAAAATAATATGCTGTAAGTGCAAAAGATTATATAATTTATATATAAAATTTAATGTAAAGTATAAATTCTGTACATATACACTACATATTTTTAATATATTTAAATTGTTTAAATCATGTTTTTTTTTAAATATTATAATTATTATAAAAATATTAATAATTTCAATCGACCGAATCTTCTTCCGCATCTTTCTTTTTATGGATAATATTAGAAAATTTTTTTAATTTTGCTACAAAAAATCCATCCATATTATGTACATGTGGATAAAATCGTTTTGTTAATTTTAACGAAGGATGAAACCTGTATTGCCTGTAACTTGTAAAACCTTCAGTACCAAATTCTAAACCAGTAGGTACTAATTTAACGTCGCGCTTTTTAAGGGCATAATCAATAACCCATTCGTTTTCTTCTGGAAGAATTGAACACGTAGAATAAACAATAATTCCACCAGATTCTGAACGCGCATTAGCACAATCTATAGCTGCTAACAGTAATTCTCTTTGCAATGTACAACAGCGTTGTATATCCACTTCGTCCTTATTCGTTTTAACGCTGGGATCTTTTGAAACTACTCCAGTACCAGTACACGGTGCATCTAATAAAACTCTATCGAATCCTTTAATAACCTGAAATGAATGTGATTTAATTAATATACTTATACTGAAATGGAGTACATTTGTATATCGTACACATACCGATGGTAACTTTCGTCCATCATAAGTACAAACTACAGAATTTACAATGCCGAGTCTATGGAAATTGCCTACAACGGCTTTTATTCTTTCTGCATTTACATCGTTTGAAAAAAGTACACCCGTATTTTTCATAAGTGCTGCTATATGTGACGATTTTCCACCAGGCGCAGCACACATATCAAGAATCCTTTCATTTTCTTTGGGCTCTAAAGCCATAACAGGTAAAAAGCTAGATGCGCCTTGTAGAATATAATGTCCAGCTAAGTATTCTGGTGTTGCACCCATTGGAACTTGCGAAGAGTAGACTACTAATCCAACTTTTGTCCATTTTCCTATAGGATCTAAATTGACTCCTCTGTTAATTAAAGCCTGAAATATTAATGAAATATTATTTTATGATGTAAAAGTTAAGTATAATATATTTTATATTTTGTTCAATCAATACTTCGGCTAAGTCGCGGCGGCGTGTTTTCAATGTATTCGTTCGTATTGTCATAGGTCTTTGAATTTCACTTGCTTCCAAAAACTCTAGCAATTCATCTAACGGAAATATTTGCATCAACTTCTGCATTAAGAAATTATTATAGCTATAATAGGTACATAAATCTTTTTTCAGTAGATCCATATATTCTGAACGAGATCTAAAACAGAGGGATATAATTTTTATAAAATCATTTTGTGAAACCATTTTTCAATTTAAAGAAGCATACCTATTGATATCACGCAATCTTTTAAGGTCAGACAATATCATAACAACATCTTTTATACGTTGTTGTACATCTTTAAGATTGGTAACATCTGCATCTTCTTCAGTGGGAAAATGAAATATAAACTCTTGTGACATCATATCATTCATTTCTTCCTCTGCTAATTTTCTAATGAAAGAAATAAAATCAAATTAGAGTTAAAACATTATATTTAATTTAATGTTGAATATTGCTTACTGTTCTTTCTCTTGTTTCTTTTTTAGTCTCTTATTTGCTTTCTCTATCGGAAGTAAATCATCATTATCACTTTCACTGTTCTTTTCTGCTTCCTCCTCATCCAAATCCATTTCTTCATCTTCGTTTGATTCATCACTGCTATTGTATTCTTCATTATCTTCAGCAGCATCGCTTTCATCTTCCATATCACTGTCCATTAATTTAATTTTTTTACTTTTTGACCTTTTAATTTCTGTTTCATTTTCAGATATGTTACTATCATTGTCAAATTGCATTTCTTCATTTTCATCATTTTCATTGTCACTTGTAAATGATACTACATTTTCAGATTTCTTCTTTTTCTTTAACTTTTTAACGTTATCCTTAATGTTCTAATTTAATATAGAAATATTTGTCAGTAAAATTAATATAGAAAATTTTATCATTAAACGAAAAAGCTTACATTTTTATTTATTGTATCCTCTGTTTCCTCGTTTTTCTTCTGTGACTTTTTCAAATTTTGATTTTTTAACAATCGTTTTCTTGCACGTTGCCTTTGTCTATGACTTAAGGCTTTTTCTTCTTTTACTATAACAGAGAATTATATGGTTAATATATGAAATATTATATGAAAAAAAATAAACACAAGTTATGTGTAAACAAAATTGCAGTTTTTATTACCTACTACTCCTTTTGGAAATGTTGGATCTTTCTGTTTCTTTGCTTTTCTTCCAGGACCTTTTGGAACCACTTTTCCATCAAATTTGGCTTTTCGTCCCATTGTATCGTAAATATCCTATTTAGGAATTGCTATAAAATCACTTAAATAAAACATAAACATTCATACATTTCTTATTACGATATAAAACACAGAAGGTACTTAAACTTTTTAAACTGAACACGTGAGTTATAACCTACTCACTCTATTTACAGTAACTTCAACTTCAACATGATTTTTAATTCAATGTTACCAACTCCTAACAGAAATCATAGGAAATTTAGTTCTTATAAAGCACTATAAAGTTCGAAAGAATTTACTAGCGACCCACGTGTTTTGTAAAACATATTTGATAAATTATGATGACATCTTCTGCATGAAGTGTATAATTTTTAATGCAAAATGGGAATAACGAAACAAGAAGTGCATCGTCCTGGCGCATTTAAGCAAGTAAATAAACCACATAAAACTGGTAGACATCGAAGCAAAGGATCAATAAGTAGCGACGTTAAAGGTAAAATTATTTATATTCTATTTATATTATTATTTAATTTTATAATTTATCATATTTCTAAATATATATCTCTGTGTAATATATAGGAAAAACTGGGGTCAAAGTTTTATCAAAACACATTCATAGACAGTTAGGAAAAGATGCACGAAGACATCAGTCCTCTCAAATTAGGAAAAATAAAAGAGAAGAAGTATTGCAACAAAAAAGAAATTTAGGTGGATCAAATTCAGCTCCTATTCTTGTATGTATTATTCCATTACAAGAAGACTTGGATACTCAAAATGTATTATCAGTGCTAACAAAAGCGGATGAGACTGCAATCGTAACAAATAGTCCCACTGGTACAACTCATTTAAGGTATAATATCTAATATATAATAGTAATAAAAATATAAGTTATTGATTATTTACTTATTTGTAACAGCCTGCCTAGATTTAAACAGCGATTTTCTATTATTATACCACCAGTTGGAAATTTGTTTGCAACACTAGATGCAGCAAAAATATCTACAACTATTCTTTTTGTTGCTTCTGCTGTAAATCATCATGATAATAGTCCAAGAGATAAGATTCTTGATGATTGGGGTAGAGAAATTATTTTACCTTGTGCTGCTCAAGGTTTGACTACTCCAGCGATAGCAATTACAAACATTGAAAATCTTCATATAAAGGTAACATAAAAAAATCAGTTTTTTCTTACTTTTGGTAAATATGATTTTTATTGATACATATAAGTTTTACTGCAGAAACGTCAAGAATTTAAAAATAATGTACAATCTGAGATTTCCAAATGGCTTCCAGAAGAAAAAATCTTTCATTTAGATACTTCTACTGATGCTTTCAATGTATTAAGACGTGTTGGTTCTCAAAAACAAAGAACTGTGTCATATAGAAACAAAAGAGCACATTTGTTAGCAGAAGAAATTAAGTTTAAGTGCAATGATGTAGGTATTAAAATAATTATTATTTATAATTGTTAAAATATCAACTTCTGATCATTTTTAATTTCATGTAGGACTCAACAGATTTGGGAACCCTTATGATCTCAGGATATTTAAGAAATGTACCATTGTCAGTTAATAGTTTAATACATATACCTGGATTTGGAGATTTTCAAATGTCCCAAATTGATGCTCCTGAGGATCCATACCCTGTAGAGAAGAAAGGAAGAAAACATTGCAATGCAATGGATGATGAACCATCTGTCAGAGTTCTTGAACGTGCTGATCCAAAAAAACAAGTAATTGTACAATTAAAAAAAAAGAAATATGAACTTCATTAATTATGTATTACATATTTTATGTTTATAGGAATCTCTTGAAAGTGAAAACATACCTGATCCTATGGATGCTGAACAAACTTGGCCTACTGAAGAAGAATTAGCTCAGGCTGCAGCTGCTCAAAAGAAGAAAATTGTAAAGAAAGTTCCAAAAGGAACATCTGAATATCAAGCAGCATGGATTCCTGATGAGGATGGAGGTACTACTTTTTGTTAAGATTGGTAAACGGATTTAAACACATACAGAGATTTATCCTTTTACAGAAGAATTAAGCGAATATTCGGATGATGAATCAGAAGATAAAATGTCAGTGGATGAAGCCAAATCTCAATCAGATAGTGATGTAGAAGCAGAAGATGAAGAGGAATATGATACAGTTACGATATCAGAAGCTCCAGACGAACAACGATATGATCAAAATGTTGATATGATAGAGGAAAAAGAAGAAATAGAAAAATTAAAACGTAAGTTTGCTTGAATTAACGTAAATAATACTTTGTTTTTCATTAGCACACTCGACTGACCTTTGCACCCTTAATTGACTTTTAAATATAGTAGCCAAATTGGATGCACAATTTCCTGACGAAGTTGATACTCCGCAAGATATGTTAGCAAAACTGAGATTTCAAAAATATCGAGGATTAGAATCGTTCAGGACAAGCCCTTGGGATTCAAAAGAAAATCTTCCTACCGATTATGCTCGAATATTTCAATTTGAAAATTTCGATCGAACACGAAAACGTATATTTAAAGAGTCACAAGAAATAGAAGGCGCTATGGTAAAGCTCATAAAATAATTATTATTACTATTGGGCACTAATTCATAATTATTGAAACGTATTTACAGCCTGGTTGGTACATCACAATCCACGTGATAAATGTTAGGAGAAACCTATTTACTGCATTTTGCACATTAGAAAACCGTCCATTAGTTTTATTTGGTTTATTACCGAATGAGCATAAAATGTCTGTCTTAAACGTTGTATTAAAACATACTAACACTATTTCGATTCCAATAAAATCCAAAGAACGATTAATATTTCAATGTGGATTTAGAAGATTTTCCGCGTGTCCAATATTTAGTCAACATACAAACGGGAATAAACATAAGGTATATATTGCATTTTAAGAATTCTGATAAAATTCTTTATATTTCATTACTCAAGATAAACTATATTGTTTCAGTATGAACGATATTTTCAACCTGAAAGTACTGTTGTAGCAAGCATGTTTGCACCCATTACTTTTCCGCCGTGTCCAGTTTTATGTTATGTTGAAAAATTAAATGGATCGTTGGTAAGAGAACATACACGATACTTTTAGTAATTTAAGTACATTTTTAATGTATCTTAAAATATTTTTATAGGAACTAATTGCAACTGGTAGCGTATTATCTGCAAATCCAGATAGAATAATTGTAAAGAGAGTTGTACTTAGCGGCCACCCTTACAAGGTTTATAAGCGATCAGCAGTTATACGATTTATGTTTTTCCACCGTGAAGACATAAATTGGTTCAAACCAGTTCAATTACGAACGAAATATGGACGTAGAGGCCATATTAAAGAACCATTGGGTAAATAGCTTTTCGAATTTCGCATATTTAAATATCAAAAGCATGTTAATCATTATATTTTTACGTAGGTACACATGGTCATATGAAATGCGTATTTAATGGACAGCTGAAATCACAAGACACGGTCTTAATGAATTTATATAAACGAGTATTTCCGAAATGGACTTACCAACCATTATTGTTGACAGATTCATCACATCAAGATCAAAGTATGAATGTAGAATAACATTTGTAGAATTATATTTATCTTTAACTGTATATAGTACATATACATGACACAAATACACACATACATACGTAGATACATATGTACATGTATGTACTATTTAAAACATAAAATAAAATGTTTTTGTACAAATGCGTTTTAATCTTATACTGGCATTAAGCAAATTGCGCGTTTTATTTGTATTTTCGATATATCGCGAAATGTATCACGTGACTTACATTGTAACCATGTATCATAACATTCAAATAATATTTAGTAGCAATTTTAGTACACAAAAGCTCAGATGGATTTGGATACTGCTTATATTGGTAATTAGCATAATTTTGCATTAAGAATATTGCAAAAATAGTGTGTAATAAATATAATAGAAAATAATAAACTTTAATTTTTATTCTGATATACGTTTATCTCATATGTATAGAACCTTTACTTGATGATTGGTTAGAAGATCTTCAAACAATCATTAAAGAACAAGAAAATTTTGTTAAAATCAAAGATGAATTTTATATGCCATTTATAGGTAAATTATGTTTATAAATATTTATTCATTATATTTTCTAATTAATAATAGTTGTATTTTATAATTAATAAATATTCATACTAATGTACTTATATATTTCAAATCCTAATTTTAGCCATACCAATTCCAATTGTCAGTGCAGTTTTTAAGATAACAGAACACCTTGACATGGGACCACACACTAGATATATTGCCATTCATTTATATGATAAATTTATATGTAATTATTTTTGGAAAGTGTATAAAGCTACGAACCAAACAGGAAACTGTTGGTCACAAATTTGTAAAAAGATATCAAACCAATCAAAATTGTATCTTATGTCATGTTTACAATTAGCAAGTAAAATGGATTCGCATTCTAAAAGTTTAGGAATATCGCAAGTATATACTGTATCATTTTCATATAAACTTATTAGTACTGGTATCTTAATTTCTTAATTATAACATAGGTACTTAATATTTTACAATGGATTGATACAAAATCAGAGTATACCCACAGTACAATCTTTTCATCGGAATATGAAGTATTCAAAATGGTTGGATTTAAAATGCCCTTTTATACACCTTTAAATTGTGTAGAGGTGCTTTTAGCAGCAACAGGTCTTAAGGAGACTCCAAACATGCAAAACCTTACCATAAGCTTATTGGATTTAGTTTATTTACAGGTCTGAGTTTTTTTTTATACATGCTTTCAAGGTAATACTATTATACAATTTATATAGCTAAAATATGCTTATAGTGGGAAAAGTTGTACTCTCATTTACAATATTTAATTTATGGACACATTGCTAAAACTCATCAGGAAAAGAGAAATCTTATGGCACTAGAATCTAACATGTTATTTCTAGCTGCTTCTGTAATTCTTTGTGGAACATTTTTCTCCTGTATTGATAATGAAACAGCCAAAGTTATTGCTTCAAAATTATCAGAATATATAGATATAAAACCTAATGATATTTGGAATATGGCTAATATACTTCTTGTGATGTCAATTCAAGAATAAATATTAAACAAGAATATGTGATATACAATTTTAATATTAATATTTCACATTCAACGTTTTGTTTATTAACTATTTTATAAGCCTTATAATTAATTATAGATATCTCTTGTATACAATAACTAGTGACTACCGACATTTGTAGTCTATGCGGTAATACGTGTAAGTCACAGACGGACCACTAGGGGATGTTTCGGACGACCGCTTTCTCGCAATTAAAACTGATTGTTGTAGCATATAAAGTGGTCCTAAAGGGAGAGTCAGGTATCGCTTCTCGGCTATTTTAGCTAAGATCAAAGTGTAGTATCTGTTCTTATCAGCTTAATATCTGATACACTCCCCATTGGGGAGTCAGAATATTAATCTCATTTTTGAACAAGGTTGGGCACCGGGGCTTGCTCCGAGTCCGACGCGGGTCGCATCTGCATTGCAGTTTCGCGGAACGTGGCCCACATAATATATTTGAAAACTCAAAGAATCTTTGTAGAATTAATAGTATTACATATCACATCTCTCTTTTGTATCTCAAGTGCTCTATGATTAATAATTCTTTATGTTTAATATTCGGCAACATTTTGTAGTTACGAAAACATGGAGCACTCAACAGAGAGTTTATGAGAAAGAGATGGAGGAAGAGACGGAATTAAAATGTAACTAATTATTATATAATAAGAATTGATCATTTAAACATAAATAGGATTATCGGAAAAGTAAGTTGGAAAAAGAAAAGATTAATAGGAAAATATTAATCATATTTAACAAAAATGCATTTTATTTATACGATCTACTGGAACTTTTGTAACGTTACAAGCCCTTAACTTCAATGGAAAATGATGATCTTTTTGTACATTCCTATAACCGTGATACGTTCTTGTCGAGTGGAGAAAGTAGTGGTATTTTGGTGCTAATTTTTATATCGTTGCATCAGACTAAAAATCTTGTTATATAACAAAGTGTCGACGTCCTTGCCCCAGACAAAATCAAGATGCGCAAAAAGGCTATTTGGTACCAATAACTTCTGGGCATTGGGTAGCATTTTGTATAATTTAATTGAATCCTATCAAATGATAAACAGTAATTTTAAAGACGAGTTAAACAAATTTTTTTCTTAGTCAAAACATTTAAGAAAGTTGAATATAACACGACAGACTTCGTATACATTAAAATGTAATTATACAAACCTTGTGATCAACTAAAGCGTCGTTGGTGCTATAATGTATATGTACAGGCATAGTAACTTTACTCAGATCATATTGAGGAGGCAGAATGCTGCCGTATTGCCTTAAGTTTCTGACGAGACCATGATCATATTGTTGGAATCTGCCTATTAAATATAGCGAACATAATTGGTAAAATACAAAAGAAACATATTCAAAATTGTATCGTATGGTAGTTACCTGAATTCAGTAACTGTGCGTAATGAACAACTTGCCTCACAGATGCTCCAGCAGGATCATATTTTGCAACTGACGGTACAAGTGTCTATAAATTAAAAAAAAAGACAATTTCCAGCATCGTACTGTTATAACGAATATGCTCAACGTAAGTTGTAACTACCATATTAAGTCCTACGTCGATACCACCTGCAAGGAATATTATATTTCTACATATCGGTTGCGTTATCATGTCTTCCTTGCACATTTCTTGTCCAAGAATTTGTATAAGCTTCGATGAAGGTGTGAACTCGGTCACACCTATCAATTCTCCCAATTTCTACGAATCAATACAATTTTTTTTATTCTGTTGTAAAACGAAATATTTAGCAAAAAAAATTATGAGATTTTTTTACCATTATATCATTCGCTATTGGAGCCAACAGACGGATCAAAATATTTCTCGTGTGAGACAAAATGACTGCCGGTGCCAAAGCGAACGTAGCGATTAATTTCTTCTGATATTCTGGTCGTTCGCTAGCCATTACGAAGAACGATGTACCACCTTGGCTGTGTCCTACGTAAAATATCTTCTCCTGTTTGGTTTCCTTGAGAATATAATCGATCATCGCTGGAAGGTCGTATATTCCCATTTCGTGCCAGCTTTATAGAAACATACAGTATTTTCGCTCTATTAATTTCTCCTAACAACCTAACTAAAAATGTGTTTAATGATGAGAGTCTGTTTGCAAATTTTACGAAAATTATTTGCACCGACCAATATAATGATCATCGTTTTGCAGATTTTGCAGAAGGATAGAATTATGCAGCTAAACACGAATTCAGATGGATCCAAACAAAAATAAAAAATCTTGAAACATTCGTAAGCAATTCTGGATGAAAACTTCACAAGAAGATGTTCAAAATTATGTCGCATTGTATTGCCCTATTTCTTCTCATTTTTAATGTGGTACGTTGATACTTTGTCTAAGGTAGTTTAGATGATTTTTATGATATTGTCACCAAATGTATTGTAGAAGTTGACAAATTTTTGAATTAACAATATATTGACTTGACCAACAATTCTCTTGTTTTGATATTGCAGCGGTCTCCGTGAATTTATATGAAGATGATTATAACGAGGGCTGATAGTTTATGGCACAACAAGAATCATATGAACGTACCTGAATTTCCAGAAATCGTCGTCCAAAACATTCATGCTAACATGTTTTCGACTGTATCTATTACCTCGCACATTACCTAGCCACACATCGTATCCCCAGTCCGACAGCATGAAAGCTACAGAAGAAGTTGAGTATTTTTATTCTCAATATCAGTATTGGCTTTATTTCTTTGCAGAATGAAAAGATTAGAAGTTATTTAATATCTATAAAATCATTAGTTATGCAAATAATAATTGATACCTAAACTTCGTGAAGGATCCGACAGAACCCATGTAGCTGAACAATCTAGGAGTCCATGAAGCATCAGTACGGCAGGCTTAGTACCAGATGTAGTCCTGTTTTGACGACCTGTGATTCTATGTAGTTGCAGTATATACCCATCTTCCGTAGTAACTTTATGAGTTTCAGCCTCGTAACCTAGGTCAATTGCTCGTTCACTCTAAAAAATATAAGTATTCAATTTTTCAAAGTATGATAATTACAAGAAGTATAGTTGAATAAATATTACACTACCGCGAAAATTACTTACAGGGGTTGGGGAACGAAAAGGGTCATCGTCGTTTGCCCCATTTTTGTGATCTGCAAGAGATATTCCCAAGATGATTGGCAGTGAGAGGCACGAAAAAAGTAATATCTTAAACATTGTGAAGACCCAGGAAGATCGTTCGAAAAATGTTCACAGTCTTGACGTTATTTCGAATTTATAGGTATTACTATTTGTTAACTTTTCTGTTTTCTGATTATTGGTACTAATTACATTGTTGTGAACGCACTTGCGTACAGTCGTTATTTGATTAAAATCAATAAATTCATTAAATATTAAGTTACTATCTGTTTACATTGCGAGAAGATAAACTTGAGAGATAGATGATGTGCAGGTGTCCAATAGACTCGACACTTGTTATTTATTATTGATCTTACATCATTGTTCATAAATGATTGATGTTCCACATTTAATAATGAATTACTTTTATCGTGTACATTGTTTTAGCTTTGATAAGTACATGATAATAATTTGACAAAGAAGTAATTTATTGGCATAATTTATAATTATTTGATATGTTGACAATGAAATCTGCTTTAATATTTGGAGACAATTGTTTGCTGAACATTCTTCTTATTATTTCAATATAATATCTCGGTTTTCTGCCTGTAAAGTATCGGCATCTTCGTAGAAAATTCAACCAAACGGATTGTATCTTTATTGAATTATAACCGTGAAACTCGTTCATCCGGTTTCTCGGATCTTTGAGAAGAAACATACGTGGTTTTTGATGCCCTAAACGTAAAAATCTTGTTTTGATAACGGTTGTGTGCTTCCAATTCAAAGCTTCTTATTCTTGATAAGATTTCACTAAGATATAGAAAATATATCCGTAGCCTTTTATAAATCTATAGAAATCGCAGTAAACGATAAAAAAGCTTAAGAACAGGTGCAAAATAATTACTCGTTACATTCGCTTTTACGATAACTGTAAGATATAATCAGAAAAGCACGTGCAGATTAATTGTTTTTGAAAAAAACAATATCGTCGTTTTCTACTATCTAAAACTGTTGCTGAAATCTACCAAGTGAAAGCAATGAATTTTTATAGACACGGTCATTACATTCGCGCATGAAAGATTGCAAATATTACATCATGTTGAATACGCAGAATGAGGTCATAATCATGGTGACCAAGGGAAAGTAGGTATTACTTTTCGTTTAACAGCTTGAAGCCAACGGATATGCATTTCTGAAATCATTGAACGACTTCAACATCCATGTATAATATCTCTGAAAATTGTTAACCGAGTATCTCTATAATCATTTATGAGTAATGAATAGGTCTATTACAGCGTGCTCACGAAACGTAAAAATGATTGCGTAAAAGGTTTGTACCTTCCTTTGCAATAACAACGAATGGAAAGAAGAAGAACTCGGTGAATGTTTCGTATTGCATTTGAGTTTCAGGTCACTAGTATAAGGAAAAACGTTATGAATCGACGAGAAAACAGGGACAGCGAAGGAAACGCAAAGAAGGAGAGAAAGGCGAAGAAGAAGAACGTGGCGACAACGTTGTTAAACGCAAATATTCGATGAAAACTCAATGAAAGATGCAGTTCGAGTTGATAAGACATTTGCTTTTTCTAATTCTCTTTGTCCTCTGCAACGTCGAAGCTAAACGTTCTGGTAAGTGAATCTCAGTATGCAGCGAAACTGTCTGTTACTTCCGTAACTTAACTTCTCTTCTTCCAGTAAAACTTCTTGCAATGAGAAATCGTATAATGCTTCATCGAGCGAATGCTAATCATCAAGACCGAAAACCGAAAATTTGCTACGGTAAGAATTGAAAGAAATGTCCTTGAGTTTAATCAAGCTACATAAAAAGTAAAAATTAAATAAATAATTTTAGATTTCTTAGGGTGTTTCGCGGATCCACCAGCTGGCTTATCGCTAAAACGACCACCTGAACATCCCAACGTAATTCAAACAAGATTTTTATTGTACACTCGTGCGAGACGAGAATCTCCGGATAATTTGCAGTATAGTGATAATTTTAGCTCGATTTTGGAATCACGATTCGATGCGACTAAAAGTTTGAAAGTTATAATACATGGCTATAAAGGAAGCGGAAGTGACGTCGGTACAATCCTCATAGTACAAGCTCTCCTGGACATGGTAATAAACAGAAATTTAATTTCTTATTGTTATATTCGATATATGGGTCGGTACATTAAGCAATATTTATTAGGAAGACACGAACGTCCTAGTTCTCGACTGGACCAGAGGAGCTGCAACAACTTATTCAGCAGCAGTAGCAAATACCGAACTCGTAGGTCGGCAATTGGGTTTGATCCTCTTGGATGCCATCGGTTTAGGCTCGCTTCCTAAAAATATTCATGTAATTGGCTTCAGTCTTGGAGCTCACGTTGCTGGTTGTGCTTCCGAAGTTCTGAAGAAAAGGAATATTCTCCTTGGTCGTATCACAGGTTTAGATCCTGCGTCGCCGTTTTTCAGGAATCATTTATTCAGAGAAAAGTCTAGAAAACTGGATGCTACGGACGCTCAGCTTGTAGACGTGATACATACCGATGGTTCCGAGGATTTTGCCGATGGTTTCGGGCTTTTGAAACCACTTGGTCATATTGATTTCTTTCCTAATGGTGGTAGAGAACAACCTGGCTGTTCTGACGTAAAGAATTCTGTTGTTGTTAGTCACTTAAATGGTAAACTTTTTTCTGTTAATTTTGGATATTAATAGAGCGTAATCATTGTTAACGATTATAAAGGTGTAATAACATTGCAGAGGAAATGCTGACTAAAGAGCTTGCTTGTAGTCACTTGAGAGCATGGATGTTCTTCTTCGAAAGCGTACGTATGGGAAATGAATCCTGTAAATTTAACGCCTGGCCTTGTCCTCAAGGAAGAAATTCGTATATGAGCGGAATATGTTTTCCCATGGAGTCTACACTTTGGTCCCAAGAGATGGGCTACAGAGCTAATTTTGGTCCTTTAGGAATTTATTATTTGCCTACACGAGAAGAGCAACCATTTTGTGGTAAGGTTGACTATATTTAAACGTATACATTTTTTATTTTAATTTAAATTTTTATCATCAGGGCAATCTCTTAGAGCATCAGCAATGATCTCTGATGACAAATTAAAAACATCCGGAATACTGTTTTTGAAGATCGCACAACAAAATTCGACGATAATTTTTAAGCTTCGATGCATGTAAGATATGGTTCGATAATGATTAATGTTTTTTTGCATTTATTGAATACTAGATAATATTTTGTATTTACTTTTAATTTTTATATAATTGATAATGTCATATTGTGCACATCTGAATAAGTTTATCAAAATATCTATTTAAGAGTAACGAATCGAAAATACAAATCGACAACGATTTACAACATTGCCGCAGCGAAATATCAATTTCTGCCGAGTAATCAAGTTACGATAAAGGCATTGATTTGGTATCAAGCGCTCAGAAATGAAGAAAATGAAAATGCAATTAAGAATTCTAATCCGGATACACTGCTCATAGATAAGATTGCAATTGAAGACAGAAAAAGTAACAGGTACATGAGTTTATACTTATTTTAAATTAAATTTCGTTAATAAAGTAGTAACTTATTTATTATTTATGTATTATATAGATGGGAATATTGCGCTACAAATACAAGTATAAATTTACAAGAAAAAACTGTGTGGTTACATCGAGTATAGTACAACTTTTTGTAGAAAGATCGTCCATTTTGGCATTATTTTACAATAATGTTTATCCTTACTATTATGTCCAAAATGTAAAAAATAAAATAGATTGAACGATCATAAATTATTTTTTTATTATTAACTTGTATTTTTTATATCTTTGTTTCCATTAAATCGTTTATAAATATAATTATTCATAAAATATAATAGAAGTATTTTATACGCAAAACGAACCTATTTTTCGAATAGCGCGCGATAACGTCGAAAATGACAATATGTATACGGCAATACCATAACCTCTGCTCGATGTAAAGCCAATGCGTATATATAACTGTGAAAATGATGTTAAAATTAATGAATCAATCAACTATGTTACTAAATAGAACCTCGATTCAGATTTTAAAAAAAGTAAGTATTATTTTAAATATACATGTACTTCTTAATTTTTCTTTTAAACATAAACGTATCGAAAATTTTATTAACAAGACAACTCTTGAAAAAAGTAATTAACAATTTAATAACGCATTATTTTAGAACTTCCAAAACTATAAACAGTATTATCCACAAGTCAGATGCATAAATACCTCTGCAAAATTTTATCAATCAAATAATATAGGATCTCTGCCTTCAAGAAAAAAGCCAGTAGCAAAAAGCCCTTTTTCATGGAAAAATACCATTATTACAACCATATTAGGAACAGGTCTTGTAATGTATCTATATTACCTACAAGATATGAAAGATAAAGAATTAGATCGTCAAAGGAGACGTGAATTAGGAAAGGCAGCTATAGGTGGAACATTTGAATTAGTTGATCCCGAAGGAAAAACGGTGAAATCGCTAGATTTCTTGGGAAAATGGCTTTTAATTTATTTTGGTTTTACGCATTGTCCTGATGTATGCCCGGATGAAATAGAAAAGATGACAAAAATTGTTGATATTTTGGGTATGTTATAAATAATTATAATAATAACATTTAAGCACAGAGAATAACAGTATATTATTCTAAACTTTAATTTTAGAAAAAGAACATAATATAAAAGTTCAACCATTATTCATCTCTGTTGATCCTGACAGAGATACTCCAGAGATTGTAGGAAAGTATATTAAAGAATTTTCTGATAAAATTATTGGACTTACTGGCACACAAGAGCAAGTTGCTAAAGTAACCAAAGCATACAGAGTGTACTATAGTAATGGACCTAAAGATCAGGATTCAGATTACATTGTCAGTAACATATTTTTATTATATTTAATATAAGTTCAGTTATTTTAAGGAACATAAATTTTACTTTCGGTGTAATTTGTTCTAGGTTGATCATACAATAATTATATATTTGATAGACCCAGATGGTTTATTCGTAGACTACTATGGTCAAACTCATTCGGCTGAACAGGTTTCACAAAGTGTTATAATAAATAAAATGAAGTATGACAAGCTAAAAAGTGATTCCTGGACTCCGTCGATATCACTTAAAAACCCACTACCAGCATAATTTGTGTTATGTGCATTTCTATGTTAATTAATTTTTAAAAATTTTCCAGTAGAGCATTTGTATTATATTATAAATTTAAGAAACAAATAAATTTTCATTAAGTAGTATACTAGCATATTTTTAATTGTTTTTTAGAATATAAATATGCTTATAATTATGTAAAAGGATAAGTACTTTTCTTATGTGTTTAAATAAAACGCGGGAAATCGAATGATATGTTTTTTGACTTGTATCCCCGATTAACCTTGATCTGTTTCCGGTCGGTAAGTTGAAACTGACGTATTGTTGCATTGACGTTTATTTATATGTATATAGGTTTTTTTATGCATAATCCTTAATGGCATGTTGTTATTTACAGAGTTTTTGTAATTTGCAGTAAAACAGTAATTGAAAACAATATCACTGACAGCAGAACCCTGGAAATTTATCGAAAGGAAATTTGATACTTCTGTTGTTTACAGGTTAGAGTGTGATATTTATAATTTATCAATTTTTGTAGTTCAATGAAATCTGTCCATAATATTAATTATTTTAAATAATTCTCGATAGATTTTGACATAACGTGTAAACAATTAATTATAAATGGCGGAAGATTTTGGAAGAGAAACACCACCGATGTACACAAGCAATGAAGAAACTAAAACAGCTGGACAACCTCTCTCAGATTTCTTATTACAGTTGGAAGATTATACACCTACGGTAATCACATATCATGATTATAATTAATTTAATTTATATTATACTAAATGTTATAAAATGACTTTTCCTAGGTACCTGATGCGATCAGTGAACATTATTTGCATACAGCTGGTTTTAATACAACAGATCCTAGAATGTAAGTCTTCCTAAAAAGTATGAACTTTCAAAAATATTGTTCTAAAGTTTATGATTGCTGACATGTAGATAATTATTTTAGAGTACGGCTTGTTTCATTAGCAGCACAAAAGTTTATATCTGAAATAGCAAATGATGCGTTACAGCATTGTAAGACCCGTGGAGCAAATCAGAATACAAAAACAAAAGGAAAAGATCGACGCTACACTTTGACCATGGAGGACCTGACACCAGCTGTTGCAGAATATGGCATCATAGTTAAAAAACCACATTATTTTGTTTAATTCCCTTTATTTCATTTTTCTTTATTCACAAATGATTTTTATTTATTTAATGTTTTTTTGCATGTATATGAAGTGAATTTCTTGTATACCATGTATATTGTATAGTTTTTATAAGAATTAATATTATAAACAAACATAAATTATACAGTCAATACAATTCAAAGTTCTTACATAATAGGTTTAATATGATCAAAGAAATTGTAATACATTATCTATTCGGTGAATCGATTTTTTCATTTTTTTAGCTGAGCAAACAAAATTACACGTATGTAGATATTTTTGCTGCTAGTTATTGGATAAAATTAAATTTGTAGCGTAAAAGTTACGCTTAAATAATGATCATCGATAGTTTTATTTGCGAATGGACAAAAAGTAAAATTGTTTATAAAGAGTACAAATAAAATGTTCATTTATAATTTATAACGCTGCAGTCAAACTAAAAAAGTTATCCCGGATTTATAGGAAAGACCGTAGAAATTCTTCATGTAATGGTGACTAGAAAAATATGTTTTGCTAGTAACTTTTCGGTGCTTCAGGTGTACCAGCAATTTCCGCATGCGCTTCATTCCAAAAAAAAACCATCAGCCATATTGGTGTGTTGTATCGCTGTCCTCAGTAATTTCGAAGATCGGTGAGGTATTTTTCTTGTTCATCACCCGATTCCTTTTATAACCATTACCCAATGAATAATCGGAAATGCCAATGTGATATTTATCTGAAATAAATTGTCACTTGTGGATTTTTATGACATTCATGAGCAGAAAAAGTTTGGTTAATGTTGCCACCTGGGCTCACGAAAATCGGTCTGTTTAAGAACATGTTGTAAATAAACGCAAATTATTTTCATTGAAGTGGAATGTTTATACAATATTAACATCTTCTTCAACGACGTTCTGTTTTTGCGTAAGATTATTGTTGGTGTTAATTGATTTCGTAAAAAATTATAATTTTCAAAGTACTTTGCCACCGTCTGTCGCGCTCTCCTACTTTCGACCACTTTTGCTTCATTTTTTTTATATATCGTAATTGTTTCTAGATCATAACATTTCATTCATTACATTTATGATTAACGTTGATTAACACACGTTCGTTGTTCGATTTTTATCGAGCAACAGGTAAAAAGTTATCAATATGATTTTTCATGAATGTATTAATAAAATGTATCTCGAACATTTATGATTATTGTCATGGAACTATATTTGTCACAGATGCTGTTTTTCAGTTACACAATGTAATAATACAATTTATTATACATACTGTATAAGTTTTTATATAGTTTTTGAAAAATAAATTATTAATTGGTTTAAAACAATATGTTTTGTTATAAATTTTTTTTATTTATTTATTTATTTTTATTAAATACAAAACCTGCATTTTTTTTGTTTTTGTTTCATCTTAAAAGAACTTAAGCCATTTCATATTTATTGTAATATAATAATATAAATAAATTATGTAATGAATTTTGTTTTTACAGTAAATCTTATCATGACGGATTCCATGAAATTTGGTCCAGAATGGTTTGTAGTAGTTTATGAATGCAATCATTACATTATTACATATTGCATATATAATCTTCATATATTTTATTATAATACATAGGTTGCGCAATATGTCTGGAGACAATTGCAATAATAGTGGAGGTGGTGGAGGCAGTACAAGTCTAACTACTGCGCGTTACCAATTAGCTGAACATAGATATGGACGAGAAGAAATGTTGATCCTATTTGACCGTAATTGTAAACCTCCTGAACCATTAACAAGTTTTTCGTCTTTGTATGTTGAGAAAACTCAACTTCCTTTGGCTCTTATACAAATGACAGAAGATGAAACGGTAACTAAATGTATATATCTTTATGCTCAAATTTTCCAATAGTATTAAAAAGAATTCAAAAAACACTTAGTTGTCTAAGTTGTTTTTATATTCTAACCATATATAGCAATAGTTTTATAAAACAATGGTAATTAATATTATTTAGTAATCATTTATTTTTATTGCATCCTATATTGGGAACTGTCTCATGCACTTAATTTGAATCTAAAAATACAACACACTGGAGCCCTTGTGCCAGTTCTTCGTGTCACTTCTATGTCCTATACTTTATATAATGATTATCATTTTGTGATATGTTCTTTCTTTGTAATATTTTATAAATTCATGTTATTGTATTTTATGGTAATATAAATTGAGCACAGCAAGTTAATTGCATGTAAATACTTTTTAGCGAATGTGGAATGGAGGAATAACTAATATTGGTAGTCGAGGAAGAGGCGGAAGCGTAGATCGCGGGGTTCGTGGAAGAAATGGTAGAGGTAATTTGTATTCCTCGCATTATTCCCGAGGCGTTGGTTTTGATGAGTCAGGAGATGGACCACGAATTGACAGTCAACCATTTCAAGTATGTGACTCATTTTGCTTTATGAAATAAATAAAATATAAAATAATGACTTTTTTTTTAGTTATTTCATAGGTATATTAAACATGTATCATTAAAAAAATATATGGTACTCAGTGAGTTGTACATGTTTTAGAAAAAAGGAAAATGTATCCTCTTTTTATTGATTAATGAAAATATTTTTATCCAGGCAAGAAACCGCCCATTTGATAGGTCCCAAAGCGAACGTGGATGGTCAGAACGAAATGGGGCAACAGATCCAGGTGAATGGAATGGTTCTACTAGTCCTAGAAAGGAATTAAATCGTGGGGCTAGTGGGAGTTCCCTTATGGAAGGTAATTGGCGACGTCATCGTGGTGGAGCAGAAGATGATGATGGTTGGCGTAAATGGGGTAAATATCGAATTGTTTCAAATTGTCGAATATTTAATTAAATAAGTAATATATTATACAAGTTAAATCGGTATTTTAGGTAGAAGCAGTTGGCGCGAAGGTGGAAGCATGGATAGAGATAGATTAGATAGAAATGAAGACGGAGAGGAAACTCGAAATAGTGGTGGGAGATGGGAACATCGTGGAACCCATAGAACTACACACGATTCGAGTCATCATCCACCTCCTCGTACTGCACGTATTTGGGAATCGAATCACCACGATAATAATCATGACAACCTTCCTGAATGGTATATATATTTAACATTTTTGCGCCATTCGAATATAGATAAAATTCCAAACATAATACGCTTACTTTGTTAATTACACAAAAATATAGGGCCACTGAAAACCCCAGCGAAAGTGGTGGAAGTTTTGATGCTTCGGGTGCATTTCATGGTGGAATGTATTCAGATGATGATGAGGATGGAGTGATTAGTGCAGGTGGTACTCAAGAAACAAGGACTCGACGTGTTTCCGAAGGAAGTGCTACTAATACGACAAGATCTGGTAGCAAACCCTTAGCATATAGCTCGACTCAAGCACAAACAGCGAATCGTAATGCTAATAATGAAACTAGTACGATCAATAAAGAAAGATCAAAATCCTTGCATCCCCTTGATAATAAGGACGAATCCGTCGAAAAAAAGAGAAGCAATTCTCCAGTAAAACCATCTAACGTAACAACTGTTAATACACCTATCAAAACTTCATCGTCAACGTCATCGGACACACCACAGAATAAAAGTACTGTAGCAACCAGTACGGAACAAACCGAAGTAAAGAAAATACCGCCAGCCAATTCAGAAAATAATAAATCTCCTGATAAAACACAAAACAAAGGAGATGAAGTGGAAACAAAAGTGGATCCAATTATTACTATAAAAAAGCAAGTATCATTACAAACAGAACCTCAGAAACCTACACATAGTTTAGAAATGGATAATACAAGAAAGAAAACGGAAGATGATTTTGATAGAATGAAGGAAGAGGCGGATGCATTAGTAGCTAAGTTGATGGCAGATGAAGAAAATCATAGGGAAAAAACTACCAGTGTACCACCTTCTATTGGTAATCAACCTTCCACAGTTTCATCTACCAATGGACAGGAGAAATGGTTTTACCGTGATCCGCAGGGTGAAGTTCAAGGCCCATTCTTAGCGAGTGAAATGGCAGAATGGTGTAAAGCTGGTTACTTCACTGCTGGGTTAATGGTAAGAAGAACCTGTGATGAGCGATACACTACTTTAGGAGATTTAATGAAAATGTGTGGTAGAATACCATTTACACCTGGGCCTCCTATCCCTCCATTAAAGGTATTTTTTCATAATCTTTAAACAAAGTTCAATATTTTACAAATAGCGAATAATAATGTTTTATAGAAACTATAAAAAAATGTATTTCAGTTAACAGATCAGGTAATACCTCCTGTTCCTAATACAGTACCAGCTGGTATCCCTGTGTTACCAAAAACTGGTATAGACGATCCACTTCTTTTACTTCAGTATCAGCAAATGCGGTTGTTACAAAATCAGCAGTTACTTCTTAGACAAATGCGAACATCGGCTATAGCAAAACTTTCTCAATCTGAGCATTGGGCAACATTAACTCCTATGGAACAAAATCAGTTGATTTTCCAATATGTTTTACAAGACTCGGAAATTTCAGAGGTGCCAATCTCTACAAACCCGTTTGTGCCTCATCTTCCGTCGCAGGCTTCAAATCCTGTTATGCAACTTTTCACTCAAATGCAACAGGTCTGTAAGGAATTGAGTATTTCAATTTTTTCTTATTAATGGTTTTTAAGATAGTAACCTAAAACATTCGTGACACATTTTGAAACCCATAGGCTAAAGCACAACCAGAGACTCATTTACCGACAACGCCACATTCAACTACACCCGCACATCCTCCTGCAATGGATCCTATACAACAATTGATACAACAAATGGGTGGTATGCAAAATATTCCAGGAATTCAACAATCGAATATAAATTCTACACCGGCCGCAACGCAAGAAGACAATCCTATAAAATCTTTATTACGCCAACTCAACGTTAATACGAATGGTCATCCGCAAACTTCTCATATTGATACTGTTTGGCCACAGCCTCCACCACAAATAAATCCACAGTTTAATGCACAAAATTGGTTGGCGCAGGTATATGCAACTAAATTATACTGACTCTAGACTGTTTGCACTAGGTGTAATAACATTAATACGTATTAGGTTGGACCAATACCGGCTGTTCCTCCTGGCCAATTGCCTACGTCATTGTGGGATCTACATACTAAGGAAATAAAGACTGAGCAGCAAATATTGGTAATTGAATATTTCAAAGATTAAATTAATGTATTGTGCGAAATGGATTTAAGTATTAGAATATTACTACATTATAGGAAGAACAAAATCTTAGATTACAAGAAGATAGGAAGAAAGAGGAACTAAGAAAACAAGAAGAATTACAGAGACAAGCTGAGGAAGAGAATGCAAAAAGAAAAAAGGAAGAACAAGTAAAACAGGCAGAGGAAGCAAAGCGAAAAGATGAGGAAAGGAAAAAGAAAGAAGAAGAGAAGAAGCGGAAGGATGAAGAGAAGCGTAAGCAGGAAGAAGAACGGAAAAAGAAGGAGGAAAAGAAACGTAAGGAAGAAGAGAAGAAGAGAGAGGAAAAGAGAAAGCAGGAAGAAGAAATCATAAGGAAAAAACAGGAAGAGGAAAAAAGAAGGAAGGAAGAGCTTAAAAAACAGGAAGAAAAGCAGAAAAGAGAAGAAGAGAGAAGAAAAAAATTAGAAGAAGAACAAAGAAAGCAAGAGGAAGAAAGAATGCGGTATGCTCTATTATATTATATGTTCTGTTATTTGTTTAAATTGTTTACAAAAAAAGAAAAGTAGTACAACATATTTTTTCTGCTATTATAGAAAAGAAGCAGAAGCGCGTAAACAAGCTGAAGCCGAAGAACAAGCTCGACGAGCGGAACAAAGACGACGAGAAGCAGAAGCTCTTCGTAAACTACAAGAAAGAAGTAAAGCACCATGGGCGCAAGCACCTCGCGCACCAGCTGCTACTACTGCTCCTGCTGCCTCTCTTGCTGAAATTCAGAGACTCGAACGAGAAAAGAAAGCAGTACGCTTTCATTTTTTAAAACAGTTTTGATAAATATATAGAACTTGTATATTTATACTTTATAAACATTTTTTAGGAAGAACAAAGATTCCAACAAATGATGCAGCAACAATTGGCTCAGCAAAAAGCCACAGAAGCAGCTCAGGAAGCATTGGCAACTGATTCGTCTAAACGATTGCAATTTAAGTGGGCTGAAAAGGCTACAGCTTCCACAAAACCTTTGCAAGTAAAGAGTCTCGCACAAATCCAACAAGAAGAGCAGGAACGCATCGCCAAGGTAAAGGTAGCTATTACTTTTTCAGTATTTTTGTTACCGTATATTCAACTCGTTGGATATTTTGAACGCTATTTCATATGTTCATTAATGGATACTTTTTAATTATTTGTTTTGAGTCTTTATGTGATTGTTTCCTATGTTTAATCTATTCGTATAAAAACACAGCAAAAAAATCATTTGAGCGTTAATTACTTGGTAATCGGTGAATAAAATTATTAAACGATAATTATATGTCGTTGGTTGTCATTGCTGACTCTTCAGCAGCAAGAAAGGGAACGTCAAGAGAAAGCAGGACAAAAAGAATCGACAAATGTACTACAAAATGCTGGAATTTGGGGTACCGCATCTCAATGTTTAAATTGGGCTAATTCAAGTACATCTAGTGGTGGTCAAGCTTGGTCCAACAATAGCGGTACAAGTGGTTTTTGGGACGATCCCGCGCCCGTCAAATCCTCTTCAACCACAAAGCAATCAAATAAACAAACTGCAGTAACAAAGGCTCCCGTAGCAAATCAGCAACTACAGCAAAGTAATAAGGCAAATAAGAGCAAAAATAAAAGAGAAGAGGAATTAGTTAAGAAATTATTTGAACAGAACACTGCCAAGACAGACGATTTTACACAATGGTGCAATAAAGCTTTGAGTGGTTTACAGGTGTCTGTGGACAGTAAGTTACAGACTTTTCACACACATATTTCTGTTTCGTTTATAGAATATTTGACAAACAAATTTTACATACAGTCCCTACATTCGTTGGATTCTTACGAGACATTGAAGCTGCGTATGAGGTAAAAGAATACGTCCGAGACTACCTTGGTGATAGTAAACAGAGCTCAGAATTTGCTAAGCAATTTTTAGAAAAACGTAGTAAGTGGCGGTCGGCTCAACGACCCCAAGCTGAAGCGGATGATTTATGCAAACCAGCACCCGCTGTTAACCCAAATGCACCTATGGAATTTCAAGAAGTTAAGGTATCTTGAAATGAGTAATAACTATTGGTAGTGATGGTGGATAATGATGCATTATACAAGCGTCTAAGCGATATAATCTTTCAGGGAAAGTCAAAGAAGCCAAAGAAGGGAAAAATGTACAAAGTTGATAATAGGATTCTTGGCTTTAGCGTAACCGCGGCCCCTGATCGTATCAACGTAGGTGATCGCGATTATGGGGAAGGTGTTTGAATTAATTCTAACGGTTTTGACTGCTTTATGGAAATTATGCAACGCTTGGCCCAATAGATGATTCGTTATTTATTTATTGTAGATGCCAAATAAATTCTAAGGAACCCGTTGCGAGAGTACTTCATTAAACGTATATAAAAATTTTCTATGATTACGCGTGCAAGGATTTTGTCCCTCGTATTCTTTTTACTTGAACGTTAATGGGAGCCTTAGATACAGACATAGCGTGGCATTATTTCCATCTTAAATAGAACTGAAAGACACTCCGCAAGGAAACTCTGTTGTACATACTATTCAAAAAAGAAAGAAAGATACTTCATAAAGTAAAGAGAACTCATCTTCTATTTACGCGATATACGTAATATATATGTGTATATATATGTATGTATGTATGTATGTATATGTATATATATGTGTATATATGTATATATATATATATATACACATACACATAGTATTGAAACGTTTTGTAATATTTCATTATTATCGTCGTAAATAAAGAAATTATGCCGATCGATAACTTGTACACGCGGAAACATCGCAGTTGAAAGCAATATGTGCTCACGATAGTGTTCAATAAACAAAAACAATTTATCAATGTGTGCTTGTGATTAAAAGAACATCGATCGAGCACAACGTTGATAGGGTGTATCGGTGTGTATTTGTACCGAACGCACCGGATATGATATATATACATATATACATATATATAAATATATATATATGCATATAAATCCTATGGATTTCTTGCTTCATCGCAACATCACATTAATAACACGCCATAAATTATATTTCGCTGTTGTGTTTTAATGAACTAATAACCTTATGTTTGATACGTTGCATAACATTTTGTGACCGATTTAAGATTGTTTTAAAGAATAAATTAATGGCTATTTTGACTGAAGGATTGTGAATGGGCAACAGTTCAAAGACACTGAATTGCATACTGTATTATATAGTGTAATAAATTACTCCTTGCTCCAGAGTCACGTTTACACATTGCTAGTACGAGCAGATAAAGATATGTATTACAAAAAAAACTACGTTACAAAACAATGACATTGCAAAAAATGAAAGCTCTTGTACTTTATTAATACTTTGAATACAAGAAGATGAGAAAACTATAGTACTTGCATGTTGTAAAATTTATAAAAGAACTAAACTATCTTCCATTTTCCTGTTTTGCATCACAATAATATGAAAGTAAGGTCATGTAACACTAAGAACGTCTATTACCGACTTTTTAAAATTTACATAGCACATAAAATGAAATGTCTGGATTGATTGCTGCGTGTGCCTACGTGTGGATCTCACTCTCGTCGGCATAATATTCTTATATGCTGAGATCAATCTAACGATAAACATCTAACAAGTTTATGTAAGATTTAATTACTGCAATATTTAAAACCAGTATCTTTTGTAAACTTTTAATTATAAGTGTACATGTTATGAAGTGTCCCACCTCTAATAAGGAGTTAAAGGAGAATACTTTTAGCACTTGTTTGAAATTATTGATTTTCTCTTGTTTTTTAAATTGAGGTAATATTTGGACAAAGTGGTATGAATACTCTGTTCATTTCGCGGAAAATGTTGCGACAGATCTGACCGCACTTAATATTATAATGGTTGTTAATTAAGGTTCATTGATCTTCTCTTAATATTAAAAAGTATCCTTAGGAGAAGATTATAGACCCTTACATGAAAGATTTATGTATAAATGAATAAATGTACAGTAATACAACAATTAAATAGCAAAAACAGGTCATTGATATTGTATTAATATTATTATTGTATCTAACGTACAACATTAATAAAATAAATATTATTATATTTTCAATTTGATCTTTTTATTATTTTTTAGCATCAAAATTTTAGTATATTTGAAGATATTACAAAAATTATTAATGTACGTTAGTATAATAGTAGTTTAAAAAGTGTAATTCTCTCTAAAAGAATCATAAAAGTATCAGGAGGTATAATTTAACATTTATTTTTACAAATCATAATCGATTGAATAAAAATTATAGCTTGCACATGATAAATCGAAATGCGAACTGAACTTATAAGTATAGGTATATATGAATTCATTAAATATTTATTATGACAGGAAAATAAGATAAGTACCCGTGAAATTATTTTTACAAATAATGTAGAAAATGATATCTCTTATCGTTATTATGAAAATAGGTAAAGAATAAAATAAAACTGTTTTGGACGATTTAATTTTTGTTAACAATTATATTTGTACTTTGGACAGTGTATTTTTCTTTTTTATACATACATCTTTATACAGTATTATAATGCTTTATCAAACAAACGATATTATATAAACGAATATAAAAATGTTCTTTTTGGGTAGAATGTTGTATTAACAATAACAATGTCAATAACCCATACACCGATAGGAATGTTTTGGCATATAAAATACATATCGCTGAAATGAAATTTCAGTTTAAATTTCATTGTATATCTAATAAATAAAATACTAATCTTGTTTTCGTTCTCCTTGAGACTGTATAACGTTGATCTCGATGTAATCTTTCGCAATATCAATGTACTGAAAACATTTTGTTATTCATTGATAAAGAAAAAAATTACTTAACGTTGCAAAAACTTTAACTCACCTTTCTTGGAACAACAATTTCCAAAATTTGTAAAATAATATAGCACAGTGACACAACCAACAAGTACGCCAATACTCCACTTCGAACGTAATTAGCTAATTGTTGTCCCAAATTTTTGTTTGTTTCTTGCTTTACTAGATTATAAACTATCTCAGTTCTTTTAGTAACATTAAACCAATTATAAAATAAACTTATTCTTTTATGCATTTCAAATGGACATTTAGTATTGCCTTCTTTATAATCTCTTATAGCAGATTCCAGTCCTTCAATAAGAGCATGTACCGTAGGTTCCACTAAATAAATTAAATCTGGAGGTAATACTTCAGGTATACCACCAACTTTTGTTGAAACAACTTGCAGACTATAATAAACAAACGCAATATTAATTAACATTAATTAAAGCTATCTGGTTTAATGTTATATTAAAATTATAATTAATAGATTACCCGCATGCCGCAGCTTCAACAATTGCCATGCAGTAAGCTTCAGTTAAGCTTGTGTTGAGAAATATATGTCCTTTATTTAACACGTGTCTAACATGAGAATGTTCCAAACTTCCCAATAACGTAACTCTGTGTTGTAATAAATTTCTTTCTCGTACCTCTTCTATAAGCCATCTTTTGGGACCATCTCCAACAATTAGAAATTGTACGTCGGTGTATCGACTACAAATATTGGGTATTATGCGAGCTAATAAATCGACGCCTTTGCGATATACTAATCGCGATACTATGACTATCGTAACTATAATTAATAATAGCCAATATTAGCAATATTTTATATCATTTTTTAATTATTTTAGATAAATATAACAAGAAAAATAACTTACTAAAATTGTTATCCCGTTTAGTGATATCAGGCATAAATAATGTAGTATCAACTGCATTTGGAATAACAGAAACCTTCTCTTTCAGAACCTTTGCTCTTAATACTGTATTCTCTTTTCCAGTATGAGATACACATATACAATGATTACAATCAGCTAATGATATTTCTAGAAATTTATTTGTTAAAATAGCAGATGCATCCGCAAAGCCAAAAAGTGAATGATCTGTAAAAATAGTCTGAAAGTCCAAACATAATTATAATTCAAACTAACAATCTTATATATACATTTTTTTAATTAAAAAATTGACTTACTTTCAGTCCCATTAATCGACCAATTAACATTCCTTCATGAGCAAGAGCAGAGAATGCAGAATGGCCATGTACTATTTGAATGTCTTCCCTTATAAAGATATATCTAATGAGAGGAATTGAACAAATCATTGTTGGTAGAACGCACTGATTATAAAATACCTTTACTGGTATATAATACACCTTAAATGAAAGATACATTAATCTCAAGTTATACAAAAATTAAACATACTTATTATCAATAAATAATACATTACACATACTTTCAGGCCATTTGTCATATAACGTACACCAATTCTATCACCATAAGAGTGCGTAAGCACTACAACTTTATGCCCAAATCCTAGTAAACATTGGGACAAATTAAAAATATGTTCTTCCACACCACCCATGTTAGGATAAAAGAAGTCGGAGACCATGCTATAAAATTAAATATATATGAATATTTTTTTGCAAGAATGACTTTTTACGTTGAATATATAGAACAAAGAAGTTGTTTTATTAATAATTACAAACCATATTTTATGTTTTATAGTAGTCATTGTTACATTTACATTGCAACATGACTCGGAGAATGAGATAACAAATGCTCTATTTATTCAATATACTTGAAAATTTTTATACTTTTGTGCATTGATAAACATATGAATTAGTATTTGCTAGAATGCATATCATATTTAAAATTTATTAAATAATTCATATGCTGGAACATATTAAGGATAAGAACATTTTCAAAACAATTACTTTTATCTTTGCAAACAATAAATTTAAATTTAAAGAACGTTTTATATTTTTAGGAGGTTAAAATAGATCATGAGACGTGTTTACATTTATCATAGTATATATGTATATGTATGAATGATTTGATTTATTCTAGACTTAATTAAGAAAATTGACGTTTTCATAGTGTCGACGGTTTACATTAACAAATTTTCTACGATATTACAGAAAAACATGCATCATTGATCATGCTCCTATTTTATAAAGGTGGGGCAAGACATATTTAAATCGAATTGAAGCACTTATAGTCGATTCGACTTTTTACTAGAATCAATAAAATTTCGAGATTTTCATTCTCGAAAATCGATATTTGGCGAGAAACTTGAATTTACGACATTATTATAATCCTCTACTTCTAATATTCTTATTAAAACGTGTAAGTTGTAGAAGTTCAAGATGAAATATCGAATTTATAAGATAATATTATATTTAAAATAAAATGTAATTTTCGATATATCTGTTAACTTTTCAATTTTTGTCAATTCTTTATTTTATGTCATTTCATTTTCTTACTTTATCACTGTTTCGTAAATTGAAAATAAAATTCTTAGAGAAGAATTTCTCTTAACCAATGAAGAAATACTTGAGTAAAGCCCTACAAGCTATGCATATGATCGCTTCTATCGTATCCATAAAGTTGCAATTGTTACTTCGTTCGTGACTGCGTGCAGAGAGAAAGAGAAGTATGGAGAAACGGAAAGCGGGATAGAGTATCCCTAGAAAGTATTAGTTAAAGGAAGATAGGGAGATTGTAGAAAGGAGAAGGCGATGTACGATTTGGTTATATGTCGATGGTCGGTGCACAACAAATCGTCGACATGTTTCATCAACGATGTGGTCATCGAGTGACTTTGACGAACAATAATTGCACGGCCATACGAGATTTTTTAGAATATAATTATGGATTGGTTCTCAGCGCGGAGCCGCTCAAGGATGATGAGCTTTTTGAAGTTCGCATCGACAAGAAGGTACCAAATCGCGCGATTCGAACTCTTCTAGTTTACTGATGTATCCCTAGTTCTCACATCTGTCAAAATGTTGTTTACAATGTTTATACTTCAAATTTTCAAGTTTACGTCTTATTTTTTTGCGAATCACGTTTATCCTGCATTCGTATTATAAACTGTCATACAGCGCAGCATTAACAAATCGGACTGTAAATCAATTTACATTTTTTGTTTGTCGTTTTAATTTTGTTTTTAACAATTCGTTATAAATTTCTGATTGTTTATTAATTTTACGGTTGATACATGTTAGTACATTGTTGCATAAAATTGAATAAATCATCAAAATTTTGTTAAATATGTAGTTCCAATAGAATGAATTACAAAAAACATATATATAATTACTGTGCAAATTATTGGTGATCCTGTATTGGATTAGGACCTTCTTGAACTAAAGCATTATAATGAAAGAAATATTGAACTGTACAGATGAAATCATGGAGTGGTAGTATAGAAATTGGGGTAACAGAGTGTGATCCAGAAATAATAGAATTGCCAGCTCGTGCTACTAATTTATGTCAGGGAACATGGATTATGACCAATTCTGGTATAGTACACGATGGAGCAAGGACAGTAGAAACATATGGAATGAACCTAAATGCACTGGAAGAAGGAAGCACTTTAGGAGTAATGAGGACATCTAATGTAAGTCTTAATGTAATAATAAATGTTTAACTCTTTGGTAATTTATTTTACTTATCAAGTATTTTTCTACTTACAGCATGAGTTGATATTTTATATCAATGGTATTTCTCAAGATGTAGCTGTATCAAATATACCAGAACGCATTTTTGCAGTTGTAGACATGTATGGTGATTGCGTTCAAGTGACTATAACTTATCCACAAATTGCTGCTGCTTTATGTAGTGAGCCAAAAGATGAAGTTGAAATTAATAATGATTATGCTCTTGGAGAAGCATCTAATTCTTCAACAACTAATCTAGTCGCTAATTTAAATGTTAATTTAAATGTTAATGTTAATGTTAATTTACCTAAAAATACAAACCCTGCTGCTATTAGAGAGGATAGACTGAGATTTCATGAGAGAGTTGGCTCTCTAGTGAAGTTGTCAAATAATGCCAGAACTGCGGAAAGGAGAAGACCCTTAGATGAATTTAATAATGGTGTAGTGATGACTCATAGACCATTAAGGGATAACGAATTGTTTGAGGTAAATAAAATAGAATAAAATAGTGTTTAGTACAAGTACTATCAACTGTTACACCATTACAGGTTCGAATAGACAGACTTTTGCATAAGTGGTCAGGCAGTATAGAAGTTGGAGTTACTATGCATAGCCCAACAGCATTAGAATTTCCAGCAACCATGACTAACATGCGATCAGGCACAACAATGATGTCTGGATGTGGAATTTTGGTAAATGGGAAGGGCACATGTCGTGAATACGGAGAATTCAATCTAGATGAATTAAGAGTAAGATTAAAGAACTATACCATTAATTAAATTTCATTACAGTTATGATATAACAAATATTTACTTAGGAAGGTGATAGGGTAGGTATGATAAGGCGAAGCAATGGAAATCTTCATTATTTAATAAATGGATTGGACCAAGGTGTTGCTGCTAAAGTACCTGCAGGTGTATGGGGTGTTATAGATTTGTATGGTATGACAGTAAAAGTGACGATTGTTGATCGAGATGAAAGGGAAGAACAAAATTTGGTTACTAGGAGAAACACATTGCAATTACAAGGGTTAAATGGTAATAGTATCAATATTTTTTTCTGTCATTTATGTATTATATTTATGTTACAATAAACTGTTCTGAATGTTTGAAGTATTTTTAATTTTCAGAAACAGAAGAAGAACCACCTGACAGGCTCATGTTCCATTCCTGCTGTGGTACACATGTTGAAGTGATTAACAATGGTCGTACTGCGCATAGGCCTAAGTAAATAATTCACTTATAAATTCCTACACAGTTTATATTTGCTTATAATAATATTTGTGTCATTATTTTTTAGCGTGATGGATGATTTCAACAATGGTGTTGTGTTGACTTCAAGGCCGTTGAAGCCGAATGAATTGTTTGAAGTAAGATTAGACAAAATTGTAACAAAATGGGCGGGATCTATCGAGATAGGTGTTACCACTCATTCCCCAACTGAATTGGAGTTTCCTTTTACCATGACGAACGTTAGGTATGTAAAATAATATTTCCAATTTGTATCAATACGTATATATTTTTTCTAATTTATGTTAAGTTTATCGCCCATGTTATTGCTCGAAGGTGGTCATGTCCCTTGCAGATCCGGCACATGGATGATGACAGAAAATGGAGTGATGCATAATGGCACTACTATAATAGATCAATATGGTCAAAACCTTGATCGATTACAAGTCGGGGATCGTGTAGGAGTAATGAGAAAAGATAATGCAACATTACACTTTTATGTGAATGGTGCTGATCAAGGAGCTGCAGCAATGAACGTACCCGAAAGAGTTTATGGCGTTATAGATCTTTACGGACAAGCTGCGCAAGCAACTATAGTTGATAATACCGATTTCTATAGCCCTACTACAAACAATTCAAGTTTTAGCAATACAACTCTGTATAGGTTTGTAAAATTTATTCGTTCGTAAATGTGTATTTGGATGTATTTCTAATTAATTATGTTACAAACAGTGACCTGAGGTTTCATCATATACACGGCAAAAATGCAAAAATAATAAACAATGGTTTGACCGCACTGAGGCCTAGAGCTTTGGGGGAATTCAATGAGGCTATTGTAATTGCGAATCGTCCATTACGAGATGGTGAAATGTTCGAAGTAACCATTGATAAAATGGTTGTTAGATGGACTGGAGCGATCGAAGCTGGTAAAAATTAAAAAATAATTGTATCATATTACTTGCTTTCTTATTAATATAATCAAAAACATTTGTTAGGCGTGACTCTTATAAGGCCCGATGAATTAGAATTCCCTTCGACAATGACGGACATTGATCACGACACTTGGATGTTATCTGGATCTAACGTTATGAGAGATGGTGTTACTTTAACAAATAATTATGCCTGTGATTTAGACAAACTAGTAGAAGGTAATCGCATTGGTATGATGCGATGTTCGGACAGCAGCTTACATTATTATCTAGATGGAGTAGATCAAGGACCTGCTTGTACTGGTCTACCACCACACGTTTATCCTGTCATCGATTTATATGGTCAATGTGTTCAGGTATATTACATTTTTTTCTTTTCTACGTATAAACAAATTTAGTGAAAGGAAAATGTATATTACATGTGATGATTTGTTAGGTCACAATTGTATTACCAGAACGTAGGGATCCAATGACACAACAGTATTTACCATCAGAAAATAGCACTAGTCAACAGCCTACATCTGTAATTCAGCTTCAAGCTCAAACAGAAATAATGCATAAGTTTCATGAGTCTGTCGGTTTAAATATTCAATTAAATAGTGATAGAACGGTAGCAACTAGGTGTAGAGAGTACAGTAATGCCGTGTTGTTGAGCGAAACACCATTAGAAAATAATGAAAGTTTCGAAATTACTATACAAGAAGTTGCTCGAGAGTGGAGCGGTTGTTTAAAGATAGGTGTTATAAGTAATGAAAGCGGAAATTGGTTAACGTCTATGAATCTTGTACCTGGTATTGGATCCATTCCACAAGACGCTTGGTACTTAACAGGTAGTATTATAATACAAAATAACTAAATATATCTTATATATAATAGTAATAATGTATTAGTATATAGAATATAGTTTAATATTTACTATGATTTCTTATATTTAGGTAACGAAGTAAGACACAATGGGTATGTTTTATGTATGAATTATTGCCCCAGCTTAGAATGGTTACGAGTGGGTGATAAGATTGGAATGAAACGTACACATGAAGGCAACTTAAAGTTTTACATAAACGGAGAAGATATGGGTATAGCTGCTTCAAATATACCAGAAATGGTATACGGTGTGATTGAGCTTTTCGGTAGTACAGTGGCTGTAAATATAACAAGTAGCAAACAACAGAATACTGCTGTATCTCCGAATGCTAGTTTGAGATTGCAAGACTCTTTGGAATTGTTATTAGATCCTATGCCACCTGTTTTGCGAAAGTATGTTAACAATCTGTTAACGCTACTTTATTATACTTGTTCTGTTAATGTTTAATCCATGTGTACATATATTTTAATTATTTCATTATCAGTGATGCTGGAATGGATACATCAGCAGATGTATCCGAAGGAAAATTGGTGAATGATGTAACCCTTACACCGACGCAGTCTACTCCTCATTTAGTAGGGGAAAGTGATTGGAGTTATGAGTTTCACGAAAATCATGGTAGAAATATACAGTTAGAAACAAAAACTATTGCACGAAGAGTTGCGAGTTATAATCAAGGTATGATTGTTCGTTTTTATATTTATATATTATATGATTAGTATTTTCCATAATGTATTATATTTTTAAGGGGTGGTAATGTCTAGTCGTCCGTTAATAAAAGGCAAGCCATTTTTAGTGAAAATAGAAAAACTAAACGAACGATGGGTTTCTAATATACTTTGCGGGGTAACTTGCATTTCACCGGAAAAGGCTAACTTTCCTTTGACGGCTCTTGGTTTTAAAAAACACTCTTGGATTATATGTAGCGATTGGATATCACATAATGGCATTAGAGTAAGTATTGACTGAAATTATATATAGCGAAATGTATAATAAAAAATATTATGTATTTGTTATTAGGTCAAAACAAAATATGGAGCTGCATTGGAAAATCTTCAATCTAATTCCGTAGTAGGTTTGTTCATTGATGAAGATAATAGGTTGCGCTTAATTATCAACAGTGTTGATCAAGGAGTAGCTGCAACAGACTTGCCTCCTTATGTTTATGCTGTGTTTGATCTGTATGGACAGTGTGAACAAATTTCAATTATTGGAAATAACGCAGAGGCATTTTCGTCCAGTTCTATCGATAATACCGTAACGTCTGTGGAATGTATAAGAACGAAATTAGAGGATACAGAAAATTCAAGAGAGAAAGCTGATTTAGAATGTCATGAAAAGGAAAATATTGTTGTAGCAACTTCTTCAGATTTATCTTCTTCTACCTCACCAAGTGTACCGAGCCAATGCGGTTCAAACGTTAAGAATGATGATATTGTGGAGTATCCAGCTTGCAACAACGACAACGCGCACTTAATGAATAATATTGAAAACAAAACAATGCCAAATAACTCTGATAGTAATAATTTGGAATCGAGTTCGAGCGTAAGCCATGACACAACGCGAAGCATCAAAAACAAGAATTACGACATTTCTAACCAATTAAACAATAGCACGATATCAAATAGTCAATCAGAAAATTCGAACAATAGAAACGAGTGTACAAATGTAGAAATAAATAACGCAACTAATATTAATATTAAAAATGGCACTGCGAATAGCACCAACAATATAACTAATTCGAATACTAATGCTAATAATGTGATAAACGAAAGCATAGCGTCCAATAGTCAAGGGAATAATTTAAACGCTACACATCAAAACAATACATCTATTAATATGTTAAGCTCGTCTCAAAATACGCTGAGTAATACGACGTCTGATATATCAAACACTGTTTCTTCTAATTTCAATGAAATGCGTTCAAATATGCCCCGGAGTAATACTGTATCTGTGAATAATTCTATTGGAGGGAACACAACAATTTCAGGACAGAATACAGCCTCTATTCACAATGCACCTTCGTTACAATTGCTGCAAATTACGTCGTTACCGTCCACTCCTCTCGTAACGAATACTGTACCTTCAAAAAAGTGCGAATATCTGAAGGCATGCATGAGGTTAAAAAAGTCACTAGTTTTACCGGACGAATTCTTTTCTCTAGAGGACGTACTCTGTTATTGTAGTGCTTGCTATAAAGTAGAAGGGGATAGTGCAATCTGCAAGAAAGGTGAACCACCGGCAGAGTTTGCTGTGCCAATAGGTTGGACTAGATTTCCATTAAAGCAAAACATTAATGCCAATCAAATTCCACAAAGTACAACGGATAAGTGGCACGTTGCTTTCTATGGTATACGTCTTGATGCAATCAGGTAGGCAGGCTGTACTAAAAACAGTTTTGGAGGATAATTAATTAAGTATTATTTAAGTTTAATTTTACTCGTCCATAGGCTAATTTTGGATACAGGAGAACTTATGACAAAGGAACAATTAGATGTGAGTAATTTGACTATGAATATAAAGGCAGAGGATCAGAATCCCCAAGTGACTTTTTCTCCCAGTATAAAGTATGCAGCATCGGAAGAATTTACTAGGAAATATCCGTAAGTAATTTCAAAGAATATAATAAATTATTTTGTTACTAATTGATCATGTGTCGCAGATATATCGACACCCAATCAAATAAAAAATTAAATGCATCTACCGCGTTTCAACTGTTAGTAAGGCCTGGCTCATATACTATTAGTTCTGGTGGTAAAGACGGTAACGATCCGCAATTTGAATCCAGCAAATGGTCTACCAAAGAAGCAGGGGCCACTGTGATAGTGGCTCTCTTAATTCACCTCGATGGATTTTAATTTGTTCGACACGAAAGTGTGAGGACGTTCTCCTTTGCGGCTCACTATGAGAGACACATCTTCATTTAAGGATAAACGAATGTACATAAGCATTATATAGCGTAATATAATTACCGTAAGATATTTTTTAAAATGAATTTTTTTATCTTGAATTATTCCGTCGAATGTCCACTGTGTATATTTATGTTGAATTCTGTATTAGGTATTTCAGTATAAATGATAGCGATTATCTTGTAAAAGTCTGTTGAAGTTCTCGTTCTTTTGGACTTAATTTAGCATGCAGTGTTAAAACAAGATACGTGATAGGTATAATTCATTGACTATGGATCGAACCAATTTGTAATAATCAGTTCATTAAAGTATACAGTAGCGTGTATATCGAATACATAATATATATGTATTATGTTATACATTTAATGTAGCTACTGGCCTAGGTTTACAGTGACGAGGATTGTGTTGAACAAATATGCACCGAAGATTCGTTGATACATTAACGATGCACTTTAATCCTCGAGCTTTACTCTTAACAAATACCAAATCTTTAAGTATTAGTAACGCAGATAAAAATCTCTTTTTTTTGAAGCACCACTCAGCAATATCGATAAAGAGACATGTTATCTGTATAATGTAGAAATAAAATGATACTACTGTAAATCGCAATACAATGCTATCGTATAGAACTCAAGACACAAATACCCACAAAATTAAATACATTCGGGAAGTGTAATAACCATATTTTGGCATACGCTATTTAAGGTTTTAAATTTTCTTTGTGAATATCATGTGCACCATTTATAAATGCAAAGATCTCGCAAATAATATAACTGGAATGAAAATGATCAACGTGTGTATATTTTATAACATAATTCACTCAATCAATTGATATCATCTAATGTTCTTTATTTTTCAGTTTAAAAAAAAGCAGGAAAATATCAGAAATCGAAGTTTAATAAATAAGGCAAAACTTTTCCTAGTCAGATGTAAAGAACTATCCCTGTATCTTGTAATTACAAATATTAAATCTCAGCATATGTAACAGGCATTTATACATATAAATTAATACTTTCTCATGTATCATATATAATCATTTAATTTAATATGTATAATGTATAACTTCCTTGTAGAATCTATATAGGACCTGCTTTTTTCACGTATCAAAAACTTCGATAAGATAGTGAAACATAAATGTTAAATGTTTCATCCTTTCAAATTCTATTGAAGACAATAATGTTTTTTTTCTTTTTATTCATCCTCTCATTTCTTTTTTGAGATTCATGGATGATGCCAATAACATTTTTCAAAGCTTTAAACCCAAATTCGAACGTTCTGGTCCCAAGAGCAGCTAGCAACAGCCATGCCATTTCCAGCAACGCTTAGTGATGTTACTCGATTCTCGTGACCTGATAAAACACCTTCAAACAAAAGGTAAAGTCAGTTATAACATATAACGAATGATTAAATATATTTAGTTACCATAATAAACTCAAATATCAACGTTTCTTTTTTAGAAAGTAAGAGAAGTACAACTACATGGTAAGATGCTCACCGTTATATTGATTCTTCAAAGTATCCCATATATGAATAGAATTGTCATCACTTCCGCAAAATATGAATCTACCGCTAGAGGATAAACCACATGATGTGTAACCAGGATTCGAACTTGGTGGTTTAAATGTAGCCAATTGCTGATCCGATCTTAAGTCCCACAATCTTGCTGTCTTGTCCTCTGAGGCTGTTACAAAAGCGTGTCCTGAAGGATGATACTGAACAAAGAAATGTTATGTATCATTCCAATTACGTAAGTTTTATGAAAAGATGTAAAATCTGTATTTTGTCATAGAGGTGACTCGACTACTTACGCAAACCGAATTCACATCAGCCTCATGTCCAAAAAAAGTTTGCTTCGCAGTCTCCTCTCTTAGATCCCACAACTTACATGTCCTATCCACTGATCCTGTCACATATGTGTTTCCATCTGGAGATAGGCTAATACTAACCACGTCTCCAGCGTGGGCGCAAAAATCCGTCGTTTTCTTATTTGCTTCCAAATCCCATATACAGCTGTAAGAATGTTAAAGATATCTTTTAGAAAAGCTATATAGCATGGGATAATTATCATTCATTATTATTTTCCAGGTATGAGTACATTTTCATATCACCAGATCCTGTAATAATCCTCTTGTCTTCCAAAAATCTACAGGATGAAAGGAAACCTTCATAGCCTAGTAATTCTCTAACAATTTTCGCTGAACCTGTGGCATCACGATTATTCACATCGTAGACAGTACACATATTATCCATACCACCGCAAGCAACGAAATTTCCGGATGGTGCAAATGCTACTGACATTACCCATGCTGAACGTAATGGAATCACCTGAACCTTGTTTCCAGTCCAGGAATCCCAGATAATTAATTTTCCATCTAACGAGCCTGTCACGCAATGTCTGAAAAGCAACGACCGTTTTTAATACACTTTTAAAGGAACGAAAAATGGAAAAAGGATTGTCACAGTTCTTTTTCATGATGTAAACCAAAGTATTAGAAGACTGACCTACTGTCACCGCTGTAATGCACCGAATTCACCTTATTGATATGTCCTTTCAATAATTTTTTTGTTGATAATTTAACTTTTGGAGCATCTGCTACACTACTACATGCTTCCTCCAAGGTCGTGTCTTGTTGTTTCTTTTGATCTTCCTGATATATCACGAAGTAAGATTTTAGATCATGTACAAGTAAAAGTATTTACATTTCTTAATTATTATTTTAATAATGAACGATGCGAATGACTTATCTAATGTTACCTTGCATTTGTTGATTAGATCCTCCAGTTCCTTCTTTAAAGCTACTGTTTCCGCATCATCCTTCCCCATCTTCTAATCGAGTGTTGGTTTGTTTGAAAATTGCTGAGGAACTGAAAACGAAACAGTGACGATGATGAACGCACGGATACTACGAACAAATTTTCATCAAAATGTAGAAGAAGCCTCAGCATCGTCTACCCTGCTGCCCTAGTAATTGTATTAAATCAAAGTTTAATCTCATTTGTTGAGCATTAGTTCGATTCTTCGAACTAACTTAATTACCTACATACACGATAACTCCTTTTATTATTTTGTACATGTAATTCTTTTTATTAATATTGCGTATATAAAAAAATGTTACTGGCATGATGTATAATGTTTTGGGAAAGTATTATCATTTTTTTAATTCGTTACTTTCTCGATTAAAAAAAAAAAGTTAGTAATATATCGATAATTGATTTGTATGAAATTTTCATTTGTTCATTTTTCATCTCAGGAAACAATTTCTAAATACAAAGGAGAAAAACGTACGCGGTTACGGTGCACATAGACTCTCGTTTCTCTCCTATAAAAAGTGTAATCCGTCGCGCTTTCGAATTCTATCACCTATAAATGATTCCATTGTCGATCTGAATTGATGTAGTTTTAATCGGTTCATCTGTTAGAAATGAATCTCGCATGAAATATCGCATTAATATAACACGCCAGTAACAATGTAAAAATAATAAGACAGACTATATATTTCATTCTTATTTTAAATATATAATATAAATTAAAAGAGTGTGATGCATAATTGTATGTTCATCCATTGATACTGATCCTCATTTTTTCCAGTAATTGCAAAAGGAAGTTTGTTGATTGATTTGAAAGATTTATTAATAATTGTGTACCATACAAAGATGGTAAATAGAAACATTATATTGTTTGGAGTTCTCTTATTGAATTCTTTAAGTTGTGACGTCGCAATTGAAAAAGTTTGTTTAAATTTAATGCAAGACCGCAACAAAAACTTATCCTGTGAAAGTGATTTATCAAATATATTTAAACAAATTATTTTTGAACGCTCAAAGGCAAGCATAACATCTTGCGATTACATTATAAAGGGTGAGTAAATGATAGAGTAGAGGAATACTTTCATGTTCATATTTATTTTATACTTTATTATTTCAAACGATACAGTAAAGTTATACAATTATTTGAAATTTTTGCGAATATTTACCAACTGTATTCAAATTATTTTTGATTCATTAGGTTGGTACACATCATTAAAAGATACTTTCATGGTATTATCGACTGTACAAATGCAATATTTGTGCAGTCGGTAACTGAACGATATGTACTACAACAAGTGTTTGTTGTTCCTATTTTTTGTTTATTTTGCAATATATTAGTTCTGTTTTTTAAGGATTACAATATTACAAAGGTGCAATTGAATTCTTATCTAACTTTTAGTCTAGAGTAAAATGAATTAGGAATACGCTCAATGTAATCGCGTACCGAGATTCGTGCCACTCCCAATATTAATAAATCAATGAAAACACGAATTTAAGAATTTATAGTATTTACAGAAACATTTATTTTTCTATTATATGGTTGAAAATATTCGTAAAAATCCTATCATGTTCTCCCAAAACGATAAGTTAAATACGTCCACCGAACATAGTCGTTGAAGATAGTAACTTTCATTGAAAAAGCGTGGGAGCAACGGCGGACTTGCTTTCCGTTCTTCGAAGCCAATCCTGGTTAGAACAGTGTGTTTGATGTGTTCGACCGTGCAGTCGTGTTTTTTGCTAGTTTAAAATGAATCCTAAAAGTCTTGGATGTTGTCTTCTTTGGAGCCTATTTCTAACATACCACGTGGTTAGTGAAACTCCACCTTCAACAGACACAAAGGGTAATAGCTTCATTGTCATTGTTTCAACCCTTTGATATAAAAGGGGTAGTTATACATTGAAAATTGTTGTCAATGTTTCTAAACATATAACTATATCGCTGTGCATACCAAAGAGGTAGTATTGCAATTATTATAATTGTCACATTATCAATATTATTTTTAATTGATCATTCATTTCTCGTTGTATCACTTGGTTAACTGTCTGAGAAAAAGCATTGCAGTGTATTGAGTGTTGCAATGCAAAAATGTTACTTTATACAACTAAATGTTTATTATTATTTTTATTTAAAAATTTTAACCACATTCTTTGAAACCAACTATTATTTCGAGAATCGTCGAGACGACTCGAATTTGTAAGTGTCGTTTACCTGGTCTTTTTTTCGTGATTGCCCAGCAGGGAAAGTTTTCAGTGCATTGACCTCAATAAATACAAGATGTATCAGTTATTTGAATACATTTTTTAAATTATTCATGACAAAAGTACATAATTCTCTAATTCGATAAAAAGGCGTCTGCCTGAAATGATCTTATCTCATTTATCAGAAACTAAAAAACAGTTGACCTCTTTCATTTAAATTGTACACGAGATCACGGTATTTTTATCCATGACATAACTTTGCTGAGAAGTAATCACTCTGCCGCTTCGTTTATTACGAGTGCATTACGGCAAAATATTAACGAATCATCTATTAAGTATTCATTTTATTTTTTTCGATTAATTGTTCATCTTAAAAGCTATATAGCGATGGTTGATTATAAAATTACTTACGTTACTCGATAAATTATTAGCGTAATTAAAGCAATAAAGTCATATAATTGGTGTGTATATATATTCGTATATTACTTCTTTAATGATCATTTATAAAAAGAAAAAATAGAATTTTACAGTTATTACGATACATTGGCTGCACAAAGGAATTGCAAAGTAGTGTCATTTTAATCTGTTCCTTGTCTTTGCTTCGGCGGATAACTAGAACGTATACTAAAGTTGTTATCTTTCAGTTTCCGGCTGCATAACACTGCATACGTGACTTCGGAGATGTCCGCGTCTCCTCTTATTTTAATTAGCTTTGATATTCCCTTACAGCTCATCTTTCCTTTCTACTGTTTCCTTCTCTTTTTTATAGATTAATTTGCAAAAATTATAACGAATTTAATATTCTTCGTCATTGAAGCTCAAATTTCTTCGGCAAAGATATCACAATCAAATGCGTGCGCGCAAACCTACGCACTGCCAGTAACGACGCAAATCTTGCATTTTTATATGACCATTTTAAACGAGGATTGAATGAACATAATGATAGGATGATTTCGCGTTGTCCTGAAAGAGAGTATCACGTTTCATGATACTGTATTTCAACTTGACTTTATACAATTTGATATTTCCACGAGTTTGTTAGTTGCGTTTAGACATGACATGATTTTTAACACAGCCGGCAACTTCGTTTGTATTACACTCGAGTCATGATGTCATGTCGAAAAAGTAACCATGAATACCGCTCGCTCGAGTATAACAGACCTCCATGTGTTTATGTTATTTCGTCAGAAATAGACAAACGCTCCTTAAATTCCAGTGGGTTCGAGCACATGTTAGCGTGCTTTAAGAACAGAATATTTAGGACGAAACATTAAACATCGCTCATTGCTATTAACATAAATTACAAATATATTAAAGCTGATTAATAACTGATGTACAATTTTATGTTAAAAATTCCTCGTTGTAGAAAGTGAAAACCATTATTTTCACGTTCACGCTCTACCGATTGCTTGAGGCTTCGGATTATGCGTTTGCGGTTGAAACTGTAATTGTCGTGCTCTAAATTCACATCAATTCAGACGAATCGTTTAAAGTCTCATAGATTAAAACAATTTGAAACGATGCGTCCAACAACTTCGTATCTATTGCAACATCAGAATATAATATAATTTCAATTTCAGATGTTCTCGTTTTTACTGTTGCCACGAACGAGACCGATGGTTACAAGAGGTATGTCAGGTCCGTTGACGTCTACGGATTTCGCGATAACTTAAGGGTCCTTGGTACGGGAAGCCCTTGGCTGGGCGGTAAAGTACGGACTAGTGCGGGTGGAGGATATAAAGTTAATCTACTGAAACAAGCTTTAGAAAAATATAAAAACGATGAAGAAAGAATTGTGATGTTTACGGACAGGTTTGTACTGCATAAATTTTACCGGTAGCATCTTTACTTCTTCATCGAAAGTTTAATACATATTCTCGTTTATTTCAGTTATGACGTGATATTTTTATCTGGCTTAACCGAAATCATCGAAAAATTTAAGAACACGAATGCCAGAATTTTATTTTCTGCCGAAGGATCATGTTGGCCGGACAAATCATTGGCCTCTAAGTATCCTCCTGCAACTGGAGGGAAGCGTTTTCTAAATTCTGGTGGCTTCATAGGCTACGCTTCGGATATTTACGCGATTTTAACATATGCTCCCATAAAAAATGAAAACGACGATCAATTACATTACACGATAGCGTATCTCGACGAAAAACTGAGAGAGCAGCACAAAATCAAGTTGGACCACAAATCTGAAATATTTCAAAATCTCTATGGCGCTGTAGGTAAGCGAACAAATAACAGTAAATATTGAACAATCTTTGTTTGTTTTATAAGAATAGTATGATATTGATGAATTTGTTTTATAGCCGACGTGGAGTTGAAATTTGAGGGAGGGAAAGCCTCTCTATTAAATACAGTTTACAATACAGAACCGCTGATCCTTCACGGGAATGGTTATAGCAAATTATCTTTGAATTCTTTGGGAAATTATTTGGCCAATGCTTGGAGTCCCGAAGAAGGATGCGTCATGTGTTGGGAAGGCACGACAGAATTAGATAAAACGCTGCCGGAAACATATCCAGTTATATTAATCGCTATATTTATCGAACGACCTACTCCCTTTTTGGAAGAATTTTTGTTGACGATATACGAACAAGCGTACCCAAAATCTAAATTAGATCTATTTATTCACAACACCGTGGAATACCATCAAGACGTAGTTAATGATTTTATAAAGAAATTTGGAAAAGAGTATAGAAGTAACAAACAAGTTCTTCCAAAAGATTCCATAAACGAAGCTGATGCAAGAAACTTAGCCATGTATATATTTAAAGTATTATTTCATATAAATTTTTAATTAATGGTACATATTTCTAACGAAAACATTTCTTTAGGGACTACTGTTTGCTGAAGAAATGCTCTGGTTACTTCTCAGTGGATTCCATTGCTCACTTGGACAACGAATATACCTTAAAGTTACTGGTAGAACAGCAACGTGGAATTGTCGCTCCCTTGCTAGTTAGACCTTATAAAATGTGGAGTAATTTCTGGGGTGCTATAATGGACGACGGATTCTACGCTCGAAGCTTCGATTATATGGAAATTGTAAAGAATGAACGCAGGTAAATTTCAAAGGAAAAATTGATTTCATAAACAGTAATTTCGATTTATTATCCAAGAGTTATGTATTCAAAAGTGATACATCTCAAAAATCGCTCTATATATTCCGGTTAGTCGCTCTAACGATTTGAAAGAAAGTTTTAATTCTGAAAGAAATCTCAGCTATCAAGAGTAACCTATAGGAAGTTATCCGACATTGAAATAGCATAAACTTAATCAAACGCAATAGAGAAGTCAGTCTTAAAAGATCTACGATCGATACTATACATATTATCGGCTGTACATTCATAAACGCCAGCATCCATTTGAGTCGCAGGATCAATTTCTAGTTTTGATTTCACTTTGTCAGGTCCAACTTGCCATTCGTGTACCTTTACATCAGAAATTCATTTCGTTAACATTCATATAGTGCGTATTCATAATCATAATCAAGTATACTAACGTGTAAGTAATGATGAGTGTAAATTTCTGCACCATCCTTAAACCATGTTATGTGTGGACGTGGGTTTCCACGTGCAACGCAAAGGAAAGCGATTTTGTGTCCTAAGACGTATTCCAAATCAAAGTGCGACGCCAATAGTATTTTAGCTCCCTGCACAAAACATTCTTAAAACTTTAAGTTGGAACTGATTCGATTAATTTCGTCTAGAGATACACGTACATTATGATTATTATAGTATTGATCACTTTCTGGATCACGATACTTTCCAGTAATAGGTAATCCTATTTGAACTCGTGATTTAGTTTTTCCCCTGCCTCGTGCTCTTCGTCCAAGAATCTCCTGGCTATTGAGCAGCAATACGATTAATAAAAGTATCATCACCATAGAATGTGACATGACGATCTGAGAAAAACAAACAGAAACGTGTAATTCAAGTGAAAATTTCGAAAAAAAATTATATCACAAAAGGACATGTAGTGCTTCTTTCAAATGTCATTGCACTTCGTATTTTTCAAAATAAGTTAGAACCACAAGAGCATAATATAATCGATAAAATGTTAAATTTATGATGTTTGGTTTAACACAGAAGAAAGCACAGATTTTTGTTTATTACACGATAACATTGATTCACGGGAATCTGTCGCAGATACTCACCGAGTACAAGCAACGTACGACGTTCACACGGAACTCCAATGTAACTGACAGTCACCTACTCATTACTCCCCTAGTGTCCTTTCCTATCTATTACAGACGTATAGACAGATACTGACGAGTTACGTGTATTGCATGTGCATGTACTAGTTATTCTTTTGACACCTATTGTAACTCGGGCATCATCATCATCAAATACTAAATTTACTGGGTTGATACTTATTCAGCGCAGTGCCGATTTATAAACGAGGTTAAACAAGAAGGTATTAAAGCCAATGGAATTGAGAGTTGTTATAGTAATCTGCTAATTTGAATTTTCATTTTCGATATCTTGTGGAACTTAATGATTCGTTTTCATCGATTAACTTCCACGATCTGAGTTTCTGAAAATCTTCGTTTAACTTAAACTCGCATTGGAAAGTGTTCGTCTTTCACTGAAACTTGATAAATATTATGACCAGTCGTTGGATAAATTCTCGTAAAATTATTTTCAATATATATTATATTCTGCATCGCAGATGTACCACCCTTATGAGAGTCAATTGCGGTTTAATGAACAAGAGCTGGGGGAACTCTGAATTTCAAAGTGTGTCGTGATGCGTTGGAATCCTTAACATTTCTGTGTATTAAAGAAAGCAGCGGGAAGCATTTTATAGTAATCACAGTTGCATTTAAATAGTTATTTAATGGAACCAAGCAAATACCTTTTATCAGTCTTTTTAATGTATAATTCTTAAAGAACCATAAACTTATTAGTATTTTCTTTTATTATCTTGTTGTAAATAAACAATTTTTATTATTGCTAAACGAATAAAATTGGAATATTCGAATTGGACTTGAATGATTCCAAGAAGATTACAAAAGCTACTTAATTTTGAAATAATAAAATGAAGCAAGTACCAATTTCAATAGGAGATCATGACATAATCTGTCCTGAAACCACGACGATCGACCGCGTATTGATTGTCTGCTTGACACTCGTAATACCCCGCATCTTTCTGTGTAGCAGGATCAATTTCCATCTTTGATTTTAGAGTGTCATTTCCGACAGGCCATTCGTGAACCTACAATTATAATACACACGTGTGACATATGACAACATTTTATAAAATAAATGAATCGGTTCTCGTTTAGCGATAAGAGTACCTGGAAGAACTTATGATGGTACAATTCGATTCCGTCTTTTAACCAGGTGATCTCAGGTCTTGGGAATCCAGTAGCCATGCAGAAGAAGGTGATCTTCCTACCGAGCATGTAATCTAATTCAAAGTGAGAAGATTTCACTATTCTTGCACCCTAAAATTATCGAAGGTTTCACAAACTATTGTTGACGTTAATTAAGAAATGATCAGAGACTCACATCTTTGTTTTCGTAGTAATTGGCACTAGCAGGATTCCTATGAGGAATTAGAATAGGCATTCGTGATTTGTATACTCTTCCTCCACTGCGCCGACCACCTCCTCTACCTCCTCCACCTTTTGCCGCGTCTGTGCTCATCAGCAAAGTGGTAAACAAAAACAGACACAATAGTTGACATCTCGTCATTTGTTCGACGACTACGCTTTCGTTCGTTTAAGAAAACAAGACGAACTTTCTATGACTACTGTTCGTACACTTTACACGGAATACGTACACTTGGTTGCCTTAGTTTCCAAGTAGATTCAAATCGATTATACTAGATATTCATAAAAATTGTTGACATATAATTATTCTAGTATGAAATTGTAACATTCGAAACTTCACTGAAAAATAGATATTGGTGGTAAGAATAACACGATCCCTAAGTGCTTACTAGCTACTCGGAGACGCTTCTTCTAACAAGTGGTCAAGCAAAATCGGTGGCTTTGGGCTCCGCCTGTCCCTACTGCCTAAAATATGAATGGACTACACTTGATTGTCATGCCGTCACTGGTGACAGAGTTATGAATCTCAATTGGATAATTATGCATAACCCATTGCCAGTGTGTTCATCGGCCAATCACGACATCAGAATGATTGCCTTACAAAATACTTAAACGACGGCCTCTGAAAACAACTTTGTCTCGCGGCAAACAACTGTGCCTGCCCCTACGATCAGTCTGCGTCTGCTTCTTTGTTGGCCTTCAGCTCCTGAGAATGTCAGACCGATCAGATACCCACGTGCTTGTCCGTCCAATTTAGTATTTTTATTTCATTCACAAAATTGCAGTGATACTTGGGTGACCTTAATAACTAACCGATATTATTGCATTATATCGTTTCAGAGGATTATGGAACGTACCATTTATCAGCACTTGCTACCTAATTAATGCAACGTTAATAAGCAACAAAGAGACCCGTCCGTCCTACGTTGAGGGTGATTTGGACACGGACATGGCTTTTGCTTATGCTAATAGAGAACGATCTATCTTCATGTACGTTAGTAATAGAGTTGATTTTGGACATCTCGTTAATCCAGATAGTTACGATATTGCACTCACGCATCCCGATTTGTATCAAATTTTGGATAACAAATTAGACTGGGAAAAAAAATACATACACGTAAATTACTCTGAAAACTTCAACCCTGAACGAACTCCCATACAGGCAAGTTTTTATGCTATTATCTCTAATGAACGTATACATATATGTTTGCCATGTAATTTCAATTAAATTTTGTTCATTCTAGCCTTGCCCAGACGTTTACTGGTTTCCTATAGTAAACGAGAAATTTACCAAATCATTGATCGATATTATGGAAGCATTTGGAAAGTGGTCGGATGGATCCAATAATGTATGATAATTTATAATCTTAACAAGTAACATACGTTTATCATAGTAGTATAATATTCTTAAAGTATTGTTACTAATATACAAAACAATTAAACACACGATAATGTTTTTCATAAGAAATAATGAGTCGCTGATTTCTTCGACAGGATCCAAGATTAACGGGTGGTTACGAAAATGTACCAACTCGTGATATTCATATGAATCAAGTAAACTTTGAGCCACAGTGGCTGTATTTCTTAAAGGAGTACGTTAGGCCCCTTCAAGAGCACGTTTTCATCGGATATTACCATGACGTAAGATATTTGTTCTTTTTTTAATGTATACATCCATCGTTTTTAGGATCCACGTATCGATGGCGGATACGAAGCCGTGCCGACGCGAGATATTCACATGAAACAAGTTGGCCTTCATGAAACTTGGTTAAATTTTCTTTACGAATATGTCAGCCCTTTGCAAGAGCATGTTTTTATAGGCTACTATACAAGCGTAAGAATTATAAAAACAAAAACCAATTTTGGAAGGGTATGGGATTAGTTATCGAATGCACAAAAATTTTATACACCTCGTTAGATGAAATCGATGCACCGTATGACTGATTTAAAATTATACATATGATCCTCTCTGAATCGCACCGCTTTTAGTTGGTAACAGGCTTCGTATTCTCATTATTCTCATTTTTATCATATCTCATCAAAAGCAAGAATTTTTATTTGGTATTTTAAAAAATATAACTAAGGCTGTACATACATGGCTAAATATATTCGTATAATATACATATATTATTAAAGAGAATTGAGAGACTACCAAATCAAGCATCGGTTAAATAATTGATTATTTTTATACGAATTTTCAGCCACCACGTTCGCTCATGAACTTCGTCGTAAGATATCGCCCAGATGAACAACCATCATTGAAGCCACATCATGATAGTTCAACTTATACGGTTAACATCGCGCTGAATAAGCGGGGAGTGGATTACGAAGGAGGAGGTTGCCGATTTATCCGATATAATTGTTCTGTCACGGACACAAAACCTGGTTGGATGTTGATGCATCCTGGAAGATTAACTCATTTTCACGAAGGACTTCGAGTAACTAATGGTACTCGATACATTATGATTTCATTCGTCGATCCTTAATTCGTTAAACAAATGACACGACCTCTTCAATAATGGAAATAAATATATATCATCGTATTAGAAGAGAAGGTGTATAGAAAACATTTGAATGTTTTCATACACGTTTATCTATTAACCAATAAGTTACTTGTTAGTCGCATACTTAAACTGCCGAAATGAACAAACTATGCATTTAAGAAAAAGAATGTCCTCTTGTTGATGTTATTTTTTTAACGTGTGAAGAATATTAATGTGGAACAATTAGAAATCGTAAGTGTTTGAAAATAAAGCGTTAAGTTGCATTTGTATTTGTTATCTTTGACAATACTATGGAATAATTATTAGTACATCAGCTTCAGTTTATTGCTTCCTTTTTTTTTATTAAAAATGTTTTTAAATTATTTACAACTTAAGATAAATACTACATAACTATTTTCGCATTTTAGTAATTTGTATCATTCAACGCGTAATCTTTCTCAAAATTCAATCTGTTTTTAAATTTTAAACTAACGAATTTTCTAATGCAATCATATACGCCAGAAATTTTTAGAAATAAAGCTTTTTCGCGTCACTCTAACTCCGCGTCTCTATACAGTTTTCAATATGTTACAATATTAGGAACATCCGTAGGATAAGTAATTAGATTAACATCACTGAATAGCAAACTTTGAAAAATTGATTTAATCATATTTCCGCACATTTATTTACATAGTAAAAAAAGTGCCTCGTTAGAATGATACTGACGAAATTGTAATATGTCACAGCACAACAACAGCATACTTAAATTCATTTAAAAGACACTTTCTGTATGAAAAGATAAGTACATTTAAAATTAATTCCAGTATTACATAGTTTTTACAGTTTAACTGACGCTTTTTGTTTACTTCACATACACACATTCAATAATTTCATATCGCAAAAGATTCAATTAACTCACGTGTACACTTCACGCTTTAAATTACTTTTCGTTCTTCGTGCCACACGAACGAACTAAATTTCGACGTAGCACAAATATAACAAGCGACGAATTAACGTAGTAGTACGTTATAAAAATGTTCTCTGCCAGCGAGTATTTTTTTTTGCCATATAGATATTTAGTAAACACGAATGCTATTCAATTTAACTAGGCATTATTTACATTTTGTTCGATTCATAGAAAAGATTAAGATTATATATCGTTTTAATAACCAGCCCGTTTTAATTCGTTCAACTGATGCGCCAACTTTTCCTCTTTAGTTCTTCTGGCTTGACCTAACTTCCTGCATTCGATATAAGTGCTAAGAAAGCGTTCAACGTCGATCTTTCTGTTCAAGAAGTCTTCAGCGATCTTTTCACTCTCTTCGTGACTTTCATCCGCTGCTTTCCTCAAACATTCTTTTATATGATCTGGAGTAAACACTTCAGATAATTTATTATATCGTTGTATTAACTGATCGTATCTGGCCTTTAATACAGTGACAGTTTGCACCTTATTTGCTACATCAGATTGTAATTCTCTAAGCTCAGGTTCTTTGGCTATGTTGGCCTCTAAACAAAGAAAATAAAGAATAATGATAAAAAAATTCATATATGATAGATTAACGATAACGCAGTAAAAAAAGGATTACCGGCAGTTTTTTGGACCCAATCTATTGCTTCATCGATAGCTACGTTAATGTCTTTTAAATCGGAATGATTATCTAGGAATTCATCTAATTTATCGTCATCCTCGTTGAGCCGTTTCAATTCCTCATTAGTTAAAGAGTTTAATTCTGGAAATGCTACGCTTTGTTGAGGTTTTGTTTGCGCTTGACTCGGTAATGATTGCTGATGGTAATTTGCATTTGCATAGTGGGAATTTAAATACGTTCCATGCTGATTCGAGTTGTATCTTGTTGGATCTGTATTATGAATTGAGCTGCTCCTTGAAGTCGCACTATACGTTGACGGTTGCGACGAAGAACCAAATTTTGTATGGCTATCCGTTACATACGCGGGACCCGAATTTGTATGATTGTAGTTATAAATACAAGTATTTGCACTAATGGACGAAAATTGTGGAAATTGCGTAGTATAATAAGAATTATATGATGTCTGGACATCTGTGTACTGTTGTAAAGAGTAAGACGGTGAATTTCTTCCTTGCAAATCTGTAATTTATGTTGCATGGAGCAAAAGTGTTTATTTTATTTAACATGCTTGAACAGTATAAATACCTCTATGCGATTTCACAGGAGAAACATCTTCTAGTAGTTGTGGAGGATTTTTACTGAATTCCCTAATTATAGCTTGAACGACACGACCAAGATCACTGTGCACTGTAAACTGATGTACAAAAATAAATAATCTAGGTAATACTTGCCAGAAAAAATATTCTTTGTGTAATAGACTTTACATTAAGAAGTCCTGGTGCACTTGTGATTTCACTATGTTCGTTACACCAAGGATGATTTATGGGTGGAGAAACTCTTAGTACTGGCTTTTCCATCGGAAACTCAGGTGACAAAGAAACCATAATAGCCATTCTCCTTTCCCCAGCATTAAACTGCACTTGATACTCAACATCTTCTCTTAATTCTACTACACTAAAATATTATGAATCACAAATGATAATTAAATAACATTAGCATGTAATTACACATGTAAGGTCATGAGCAATTTTTATGAAAAACATAAAAAGGGCTTGAAGAATCTGTATTGAAGTTAAATAAGAAATTATGCGATTTGTCTTAAAATAAATAAACCTACCAAACAAAGTGATGATATCATTAATTGTTGCGTTACGAACGCGCAATTACTGCAAATAGAAAACTAACTACTAATTACTGTTATATCATCTACTGAAATTTGAACTTTTATTTTTTTAAAAGAATTAGTAATTAAAGTATTTTATGTCTATGAAAAACGTATACGGAATAAATTGTTTATTAAACAGGCAGATAGGTTACCACGAGTAAGGTTAAATGAAATAGGTTACAACAAAAAGTTTTCTTACTTGTCATTAAAAATTTTCAAGGTATCGATTTGCCGTTTTCTCTTGACTGCGACATTTTCATTTTCGCCACGGAATATTCGCGATATCATTTAAAAAGATTAAATTTAAACAAAACATTCGCTTTATCCTTCAACCTTTCTGTCAAAGCAACCATCCAGCAGCAGAACAGCTGTTTAGATCTTCGTCATGCTTCATAGGAGAAAGCGAAATGTATCGTAACGTTAGTAGTATTCATTACACGTATATGTAACACCATTTAAAAAATATTTATTATTGTGAAGCATAAAAAACCATCTTAAATATTGTAATTTTTGCACAATACTCTGATTTGAATAATTTACAAACTAAATTTTAGACAATCAATATGTTTTCGATTATTACACAAGCGACGTTTTGACACTACAAAACCTAATATTCTTATCTGCAAGTTCAGAAAGAACTATTATTATTTTTAAATTTTCTTTAGTTTATTGTTTTTATGAAACTTTTATTTTGAAAATGTAATTAGACTTCGCTTTATGATCATAATAAAAATTGAGGATAATAAATATATGTAAAAATCATAATTTTTTATAATTTATAATCAGTTTTTACAAATATCCAATATTGTCCGCGATTAATTACTTAACTTATTGGTGCTTTTAAAGCGATAAAATATTTCTGCTTCAAATAATTTGTTAGGTTAGTCTATTAATCTTGTTTATTAAACTTAACAATTTAATAAGTAACATTCAATTCAGCATTAAAATATGAAAACTTTATTAAATACCAATAATATGTTCTTGTTTATTACTACAATGTGACTTTGTTGAATCATGTAAAACTCAAAAACTGAAATTGAATAAACTACATAATTTATCTGATGATCCATCCATGTAATTGCACATTCTCTTGTCTGCATGGGTACATATGAAATGACATATTTACATTTTAATATTTAGTCAATATTAATAAAAGAACAATTTACTATACTAGTTCGTAAAAGGAGGGGTGCATTTCTTGCTGCTGCACCAGGATGACTCATATGCTTTTTATGCAGAGTACTACCTGATGTCTTTCGTCTCTTTGTACAAGAACCAAACACATGTTTAAACGATTCGTTCTTTGTGATATTCCTTTGCTTGAATAACATATCTTTGTGTCTGGGATAGGATTTGATACCGTTATCTGATGGATTAAATTCATTCTTCTCTTTTATTGTGATCATATTGGTTGCTTCTGGACTGATGCATACACTATTATCACAAATTTGTTTTTGCAAAGATTTGGGTGTCTGAATAAGATTTTGTAGCATTTTTAAACTTCGAATCCTAATCTCAGACATGCCATTTATTTTTGGGGCAGAGTGCTTTTTTATAAACTGAGGGGAAGTTATTTTGGTTGTTGATACAGGGACTGTTTCTAACTTAGGTGACATTATTGACTTGGAAACCTCTTGCTCATTATCAAACTGCTCTTCCATTTTTACAGTGACAAGCTCATACTTTCCTAATATGCAGTCACTTTCGCTTTTGTTCAGCTGTTCTCTCTTGATCTCCTCTTTACCCCTGTTTTCATCTTCATTTATATTTTTGTTATTGCTCTGGTGTTCTTTCCTATTCATGTTTTTTGTACAAGGGTTAAAATTATCTTCCAATTTCTCTTCATTGTCAATCTCTTCTTTCACCCTCTTCTCCAATGATACTATAAAGTGCTTTGCTTTGTTGGATATATTCTGGCATTGAACCTTTGTTTGAGACATTGCAGAAACTGATTTTACCACCATCAAGGTGGTATCATTTTCATTTAAATCAAGATTTAAATTGCTGAAAAAATGAAGTCTTTATTCACTGATAAATGCTTTGTAATTTTTAACATAAAGCCTGCTGTTAAAGCTTGGATAATCACTGTTAAAATAACATATACCAAGGTATTTACCAATGAATTTTTTTACAGTACTCTCCCCCACGTTAGACTCATCATTCTCTGGCTTAGTAATGTAAACTATTGCTCAAAGCAACTTCAAAATTGTAAAATATCATCGCTCGAAAATACTCTCAACTAATTTCCATGGTAAACCTGATTAAAGAACTCTGTCCTGTTTGAAATCAAAGCAAAATGCAATGTCTGTCACTCATGTATCCAGGGAAGGTCTTATACTGCAAGAATCCATGTATAGATAGCGCATACTGAACACTGTAACTAGAGTTTGTAACTATACATTGCAATAAAAATAATAAAACCTAATTCCTAATTAATCAATTCTTACCCTTGTTTTCTAGAGATAGATAAATAAAGATCTATGAATGCAGAATACAATATATTACTCAATGTTTACTTTGTTTATACATAAATTGTGTCACGACACTGAAATAAATTATTCTTTATTTTCCATTTGTCCCTTTTTCCGTTTTTGCATCCACGTCGCATACGCCCATATTTATTTCTCACTTGAAATGAACCAAAGACGAGATATACAGTCCACATGCCATCTACTGCTGAACGGATAAATTAACAGAATAATAATGTTTTAAAAAAACCGCCACAAATGCCGTTAACAGCGCCATCTAACAACAACCAGCCGAACTATTACGAACACGGGTAAAGTACCGACCGGATTCTGTCGGTAATTAATTGATTACACTTCAACGGTAATATACCATCAGCGAAGTTTCCATTGTAGTTCCGCTACTCACCGCTAGATGGCGCTGCGGCGCCCCTACCTAAGGGGGCGTTCAGATTAGGCAAGTACCAGACAAAATAGCCTAATATGAACGACATTTAATTAAAGTTCCTCGCCTCGCCGGTAGATGGCGCTGCGGTGAACCTTCCTAAGGGAGCATTCAGATCAGGCAAGTTGCAGTCAAAATGGCCTAATGTGAACGACATTTAATTAATGTTCCGCATCTCACCGCTAGATGGCGCTGCGCCGAACCTACCTAAGGAGGCGTTCAGATCAGGCAAGTACCAGTCAAAGTAGCCTAATGTGAACGACATTTAATACAGCCGAACGATTTCCGCAAGATGTTAATAATGTATTTATCTATAAATAAAATGTATTATGTCATTTGCTGTACAAGAATGTTTGAAAATAAATATTAATAAAAACATGTATTTGCGTATTTATTTATTTATAAATCCCGTCATTCCGATCCCCAGAAATTGTCCTAAACTTTTAAAAATAAAAAATAAAAAACAAAATATTGAGAATTTGTACCAGGAGAACATGCATTAAGAGGAGGTATTCTTTGTGCTTCATAGAATTTTCGTAGCGTCATTTCAAGAATTCCCTGGCGCGATTTTTGAAATTCAAGCCACTAATTTTGAAAATTTGTATCAGGAGAACATAAGTTATGAGGAGGTATTCTTCGTGCCACTTCTTGGAATTTTCATGACGTCAAATTCCAAGAATTCCGGGGCGGAAATTTTGAAATTCTATCGACCAATTTTAAGAATTTGTATCAGGAGAACATAAGTTGTGAAGAGGTATCCTTCGTGCCACTTCTTGGAATTTTGATGACGTCAAATTCCAAGAATTCCCGGGCGGAATTTTTAAGATTCTACCGACCAATTTTGGAAATTTGTATCAGGAGAACATGAGTTGCGAGGAGGTGGCACAAAGATTCCCCTGATCCAGGGTTCGAATTTTGAAATTTGGTATCAGGAGCACATAACTGTCGAAGAGGTGGCACGCAGAATTTTGGCATCCAAATTCTCGATTTTTTGAAATTTGGTATCAGGAGAACATGAGTCGCGAGGAGGTGGCACAATAATTTTTCGAAACCGAATTCTCGATTTTGAACTTTGGTATCAGGAGAACATGAGTTGCGAGGAGGTGGCACAGAAAATTTTTTGAAGCCGAATTCTCGATTTTGAAATTTGGTATCAGGAGAACATGAGTTGCGAAGAGGTGGCACAATAATTTTTCAAAACAAAATTCTCGATTTTGAACTTTGGTATCAGGAGCACATGAGTAGCATGGAGGTATCCGTGCCACTTCTTGGAATTTTGATGACGTCAAATTCCAAGAATTCCCGGGCGGGATTTTTAAAATTCCTCCGGCCAATTTTGGAAATTTGTATCAGGAGAACATAAGATGCGAGGAGGTATCCGTGCCACTTCTTGGAATTTTGATGACGTCAAATTCCAAGAATTCCCGGGCGGGATTTTTAAAATTCCTCCGGCCAATTTTGGAAATTTGTATCAGGAGAATATAAGTTCTGAGGAGGTATCCGTGCCACTTCTTGGAATTTTGATGACGTCAAATTCCAAGAATTCCCGGGCGGGATTTTTAAAATTCCACCGATCAATTTTGAGAATTTGTATCAGGAGAACATAAGTTGTGAGGAGGTATCTATCATGCTACTTCTTAGAATTTTGGTGACGTTGAATTCCGGGAATTCTCATGTTCTCGTGATACAAATCCTCTCTTTCGAATATGTAAATTTTTATTTTTGTTGGGTTTGTTAGGTAACAAATAAATACACAATGATTGTTGATAAATTTTTCTTTATTTTCACCATTTTTCATACAGTGCATAACTTAATTAAACTAACGTCGGCGCTCGATCGATTTGGGGATAATAAAAAACGGGGTACTGCCCTTAAGATGACACCATTTCAACTTTATTGCGGTCGGGGGACATTTTTCCGCTGTGCACCGCTAGATGGCTGAGCATTTTGCATCCTGTAAAAATCAATATTTTTTATTTTTCTTTTCTGACTCGGTTGGCTCATTGCGATTATAATCTTGCTCTTCTACCGATATCGCAGAATATTTTGCTGATCTCAGAACGACGTAAAGGTCGATAATTTTGAAGAAAAATGCAATCTTTTATTTCGATAGTTTGGTGCATGGCCGCTAAATGGCGTCAGTTGTAGTTTTATGGCGGTGAAATTTAAATTTTACCGACATCTGAATGTTATCAGGGAGCGAATATTAAAATAAAGTAATTAAATAGGAACGAATGGTGTACCATTCATTATACAATAGTTTACATTTCCTAAAATTTTATTACTGAAACTTCTCATTGCACATATACAGTATTATTACAAATTGCTCTGCTGCGTCTACACAAATGTTACATACATTAATTATATCGTATAGAAATATTACAAACAGGTACAAAAACTATACTAGCTTCTTATCATAAGTCATCTGAATTAATTTAATTAAGGATCATAACTACAATCATTTGCAGGAATTTAACTCTTTATTTATAGGACCTATAATGAAAAGTTTTGTTAAGGTATCCTCTTATTGGTTCCATCGTGTACAAAAATAGAAAGAAATATGTAAGATCTTTCTGCAATTCTTCATCCTTTCTCTATATAAGATAAAGGGTTACAGATGTTTCAAATGGAATGCAAATCCTGCACTACTGATTGTTCAACTAATAGAGTTAATATACTGATCACAATGGATACTATTTGTAGTTATGTACAGCGTTCGTCTCGTTTCTTCGCTTGCAGATTTATATAATTGTAACATTCTAAACGCTTTTTCTTCAAAACGTTGTTCATTTTCTCTCCAACGATACAGGACCACTGTATCAAAATTATTACATTTTACAGGCTAAGTCAGGAGATTATGTTTTTGACTAAAGATACGCTTAACGATTAAAATAAACAATACTTTTAACTTATTGTACAGCTAGAAAATCGTAAGACTTTCTTGATATCATGTTATATGAAAGAGCTTGATATTTGAACCAGACTTCATTAATCATATAAAATTAACATTAACTGTAGGAAAGAGATCCTTCAAATTGTGGCAAAGATTCTAAGATTCTTCAACCACTGATTGGCAGTGATATTGCTTGTTTGTTTGCTTTTTTATCAATCACAGAAATGATAGTAATAAAGTTTAAAAAAAACTATATGCGCGATTTAAATTTTGCAAGTACATGTTTTATAGCATATGTATTAATCTAGATGATGCATGTATTCACATTCTAAATCTTTACAAATTGATGGAAAAGAGATCATCCGACTAAAACAAATACTAATCTACAATGTGGAAGTTAATTCTCCATAAAAATGTAATTTCTTCTTTTTTACATTTTCCTTCAAGAAACCAGTCTTCAATAAAGACTGTCATTGCGGTATTTTAATGTAAGTATCGGAAACTTGTTTGAAGAAAAAAAGACATTAATTCCTATTGAATTCAAAAATAGTACAATAAATGAGGATGCTATTATGTGATACTAAATTTTACAAATGAGAGTTTAATTAGCAACTACTTGTACAAAAATTTGCAATTACAAAAGATTAAAAGTGACTGATGCACTGTGTTTTGAACCACTCGCCTCTCGCAGCACCATCCACTTAAAATGTATTAAAAAAATATGTTCAGTATCATTATGGCATTCTTCAAGGTGTACACAAGCTAAGGTGCTATGATCTGCAGTAAATTTAGATATACGGTTATGCCGTTTATTATCAACCAGTATAATTCGCAAAAAATACTTCATGACTGAACATTCATCTTCTTAAGGGTCACATTCGACCCATTATAGAGATCAGACAATATGTCAAATTAGCAAATACTTAAATTAAACCGCAGACTACATTAATAAAATAATCCTATGCTTGCCAGGATTGAAATATCCAACCTGTAAAGAAATAAAGTAGCCTACATTATATCTTCTAATAATACAGTTTCTACAAAACGTTCATTTTCTATAAAACGTAGTCATCTATTAGTATAGTTTATCGCTTTCACGGATCCTGCAACTCGATCGAAAGTTATTGGTCACTTATTAGAAAAACAAAGTAAGATATTTACAACATCTGTACAAAAGAGTGTTCGATAACTTACAGAAAGTTGAGGAAAAGAAAAGCACACGTGCTCGTTACAATGTTAAAAGTAAATATAGATGAATTTTAACAACATTGGTCCCATCTCTCATTTTTTTGCTTTTTTATTTTTCTTAGTAAAGAAAGAAAGAAAGAAAGAATAAAGTAGCCTTTGTACACCTTAAAGGGACATCTCACAACGTCTTCGCGAGACGAAGTTAGTGCACCATGTAAAACTAGTTTGTAAAAAGACAATGCTTGTCGCTATTTACATGTTTCGTACGAATTTACTTCAAACGTTTCAAGACAGATCTACGAATTGAACTCATGACATTTTCCTGTACGTTTAGAATATGTTATGTTCCTTTTGTTTCGTCTTTACAACGCATGGAAATACAATACGAAATTTCTGTACTTATAAGACACACATCTCAGACAGCGGTAAAAGAGTCGTGTAACGCTATATTATTACAAACTGCTCTTACTCGTTTCTCACAGTTAAAAATATTATTCCTTTTAAAGTATGAATAAGACGCAAATTATTCAACGATTATTTATAGTCTAAAAAGAGTTTAAACTGTTTAAATCATTAGCTGGCTTAAAAATGTATGCGAGAAAATGTTTAAAACATTACAGTGTTATACTTTTACATCCGACTCTTTCGAACTTCTTCTGGTATGTTATCATAAGAATTCAATTTTAGATTTTGAAGTTACACAGACACATTACTTACAAAACATATGAGAATTATGTTCTAAGTTGTACGAAGAGACAGGATGAAAAAATTAAGTAGATCATATCTTTTTCCATCGAGACGGATGACTAAAAAAAAGTATACATATGTAAGTTTACATATACATATTAGATTTTATAGGTAAGAAAAAATAATTACTCGCGCAATGTGAAAATTACATAATTCCACTGGCCTAAAACTGCATATTATGAGAAGCGTCTCAACGTTCTATTTAAATAAAAAAAAAAGTAAAAAACGGAGGCATGTATTACCACGAAAAAAAAAAGAACAAGTTTTTCGTCGGGAATATAAAACGCTAAATCAGGTATACAATCCCCAACTATTTCTACATATACTACAAAATTTTACATATTCAAATTCTCCTATAGCTGTCTCGTCTTTGTACTCTATCTTATATCGGTTATACGAATCTAAGTAACTTTATAATTGTCAGGTATACAGTCGTGATAAAAATTTACAATTATTACTTAGTCCAGCAATGTATAAAAAAGTATAATACATCAGTCTGGCCAATCGATGACCAAAATACTTATTGATCTATAATGTTATCTAACGCTTCATACTTAATTTTTCTGTTCACTTTTCCATTTTTGTCCCTACTCGTTCAAAATTGTACATGTACGATTATAATCGTGAATAAATCGTTTTATGCACGTCATAGAAAAATTGAAATAATTATATTTTCATTTGTCACGTAAAATCATCGATTGCATGTAAAAGTTTGCTCGAAAAAAATATCTTTTATACCTACTTTCCGTGATAATTAAAAAAAGACAAAGATGACGTTGCATACATAATTTTTATAATCGCAATAAATGTTGTTATCAGCAACTGTCAAGAACAGTAAAAAATACTTGATACAGAAACATTTCTTTGTCGAAGAAAAATTATTAGTACTCGCAGTACGAAAGATTGTAATTTAAAATAAAATCAGCAATCTCTATAAATATTGTATCTTCAACCGATCGATTGCGTGTGTAAGAACACTATTATCAACTATGAGAATTATTCAAAAGTCAAGACTGGCGATGTAAAAATTGTAAACGCAATATTTTTACAATCGTATAATTAAGTATTAGTAGAAAAATAAAAAAATAGTTTAAATCTTTGAACTTTTCGATATTCTCTTCAAGGTCTATTCCTATGATACGGAAGTTCTACCTCGTTTCTATTAATCCTACTATTTTCTTCGAATCTTTTCATTTACTTATAGACGAACGTACCGCGAAAAAAATCTACAAATAAATGAAAACTTCTAAACCGGAACAAAACAATAGGATTAAGTACAGAGTTAGAACTGAAGAAAGAAAAACGTAAAAAAGCAATGAAAAATAATATATGTCCTGTATCAAACATTTTTCACCTATGTGCATTTGCAAGTTATTCCTTTACCATTCTATCGATACGTATAAAATTAGGAATTTACGTTGAAATGATAAACCTAAATTTAATCGATTTTAAGAAAAGAGCCGTTTCCCATGCCGGCTCGCAGAAACAGTGGTGTTTTTCTTCGCGACGTAGTTACAGGTTGATACAAATAGTTTCCCTGTATTGCACCGGTCAACGTCTTTTGCCTTTTCGTACTGGGGCTAAGTTCGTATTCGAACGATTCCTGTTTCGAGATATTCAGCTGCATATGCAATGCATCCTTGTGCTCTTCGATGTCGATCTCGTCGTAGAGATGTTCCGTTATGTCTATATCACAGTCTTGACTGCTTTCGTCGTAGCTATCCGTCACAGAATTTGCAGCTATATGACTGTGGATGGACTCGTCGTACGTCGTGCTTTCTTCGGCGGCTTCGTCTCCAGAACTCTCCGTTTCTTCCGATACGTCACCACTGCCCGCGTACTTCATTTCACCCCTCTCGAGGAGTTCCAAGTGATCTGGATATATCATTGCTTTCTTGATAGCCAGAGGATCTTTCCTAGACCACTTCTGAACTTCTTCATCCATCTTGGCCACTTTAGCTGGGTTGATAGCCCACAGACAACCTTTTCTCTGGTTTCCATTTCCTGCAGGCTTCTCAATTTTCTCGAAGCACTTGTTCAACGACAAATTGTGCCTTACAGAATTCTTCCAACCGTTCGGAGCCGTTTTAAAATATGGAAAGTGTTCGCTAAAAATAAATAATGGACAATCTTAGAAAGTGATAGAAAAATAGTAAGTATACTATTCTATTAAATAGAGGAGAAATTACTAATCTAACAGTTTCGAAAGAGAGGAAAACCTAAATAAAAATTCCTGTTGAAATGTACTCTTATAATAACACGATGCAGTTACGAGTTACAAAGAGGGGAAACGAAAGCTAGTTAAACAAAAAGCGAATCCTGCATTTTCTATGGGGACTGTACTCTGGCATGCACCTGGTACTCCAAGGGCCCCATACAAAATGGCAGCTTCCCCCTTGTGTAACCTGGGAATAAAGAGGGGAGGACAATTCTTTCTCCCCTCGTGGCCTAACCATCGGAGGGCTTCAACCAGCCCTTATCCTTCCGGCCAAATGGTCGAAAATAAGCGGTAGGCGACACCGTTCGTCAAATAGAAATCTGCCCTATTGTATTTTAGGTATCAAAAAAATATTGATCGTGTTTTTAATCCCTTTTGGACGAGGGTATTTTATCAAACTCCACAGTTTGCCATATGTTTAAATAATTATTTTGAAAATTTTCTAACTAATTTCCAACTTACCACATAAAATTATATATCTCGGAAACAGGTAGAGAACCCGTCTGACTATTTTTCAACGCCATTGCGATTAAACAGGAATACGAATAAGCCGGTTTGGGATAGGGTTTGTCATCGTAGTCGGACAAATCAAATTCTTTCTCTCTTTTCATCGAAGCCACAGTGGTGGCTCCTGGACTGACGTGAACATTGTTGTTATAGATCTGCTTCCGCACGTGCTGCGGTGTCTGAGGACTTTGCAGCAACTTGAAGTTTTGTACCCTGATGCCGGACATGCCGTTTATCTTCGGGGTTGATTGTGTTTTTATGAATTGAGGCGAACTCGTTTTGATCGTAGATATCGAAACTGTTTTCAACTTGGACGGTGTTACAGATTTGGAAAGTTCTTGTTCGTCATCGGAATCCTCTTCCGTTTCCGTAATATCGTTCTCGTACTGTTCCGTCTCGGTGTCATTGCCAATTTCATTCTCCTCTCCATTCTCGTTTTCATTTTCATTTTCATTCTCGTTATCGTTGTCGTTCTCGTTTTCATTTTCATTCTCGATTTCGTTCTCGTTATCGTTCTCGTTCTCATTCTCGTTCTCGTTCTCTATGTAACTATTAGTATCGTTTTCTGGTTCGTCCTCGATATCAATTTTCTCCTCCTTTATTTCCTTCTTCATGGAAAACGAGAAGTGCCTTCTCCCGTTGTTTGGACTAGGACTTCGGATCGCTATGTGAGGCATGACGGAGTTCGGATTCACCATGATGGAAGCGGCATCGCTCCCGCTCAGGTCAAGGTTGAAATTGCTGAAAAAGTAGGATCTCGTTAACTCGCGAGCAACGAACATCTCGTACACGGTTATGCAAAACTAAAATTTACGGCCCAAAGAGATAATATCGAAGAGAAGAAAATAAACACCTATTGGAGCTATTGCTGTTTCCATTGATGAAACTGGTGGAGCCGAACCATCCGCTGATATCGTTCTGACATCCAATGGGATCGTCGTCCATCTCTAAAGTGGACATGTCGGTGAAATTGAAACCCAATTCCGTGTGTCCACCGATAACTCCTTCGATTTCGCATTTGATGTCGACATCGAGCATCTCTTGCAACGACAAACTGTCCGTGCCGAGGTAGTAATCCATCGTGAGCCAAGGGTCCCTCGTCGGTCCCTGAACCAGCCCAGTACCGTGTCTACTCTCCGTATCCAACATTCACCTGACTGAAATGCAAACAATTTAAATTAATATCGCAAAAACCTAGCTCGACAACGGAGATAAAAAAAGAATTCTATAACGCGTACAGTAGAGTTTTAGTTCGAGGGAAAAATAAGCAGTTTTATTTCGAGCACCATCAATGGTAATTGCTTTATATCGAGACGATCTCGAAATATCGGTTTCATTAAAACTCGGTTTCTCGTCCATCGATCATTTTCGCGCGAACGCCCATCCCCGCTTCAAGTTTAATATTCCGCCTGCACAAACTGCAGTTTGCAACTCGGCTTGGCGAGAATAATAGCTCGATACGCTACAGAAACTTGCCGTACAATATGCATCGCGTCCAACATTTTTGTTAACGCAAATTAAGAGCGTAAGTATTCTCGGGTCCTACGGGTAATAGGAATCGATTCTCACGATACGCTCCGAGCGTAAAAGCGGACACGGTGAAGAAATTCGTAAGATCGAAAATAAAATGGTATCGCGTAACCGCGACAAGAGCAACGGAGCAAGAAAACGCTCGATTCACAGCGAATCTAGCACGAATAATATTTACCCTGGTGAAATAAAAAGAAATGCATGGCTCGTTGAATTTCGATGATTTTATCGAATCTAAGGATCATGCTCACGATCTCTCGTAGCAAGGCCAATAGATTCTCGAGCGTATACGTGCGCGTGACCTCGCAGCAGTACACACAAGGCGCGCCTCGCGTGTGCGTGTACACTGTACACAGCGTGTACGAGCGCGCAACGAGGGTCTTGAACCCACAACCGGCTTGTGGGTGTGACTGACTCATAGTACTATAGTCGATTTACTATAGAACGCGTGGACTCGTAGTATCTACCCCCTACCCCACTCGTCTCCTCGTAACCCTACTCTTGCACGTTTAACTATCCCACTCGCTTCGTTCCTCTCTGTTCCTTTCGTTCCGTACAGACAATTTCCTCTCTCTTTCCACTCTTTCTCTCTCGTTCGCGTTCATTCTTTCTCTTTCACCGTTTCCGTCCTCGTCTTTCTCGCGCTTTCGCCTCTTCGTCTCGTTCGTGGTTCTACTACGTTCGAAAAGAACCCGCTTTGATCCTTTTCTCTTCGAAATTCTCCCTTTCTCTCTCTCCGTCACGCGCGCGTGTTTTTATCCGTCGATTCTTTTTCCCCGTCTGTTCGTTGGCACGTTTGATGTTCCGCCACGAATTTTCTGGGCCTTTTGGATCCGCTTCCCTGTGACATTGACGATTACTTTTTACCGTTTCATCTTTCGTCCGTTTCATTTTTTTTCCTTTGCTCCGCTCTTTCTCTCTATACACTTCCCAATTCTTTGGACCCGCAGAGACAGTTGGCGAAAGGAAAGAAAAAGGCATTAGATTCCTCCATCTGGACCCTCATTAACGATCAAGGATATTATCAATCTTTCGACTTCTTTCGCTCGTAGCTTTCCATCTCTCGCATCCGATATTTCTCTGTCACGAAGCATCTTCTCCGCTTCTCTTTCGTTTCTTTCCAGCTAACCCTGGCTCTCGGCCTCTAGTCGAACGATTCGTGGGACGAGTCTCTCGAGCCGTGGCCTACAGAACAAACCACTCGACCCGCGCTATACGTATACGCGGGTTGGGTGCCGGATGCGCCGCGACCATCGAATTATCAGCTGGATGAACAGCGCAGAGAGAGAGAAAGAGACCTAACTCTGTGTACCACTGTGTACGGAACTCGTGTTTCTTCGAAATTAATAAAACCCATCTAACGCGTTACGCGCGATTAACTTCAAGTTCGAAATACTCCCCGCATTAACGCTAAAAACCTTGCCCCCTACGGTCCCCTCTCGTAACACGGTTTTCCTTCGCGCGTCGCTTGATCGAGACTTTGCTCTAAAAATACCTGTACAAAGTGGAGGGAAAACAAGCGGTTGAATTATCGGACGAGAAGAGGGAAAAGAGAAAGACGAACGGAGAACTGACCCTGCTCCACGTAACGACTCGCGTATCGTGGAGTGGCCTTTACGCGCACGAGACATTCGAGTCCACATACGTACGTGACCGAACGATATTTTTAGACGTAGAAGCGTAACGGAGCGCCTACTAGCTGAAATCGAAAATGATCTTGTTTACTCGACAACGCCGACTATCGATCGCGTAAGGTACCCATTAATCAATTTTACCAGCGATCGATCTTTACCGCGTGCAAACACGCGGATAACCGAGAGGATAACTCTCGCCGATAACTACCTACGTATACTCACTTCGATGATTTTTTCAAGAAAAATTGGTATCGAGTCGCGCGGAATGATATACGGTATCGGAACCGACGATACAGGAAAAAATAAAAGAGATACTTTTTGGGTCGTGGGTTCTCTCGAGGAACTTTTTCTAAAGAAATTCAATTCCCAGAAGCGGAGAAGCGAACGCGACGTGTGCGCGCACTGTAACGTTCTCGAGTCAACGTTCGTGTAAGTCTGTGTAAATGCTACTCCAGCCACAAATGAGCTGTGCACAGGGCACGTTTACATCGAGCACTCCGTGGAATCTGCGGTCAGATGCAATCGCGTATGCATCGCTTCGTACATCCGCCGCGAACAACACGCTAGCTAAGCCTTTTCGTTTCGAGTAACAAAATTTTTCAAACGAAACATTTACGCACGCGATTCGCCCCGAGAACGCGTTACGGTCGAGGGTCAGGAAAAAATTTTCCAAATAGAATAACGCGTAAAACGGCAGGATTTCCATTTACACCGAAACCCTGATCAGACGGATGATTAAACATTTGCACGAGATGCATATCGAGTTATCGAGGCGTTACAACGAGTAAGCGTAATGTATTCACGGGCCGATAATTGCGATGGATTCGCGGCAAGGTAACGCGCGGTCGGTTTTCGCTGACTGGTGTACAGCTTACGGCAATCGCCTCCGTCCCGTTGGAAATTTTCATACCGAGAAAAATGAAACTAGGAAACGGGAGAAAAAGAAGAGCTACGTCGAGATGAGTGGGTCGTCGACCCGTTCACGAGCAACAAACAACAGCGTTTATAAAACGGCTCTTCAACCGTGTGCAGTCGATAAGTTAATCTGGTCAAATGAGAATCCTCCGCGAACGGAGCAAAGAAATACTCGTAGCACGATTTTAGCGTAATTCAAGTAGTACTCGTACGTGACACGTATGCCAATCATTAAGGATTTAATTCGCTCGAATAATTACGGAACGAGTCTATACGATGCTACGTATCACCGCGATAGCGTTAACAAAGTCTCGGAGATGAATTAACGTCTGAATGGAAGTTCTTGGGCCATAGGAGTAAGAAAAAACGGAAAAGAAAACGAGGGAGACGTAAGAAGAAAAACGTAACAGACGTTCGACGCGAGCAGACGCGGTGGGCGCGCGAGCGAGACACGTTTTGGACAGAACCAGGCTCGAAAACCGACAAAAATAAAGCGGCCAAGGCCCAAGGTTGTTATTCGCCGAGATGTTCGCGGGTGAAAGACCGATTACCGATGGAAACGGGACGCGTACCGTACACGTAACGACCGATCAATTTTTTACGATTTAAGCTCGCTTTCATCCCTTACTTCTGACAGTTTAATTATCACGAGGATCTATCGCAACATTCGAGAGATATTTCGATAAAACGTGAACGCAAACATTTTTCGAGCGGAACACGTTTGATATCGTCAGCGGAACGAGAAAGCAATTTGATCGGACGCACAGCACGAAATTGGGTCAAACAAATTTGCAACGATATTAAGTATCGAGAGTGAGGGATCGTTGGGAACAAGTCCCTGCCCGCTTCTCAATGTCTTTGGCGAAAACTTGACCGAGGGAGACGACGAACAGCCTTGAAAAAGTATGTCCACTTACCTGTAATAATATCGCAGAGTATCAAATGGTCGTTCCACTCGGTCGTTCTCACGGAAAACCACCGACTATGCCGATGTTCTCGAGTGCTCGAGAAAATTTGTCTATCGAAATCGAAGGGAATCCCCGAAATTTGTTCATTGGAAACGACCACCCTAGAAACCCCGTTAACTTTATGACCGACTAAACCGGACAAAGGTTATAAATTTATTGTAGCAATAGGTTTGTAGAGGACCTCGTCGAACCCTAGCTACATTTTCCATTCGGAAAATCAATTACGGATAAACGACGGTAATTCGATCGAGCAGATTTACGATCCGATAGTTGGAAAAATGACAGTCGAACGACCGTAACGTCGAGGACGAATCAATTAAAAACGAATTTGCAAAGGGTCGTAAGCGTGTAATTTTATGCGTGGCCATTTACAGGAAGGAGGGTCGTCGTCGAAAATTGTATCTCGTTCATGCAACAGGATAATCTTTCTTCCCTCGCCTCTTCAAGCTCGAGTTCCGAGAAGGGTCCTCCAGCGTTAGACGATCCTAAGACCCTGAAGCTATTCAACCTGAAATCCTTCGCAGGTCATAAAGGGCCTCTCTACCTCTCTCTTGCTACCTCTATTTCATCCTAGACCGATCCCTCCATTTTACTATCCGACAATTTTATGACCGCGTAAAACATTGTCTTTCCTCCGTTTCTACAAATGTAGCCGTACTTAATATCTTACGGTATATTACCTAAAACCAGAAGTTACATGACACGCATAACTTTCTAAAATGTAATCGTTATTCAACACGATTCAAGAGGTTCCTTCGCGAGGATAACGAAGATAATGATTATTCGATGACGCGTTGATATAACGTGCACGAAAAAATAGGGGAATTTGCAAGCGATTTCGTCCGTGGGGGTCTCTCGTGACAGCGCCGCAAAGATCGCACGTGACGTTTGAACATAGTAAACGAAAGATAAGGAAGAATCGGGGCGAAGGTTTGAAGGGTTAAAAGAGTTACAACTCCACGAAACTCGAGTCGAGCTGAAAGATAACAACTCCTCCACAAGTTACAAACGATCGAGCAGATTTCCCTTTCACCGAGTTTTCGTGACGGTGTGGGAGCGCGCACACGGCCACGGGTGTAACCGTGTACCTGTAACACCTGACGAAACGTCCGTGTAAGACGATGCAAATGATGAACGCGTACACGAGGAAAAGGAGAAGTTAGCACAGAGAAAGGGCAAGTTCCGTTCTTCTTTCCCCACAAAAGCTCCGCGTAATTACGAAGTTCGAGCGACTCCTGCTACGTTGCTTAATCCTTTGCACTCGAATACAATCGTTATGGCGCAAGCTCGTCTCGGAACTTGGATCTTTGCGCGGTAAAGGTCTGTCTGGCCGTTGTTCGACAATAACTGGCGCGTTGTTTAATAATTAAAACGAGATGAAGCTCTAAAAAGCATCTGGGTATCGTCGGACAAACGTCGGACGACTTTGGTAAACAACGAATAACGATCCACGCGGAGCAGATGAAAATGATTCGCGAGATGGAAAAATCTGGAGGAGATTTCCCGGCGGAAACAGTTTTCTCGTTGACGCGTAAAATTCGGTAAACAAATATCGCTGTTAAGCCGAGCTAAAACGCGAGTTCCAGTACCGCGGCGAGAAAAACAGTTGCAGCTGCACACGGGTTCGCCTCGCTCGTACACGGAGAGGAAAATATTTTACGGTACGTTTACCGCGGTGTAAATGCAACAAATAAATTGCGGCTCAACTAAAATTGGCTCCTGTGGCGTGCTTAGAAAACTAATCGAGTATAACGATAGGAAATTTCCTGGTAATTTGAATGCTTTTAAATAATCTTTCGCTTCCTACGTGCTGCGAGTTTATTACTGGGAACAAGCAATTTTTGTAAGGAAGGACGGTAGAAAGGATCGGCGTAAAATGATATTTTTATAAATGTCGTGAAGCAAAGTCGGCCAATCGACGGGTTTAGGCTTCGCGTGCGCGTAAAACGCCGGGTTTCTTTGTGATCGTTGCTCGAGAACCGGTTTGAATCGCACAGAAGAGGGCTTATATATGAAGCGAGTCGAATGTGAATCGTGTTCGTCTAATAAATGGACGTTTGTCCGTCGGCTCTGATAACGTTCATCCGTACGGTTGGAACTATTAGGAAACACCGGTGACGCGTTTACGATGGGCTCTCTGCTATTATTCGGGGGAAAGTCTGACACGATTAGGTGACAGAAAAATATCGCGAAACAGCGCTTACGTCGCATGGATTTGAAAATGACCGCGTAAACGTTTCATCGAGATTCTTGGCACGAATTGACCGGTTCTCGGATATTTACTTAATTTGCTTAATTTGCGATATTTTTGTGTCAACAAATCCGAGTCGGACTTTCTATCTTTCGAAATTGCTCGCTCGACACGTAACAGCCTATGAACATACCGGAGAAAAATGTTTCGTACGAAAGCATCGTTTGGCAATCGATCAAAAAAAGGTTAACGATACCATTCGGTTCGTCCGGAATCGGGCCGGACGATCACGAATTAACGCGACTCATAAATTTACGATACCGAAGCAAGTTGGCCATGTTTTTATCCTTGCCGCGTATTGCTCCTCGACGGCCAGCTGCCGAGAGCAGTCAATTTCATTACGTGTCGTCGAACTCTGCAGCTGGATTTTCTTGCCGTCTCTCCTACGCTCTTCTTTCCTTATCGTTCACGAAAATTCGAGCCCCGCGCGACGGATAAACGAACCAGAAGATCAAAGAAAAGCGTAGAGTCGTCGAGGAAAAGCCGATGTCTGGAAAATGACTAACGATCATGGTCGGACAAGTTCGAAAGCAAGAAGGTTTTCCCCGATGGAACGAATACATTTGCGAGGGTCTCGAAGGGGCCCCGCGAGTTTTTGTGGTATTTGCAGGTACAGGTGTAAAAGTTGGCTGTCCCTTTGTTCTCGAAACTACCATTACGCGCAGGTAAGAAGAGAGTCGAAGCGTGTCGGACGGCGGAAGTCTTTCCTGGCAGGTAGCTACGAATTTTTAGCACCGGCTCAATTACTCGTCCCTTCTTCTTGCTTCGATATTCTGCTATCCCTCGCGGACCGACCTTCTTCGTTATAACTTTATCCTTACAACCGCTTCGTCTATTGTTCGCGTTGCGATCGACGGTAATAAACGTTGAACTTTCCGAAGGATAACGCTCTCCTACGGTAAATAAAACGAACGCTTTCGGTGTACACGCTGGAGGAGTAAAACATAGGTGAGTCGAACGTCGGTTTCACGGTCGTGAAAACGTAACGCATCTCGCGGCAAATCTTTTCCCATGGCCGCGGTGCTCACCGGCTACTTCCTTCACGGTACACGCTTCCGCCGATAATGTTTGCGACCAGGATTCGTCGAGCTCCGATAAACGTTGCGTTTACTCGTACGCTGCATCGTTTCTATGCAAATAGGTCACGCAACTTCCCCCACCTTTCTATCAATCTTTGCAACTATACCCCTTCTATTGTTGTCGTTTCGATCGTTCATTAATTTTCAACGCTTTTGTAACGCGATCGCGGAGCTAACGTTTTCATAAGATTTCGTTGCGACATCGCCGATACTCTTTGCTCGATAAACTTTGCCTATTTTTACCGAAATAACGAGCAGCGTACGCTACTAGATCTAACGGTGACTCGATTATCCGATAATGCAACGCGACAATGTCAACGACGATGCGTCCACTTATTTCGGTCGACCGCCTCGACGTATCCTTTTGTGCCTCGGTTCTGAAGACGATCGAATATGAAAGGGCACCACCGTTTGGACAGCCCCGGACGCAACAGTTGTTCACGAAAGCGTCCCAAAGCCGCAGGTATCGAAATTTCGAACCCCCGAAATTACCGCTGGAATTTTTCCGTTTCCTCCGAGCTATAGGACCCTGACTGACTTCCCTTTCGTGGTAGTCGAACCGTAACGTGACGAGAATGTTTCCTGAATCGACGAATATATTAAATGCACATTTCTGTTCACGAATAGTAAAGATCAGAGTCTGTCGAAGAGCTCGCGAGGGTGTGGGCAGAATCTGTTCGACGAGCACCAGATACTAACAATAATATTAGCGTCGATGTATGCAGAAGATATTATTCAACGGCGAAGAAAAAAGATTAAATGTGACTCTCGAAAGAGAAACGAAGAGGCAACCGGGAGTGGTTTCCTGTATCTTCGTTTTCACGGCTCTTAAATAAACACTAGAAAACCAATGTGTACTCGTGCCTTGATATCTAGTCAAGCAACGTGAAAGCGTTCGAGTGGTACGGTGAGCCAACTGTACCGATCTAATCACGTGTTTCTCGATACAATTTTCGCGGCTGTAAAGGATCGTCGGAGAAGAAATAAAAATTCATATTAACTTCCATAATTTCCTTCTAAATAGCACAGTCTCGTATGCATCGAATTTGCGCGAACAGATACGTTCGCATCGCTTCTTTTATATCTACGAGGTTTAACTACTGCAATTAGACGGTTGATGTCCCATTACGAGCGGTAACGCCGACTCGGTATACAATCGCAAAGATTTACCCTCTACTATCGGCCAACTTCTCTCTCGCCCCTAGGGAGCGGCGCGATCAATCCGTCCCTTCGTTAGAACCATTCGAAACCGAACGAGGATCTCTCTAACGCCCAACGAAATAAAAAAACAGGCAAGACGAGAAAGAATAATTAGGTAAATTTTTGTCTCGCGACCGATAAAATTGAAGCGCGAGGAGCCGACGAATTTGATTGGCATTAGAAGACGGGAAGGGGCGTATCCGTGAACGCGGAGAGCAGCCAGTCTGGATCTTGCGATGGACCCAACCGTAGATACGGTACAGAGCTGCGCCTCTCCTACCGCGCTTTTCGCCGAGTATCGATCTGATATTCCTGCCGCCGGTCGACCAGTGTTTGCAACAGAGCTACGAAGAGCGTGTCTGCACCCTGTCGCAGTATGCCGTGTGCGCACACGCTCGCGAACGCAACAGAGCCTAGCCTCGGTGCCGCGTGTAATGGTGATGCTCGATTCTTGCCAGTCGCGAATAAGACCGTTCGAAAATTTACCCCGATAATATGCTTTTCAGCCCTGCCAATTGTCCGATCAGCGTCGCTACGAATTATTTATTAATTAAGTTAACGATCGTGTTCCACGAATACGTAATGCTCGTACCAGACACAATGTTGATTATATTAGCCCGTTAGGGTTTCATCGCGTTACCTGGGGTTAAATTCAAACGTAACCGAGACCGCATCGCCCGATGCAACGAGCAAACAATCTTACCGATTATCTAACGATTCGCTTGCAAAAACAACTTATTTATACAGTCGCGTTCGCGATCGTTTCATTCCGGAACTAAAAATTGAATTTTAAAACCGATGCTTTAACGCTCTATCGACCCGCCATAGACAGATCGAACGCGGGAATGTCGCGTACACGTGGACGTGTGCCAGTGGCAAATTGGCGCGAAAAAATGTCTGCCATAGTAATAGCCATAGTAATATCGTGACAATTACGGTGACTCGAATCTTAATAAAGTAACGATCAGACAACTTTTTTCTAGCGCATCGATTAAAATATTCTAAAAGCGGTATTACGAAACAGCCTGGAATCCAGAAATAGTTGAATAGTACGGAATATTCCAACGATCCCGCGGACAAAATGGCAACCTTCCAAAAATAATTCTCGTTACACCCGGAAATGTTTGTTGAAACCTACAATTTTTCGATATTACACGGAAGCCTAGGGGAATATGTTCGAATTTAACGGCTCGCTATCTATTTGTACCATTTTGCTTTCACTCGGTGTGGAACCGATTTGACTCGTTGAAAAATTTCGCGTGCTGCACACCGAATGGCACGCGATCCACGTTCGACGAAGCGTATTTTCCTACGTATTTGTAAGCCACAAGTTGTTGCGTGTTCCAACATCTTTATCGAGATCGATGCCAGAGAACAGAATCGGTTCTCGATTTCGATTAAATTCGATAGCGATCAAAGTTAAATTTGCCGAAAATTGCAACGTGAACGTTATAAATCACGCCATTCGATTGATTTCACTTTTATAATAGCGACATTACAATAATGCGATAGCGTTATTACAATAATTTAAAGTATATCGATGTTGCAAAAAGTGACGTCGTTTATATAAATATTTCAAAATAATTTCCGCTTATTGGCTGTTGCGGTGTTAACAGGAACTTTGCGCAACTAAATTTTAATCGCATTGACCGTGTAGATCGTAAGAGCAAACTATAAGCATCGCACGAAAGCGTAATTTACGAACTTTTTTACGACTCTATCCTTCTACATCTTTCAAAGCGACTTTCTAACTCGTCCGAGAGACACTCTCTGGCTTCGTTACAGAACAATCGTGTGAATTAAACGTTTGCCTCGAACGATTCATTGGTAAACAGAAAAAAGCATGGAGGAAAAAAACGGTCGAACGTGTAATTACGATGTTCTTAATAACTCGTTAACGTAAATTTTAAACTCGACGTTAACCGTATCCGAGAGTTTGAATTGTTTAATTATTTCCTCCGCTACCGATAATAAAGATCCATAATTATTAAACTTGTTCAAGAAACAGTGTTCCAAGAAATTATAAAAAGGATCAGCGATGCATGACATCGATTTACAAGGAACGACTTTTCTTTACCCTCGTGTAAAAAAGTACCGAATAAACAAAAAAGTATTCGGCAACGCGAACGAACGACCACTCCGCAGTGACAAATAATCATTCGTGAACACGAACATGGCGAGGTAAATTTCGGTCGAGCCTGTAGGATATTTCCTGCGGTGGGCATATGGCGAGAAGTGGGGTTCCCAGAAGGTTCCCACGGTCAATAGCTCCGTGGCGGTGAGGCTTGAAACTGCTCGAGGGGTCCTCCCTACTATCGTTATTCGCAACATTTTCGAAAAACGTCCTTCTGGGAAGTCCGAAAGGAAAACAATTTTTCACGAACGATGCACCGTTAGGCGTCAATATACGAAACTACAATGTATCGATTGTAACACTCGACAATGTCGGTCCTTTCTTGCCGGAAATTTAATAGCCTTATATATTCCTGATCCCTACCGAAAATAGGTACTTGTTCAATTATTGCCCAGGTCATTATCGATCCCAATTGTTTCGTTCCACGAATTTTTAACGGGAATGTATTAATCCGACCTAATATACTAATTTTAAATATTAATTATGCTCACGAACAATTATTTTTCGTTATTAAACACTGTCGTCTTATTACATAGTCTCATGAATGCGTACAAAACGAGTCAAGTATTACTACTCGAGAATATTATGCAACGTACAAGTAAACATTGATTAAACCAGTATACGGTACATAATTTTAATTCGGAGTGTATCTGAAAATCGATAATTATTTATATTACGCTCGAATTAACCTATAGGAGATGCAGTTGTATTCGATGATCTATCATCGAATAAAAACGCTAAAAATTTATAATAAAAGAAGCCACTTTCGTGCACGATTATTTGCCTCTGTCATTCACGAACGCGGCTCTAAACGGGAACGATTCGTCGTAAAAATACGAATGTGGCATCGTAGAGAAATAAAAGGTACGATATAACGATAGCTTTCATCACCGGAAACACGTATTATAATTAGTAAGATTTCCCGGTATTACACTCTCTTCCCGCCGAAAGTTATACGGATGTCCATTCTGTCTACGATGAATCATTCATTCAGTTCGATTTGACAGACGAGTCGAGCCGATTGTTTATTTTCGTGTAACGTGCTATACGTTTAATAAATAATTGCCATGGTGATATGTTCACGGCCGCTTACGTCGTCGAATCGTCGAAGCGCGGTAAACGTATGAATCCTGTGGCTGATCGTGAAATTACATCTAAAACGGCAAAAAAAATACCGGCACCGTAAGGGCAACAAATTCATTGAACTACTAAACAGGTCTGACAGATTTGTTGGATATGGTCAACCGTTTGTATATAAACACGAACGTAACTTGAATACATCGTACGCGTGATAAAGTCTTTAAAACGAGAAAGACGTAAAAAAAAAAATTGATGCACAAAAGCGTCATGACTGCCCCCTCGTACCTTGACACTCGAAAGCTTCGATGACTCGGCGGGCCGGCAAAGCACATGAAATATTTTTCCGATTTTTCAGGAAAACTCGAATGAACGGTACGTAATAGAGCATAATCGGACCTACCGTGTGTTTGACAATCCTTAAAGCACGTCGTCCTTGCGGGCAAGCACCACTTTCACACATATATTTACAAGAGAATTATGCGATTTTTGGCAGCGACCATGTATAAACGGACACCGACACAAGGCCCCCTTTACGGAACTGAAGTAACGTTGACGGCAAGCTCGTGAACAAAGACCACGCACGATTTCAAATCCCGTCGCGGCGATTGGCTAGCCGCGGTCACGTGGTTTTGCCACCCTTTCCTCATTGGTCGCCTGCCATAGGCTGTGAGGACATTTTAAACGATATACTTATGCACATGGCTGACAGAGGGATATCTACGAGGATATTTTCTTTTCTATTTTTACGCACAATTATCGTTTCTATGTACGATAACAGTTTCTTTCGAACGATTATTCGTTAAATAATTAACCACGCGAGTAAGAGATTCCAGTATTCGCGTTATGAATGACAGAAGCGATCGCGTGTTTTCTCATATACCTTCCCCACTTCAAAATGGCCGAACCCAAACAGCACGTACAAAACTACTTACTATTCTCGTGTATCTATATATTTTAATATTGTACGTGACTAGAAAAAAGATTTTGATTTTTATTAATCATTTGGGACGAAAAAATTTCAGAACCTGAACGAATGATGGAAAAATTTTGTTCGGTGGGGGATTGAAAACATTGGACGAGTCCATAGTTTTACTAGAGAGGGGAGGGCGGCAGGCTCGTTAAGAATGAACCATTGCAGTAATGGCGGGAATGCGATACATACACGCACACGTAACACCCAAACACGAACTTATCGACTTTGATGCGAAAACAAAACATACTACAATTTGTCATTCTATAACATCCACTTTGCACGTTATTCGTAATTTAATTTAAATTTCACGTGAAACGTGAATTTAAATGCTATCAAAGTCAATAAACGTTCTTTTACATTTACCTTCTCTATATATTTACTAAACTATATATAAAAATGTATAATTATTGTAGATATAATTTTTGCTATACTTTTCATAAAATATATAGCAGCTTTTAAACAAATATATATATATATATATATATACATACAACATATTTTTACAATAGTTCTACGATTTGATACGGGATTTGAGCTCTTACAATTACGATAAATCGATTTGTACTTGAAAAAGGAGTATTCTTTTCTTTGCTTATCCGATTACTGATCGTGCATTTTATATACTTCACGTTTTTTAAATCTGTAATGAGTATTATTAAATACATTTTTCAATACCTTATTTAAATGCGTTTTCAGTTGGTCCGTTCGACGAAATTTTCTATTTTTCTCAAAACACTGGCAATATATTTTGCAAATATATCTCACTGTTAATTAACTTATTCAAATCTTACTTGCGATAAACTTGGTACTTCTGGTAGCATTTTTTCATCGAAGTAATTATTTCTGCTCTATGCTGTATGTTTGTACTTTTCTTGAACAGTTATAATTCTATATATTATTGCACTTTGTTTCGTCAATTCAGCCTGCAACTATTGCGTTGTAACATCGTATGATTTCATATTTATCTATCAACATTTATTTCTTTATTTTCTCTTATTATTATTATTATTATTATTTGTATGGTTTTACCCTTAATGCTTTGGTTTCTTAAAAAGCTTTTTAAATTATGTTCAACTGTTTGATTATCCATTTAGACATTTGCCACTGCAGGTATTAGTTTCATATATATTTCAATACCCTTTAGAAATATATCTTTGTTCAAATATTCATCATGATCATGAAGAAGTATTTTCGTTTTATTCATTGGTGAAAAACCAATAGCAGGAATGCCAACCTGTGATATAAATAAAATACAAATATTATACATGTCCGTTTAATAAAGTTAGGAAGATAATAAAAAAATATTTACGTATCGCACGTATCGGCTATCTGTTCCACCCGGAAAGATTCCTATTTGCAAATTTATTCCAATATCATCGCATACTTTTTTAAAAGCGATCCAATAAGGATTAGAATCGTCTAATTTTGTATTCTCTATCTTAGGATTCTTTTGTTGGAATGAATATGTAACGTCAGGACCAGCTTCCTGGCACCAACTCTTAATCATAGCTTCGAATTCATTATCTACGATTTGATACGGGATTTGAGCTCTTACAATTACGATAAATCGATTTGTACTTGAAAAAGGAGTATTCTTTTCTTTGCTTATCCGATTACTGATCGTGCATTTTATATACTTCACGTTTTTTAAATCTGTAATGAGTATTATTAAATACATTTTTCAATACCTTATTTAAATGCGTTTTCAGTTGGTCCGTTCGACGAAATTTTCTATTTTTCTCAAAACACTGGCAATATATTTTGCAAATATATCTCACTGTTAATTAACTTATTCAAATCTTACTTGCGATAAACTTGGTACTTCTGGTAGCATTTTTTCATCGAAGTAATTATTTCTGCTCTATGCTGTATGTTTGTACTTTTCTTGAACAGTTATAATTCTATATATTATTGCACTTTGTTTCGTCAATTCAGCCTGCAACTATTGCGTTGTAACATCGTATGATTTCATATTTATCTATCAACATTTATTTCTTTATTTTCTCTTATTATTATTATTATTATTATTTGTATGGTTTTACCCTTAATGCTTTGGTTTCTTAAAAAGCTTTTTAAATTATGTTCAACTGTTTGATTATCCATTTAGACATTTGCCACTGCAGGTATTAGTTTCATATATATTTCAATACCCTTTAGAAATATATCTTTGTTCAAATATTCATCATGATCATGAAGAAGTATTTTCGTTTTATTCATTGGTGAAAAACCAATAGCAGGAATGCCAACCTGTGATATAAATAAAATACAAATATTATACATGTCCGTTTAATAAAGTTAGGAAGATAATAAAAAAATATTTACGTATCGCACGTATCGGCTATCTGTTCCACCCGGAAAGATTCCTATTTGCAAATTTATTCCAATATCATCGCATACTTTTTTAAAAGCGATCCAATAAGGATTAGAATCGTCTAATTTTGTATTCTCTATCTTAGGATTCTTTTGTTGGAATGAATATGTAACGTCAGGACCAGCTTCCTGGCACCAACTCTTAATCATAGCTTCGAATTCATTATGATCTATCGAAGGATCAAGTCGGCAATCGAAAATTGCTGTTAACGATGTGGGTACCACATTTGTTTGCACACCACCCTAAAATCAATTTTGAAACGTTAATACGATATTAACTATGATAATTGAATTGCACAATAATCGAAACTCGGATGAAAAGTATTTCTAAAGTCGTTAACGTACTTACCATACGATATTATTTTCTCCTATAGGCATAGACATGTAATTTTGGTAATTAAAAATAATAAATACTTTGCTATGAATACTTAATATTTAATTTAATGCCTAATTAAACATTAAAATAATACATACCCGTAATTGTGTTAGGTTGATAGTTGTTACATCACCAAGCTGAAGCTTTGGATTTTTCAACTTTTCCTTCTCTTTGGCTCTAAAGTCCATAAAACGATCGATTATAACTCGTATTTTTTCTCCAGCTGTATTATCCAATAAAAGTGAGCCATGGCCAGGAGTTCCTGCACATTCCACTACTACGTGCCAAATAGATCTCTCGCCATAGAATAAATAAAATTGTTCTTCAGGGCAAGCTACACCCTCATCTAATGCAAAACCAACATTTAAAGCTTGAAAATCTTTGGTATGAACAAAATCCTCCATGCCAAGAACTCCTCCAATTTCTTCATCCGGTACAAAAGAAATATGAATTGTTCTTTTAAAACGTTGTCCAGCTAATTTCATACGACGAATCGCTTCTAAATATTGTATTCCAACACATTTCATATCTTGACTGCCACGAGCATATATGTTTCCTTGCTCATCCATATGAGCACTAAAGGGTGGATAGGTCCATTTGTCCTGAAAGTTTTACTTCATTGATTATTCACTGAATAGTTTTGCACGCTTTTTATTTAAATTTGAATAATTAATGGTAATTTACTTACTTCGAAAACAGGTACAACATCCATGTGGCTATTTAAAAGAATAGCTGGTTCTGATGGTTGCAAACCTATCCATGTGAGAACCACAATTGGTTTATTTGGATGAACATGATATACTTTGACAGGTAAATCGAGAGATTCTGCTTGTTTTTGTAAAAATGCAACACAATCATCTGTAAATAAAATTTGAATTATTAATAAAATCAATATACGAAAATAATTATTTCAGAAACTGATTTGTATACAAAATAACAGCTTTTATCATAAATGTTATAAAACACTGATATTATATTACATCACTTTCAGAGGTTGAATCAATTACGGAGATAACAATTTAAATTTAATGATATAAGCCCAAATAGACGTTATCTTATTTTCGATGTAACGACTGACATTATCTAATCTCTTCCTCTTGATACTATCATCGTTCTTTGTAGAAAAACTTCAAAAACTTCGGTCCGCATTTACCTGCACCGTTTCATCTTCACATTATGTCAAACTGAATATGTATAATAGTAATTTTGTCGGTGATGCGATATCACTAAACTTAATAAAATTGAACAAACGTAAAAATCAAATAAGACAATACGAAAATTATCGAGAACTTCGGTTCGTATGCTATTCAGGTCACGCACGATTCTTTGCACGTCTCGTTGTATACGTGTCTTCAGAAACTTCAAAATTTTTTTACGAAACGAATAAAAGGTTTTAAAGACATTTGATCATATATCTAGAATCGTGTTTCCAGCTTCAAGAAAAACTATAAAAATAGAAATAACATTCCATACAGGGTGGGGCATGCAATGGCTGGGTAGCGTCTCCGACGCTACGAACTTTTGTCGCTCGGACAACTATCGTAAAACGATCACTGTTTCTATGCGGAAATGCGCGAGAGCTTCATGGATTAACGTTCAGGATTAACGTGTAAGGTCATCTAGTAAAGTACCTCACGAGAAACGAGTAGTAATTTACTTAACAAGGAAACGAGCGACCCCATTCCGGTACGCAATATGCGTGCGTGACTTTTACTTATGTGTTTGAAAGTACACGCGTGAAATTCAACGAGGAATTCGCATTGCTCGTTATCGCGATCAATTAGAAAACGTTAAACGTTAAATATCCAAAATTACTTACCGTAATTGATATTGGGTTGAACCGATGGTATTCGCAAGTACTCGCGAAAATTCTCTACAGCTGTTGCGTCCAGCTGAGCCTGGGACAACGAAGACATTACGTAGCCTGCTGATCACCGCGTCGGACGCCGCCGAGTCGACTGTCATAGCAGACGCTACCGCTTGTCTCAGTCTCGGCCAATTGCCGCTGATTATCACTGATGACGTAGTCGAGAGTCGATCAATCGAAATTCGCGGACGGCTACGGCGGGATCGCAAGCGTCTCTTTGAAAAAAAAAGAAAAAGAACCAGATAAGATTAGAGAACACGTATTGTTCTCTTTTGTACAAACATTGCCGCGCTGGAAAATTTTTACTCGCGATAAATTAAATACATATTTATCTATCGTATGACGACTAAGTAAATAAAAATGAATTTCATATTCTCGAGTTATAAATAACAGATCAAGAATTAAAACGATATAAAAGTTCAAGAATGCGCGATGAAGGTGTACGGTAAGAAAATATCAAGGCCTGTTAATTCGTAAAATGTATTCCGATTTATTAAATTTCATGTATGCCTAAATATGAGCTCTTTACACGTTACGCCATAATATTATATTCATATAGTGTTTGATATCGAAGAACTTGTTACATTTATTAATCGATAGTACGAGTTAAATTATCATACAATGTAGAATATAATGCAACGTGGCTAATAACTAGGCACATACATGTAACAGTGAATTGCAAATAAAAAAATTATGTGTTCAGATACTATTATAAAGACGAACTTTTCTCATTTTATATATATAATTATATACTTACATATAATTATATATATACATATATATGTACATACAATATTAATAATAGTAATAATAATATAATAATAATAATAATAATAGTAGCAGTAATAATAATAATAATAGTAATAATAATAGTAATAATAATAATAATATTCATAATAATCATAATAATAATTATTATTGATCTGTTTTATTTACAACATTCAAAACTATTGTACTAACGAGTTTTACCTAATTTTTTGCCTTCTCACCTTTCTAACACGTCTTACTTATATTTTTATATGTAACAACAGAACGTCTTTGTCGTTTTTTATCTATCAGAATGTTTTCATTATACAGATACGTTAGGGCAACCAGAGAGAATTGTACAACGAATAGAATATATTTTATAAAGCTGAACGCGTTTACATTTTTGTGTGTTTGTTTGCTTGTTTGTTTTGTATGTATGTATGTTTGCAATGTATGCAGTCGCAAAAGCAATCGTATTACCGCTTGTTTTTGTTTTTACGTGTCTTCATATCCTAAATCCAGTGCTATGTTTTTCATTTGTTTCTTTCTCGGTTTCTCTATGGGTTTTTCTTTTCTTTTTGCTTTCTTCAAAGAACACACAAGATCTCAAAGGAGACGTCCATACTTAAATTTATCTTACAAAAATATTTACAAATTTCACAGAGTACACCAACCAGGTGGCGAACGTATAAGCTGTACATACTCCTTATCAACGTTCATGACCACTCGGTTGATTCGAGTATAACTTACACTAGTATACACGTTTTATTATAATATATCGGCTAAAGTATAAAGGAATACCAAATGCCAAAAATATCGCTCGTTTAACAGATGTTTTTCCCCACAGTTTCTCTTATATCGTTCTTTTTTTGCCATTATTATCGCAGAAGGTGCAGCCAAACGAACTTAAGTTAAATTACGAAGAGGACGATGCTTGGAAGATTTCACGCTTTTATATATTATTTCCCTTTTTACCAATGAGATCCATAGAATTCACCCAGGAGTACCGTTTAAAATTCACCTCTCCACTGTTCATTTTGAACGTTTCGTTATCTCACAGAGATCTTTACTACACATTTTGATATCACACGTTTAGATATTATCTGAAGCGGTATAACGTGGCTTTGTACGCGCGTTAAAATCTCAACGACCATCTTTCTATCGTGAAACTTTATTTCTGATTGGCTATTCCTTTTGTTTCTGTCTAAAGTTTAAGGATTATAAAAAAAAACTGAAGATTATTGATCCGTGGCCAACTAGTACGAACTGTTCGAGTATAATCTTTCACTTTTCCCTTCGATAATAAAAAAATACTTATTCATATTTGGCGATCAATTATTTTTAACCCTTCGAGGTCTATTTATTAGCTCTGTGTGTTAAATTTAACTTTGCAATGGATTTGTGCTTGGGAGACGTACTTGGACCGTAAATGATTAATACTCAAAGAGTTCTTCACTTTTCTGCGTACAAAGGTACATAAAGACACATCTCCTTCTTCGTTCTTCGATACTTTGATGAAGATTTGATTCGACAACCATACAATTCGTCGTTATAATATGCCCATATAGAAGTAATTCAGCAAAATAATAATAAATATTTGTTACTTTTAGATTCAGCAAAATTTAAACTCTTCAGTTTACTACAAAGTTTCCCCTTTGTGTGTCTGTGTATGTATGTATGTGTGTTAGTGTATGTCTGTGGGTTTGGCGTTAAAATAGAATTTAAAACGCGAGTTTAAAATTTGCAAGATATACAAGAGCCGAAAAACGTATAACTCATGTTACAATCGAGGAACTTCCAATAGGAAGTGTCGCAATTAACGCAGTTAATACATATGTACACACGACAAAATACGCGAGAATTTCCTGGCGAAATCTTTGTACACTAATATATCTTATATTAAACCACTTGTTGTGTACACTGGGCAAATTGTCCTTAATCAAAAGGTATCATTTTTTACAACTGTCGAGTAAAAATGTCCCCGATCACCGGATTAAAAAAGAAAAAGAAAAAAAGCATGAAAGAAGGAAAAAAACATAAGTAGAAGAAATGTAAGTAGAAGAACAACGGACGAACATCGCACGCGCTGTGCAATAAATAAACTCTTATTAAAGAAAATTCGACATTTTGTTTTTTTTTAGTACGTACGCGAATCGATTAGAATGATTTTAGAAATTACGAATTATCGGAAAGCAAAGCTAAGCGAGCAAGCTATGAATTCGTCAATTCGTTTTTTCTCGTTTTCTTTACAAAAAATAGCCTACAATTTCTTTTTCTGTCGTACTAAGTTCTCTTTCTTCTTTTTCCTTATTGCAGTTTACACATACACACACGCATACACACGCACACTCGCTCTCTCAGTCTCTTTCTTCCTCGATGCATACATTCTATTTTAAATCGCCTCTTAAAAGAGTTTTGTACTTGAGAATGAATGTTCAGTTTCAGGATTTTCACGGATCGTCAACTAATATTCGTCGCGATGATATGCCCTCCTGTACCCGTCTGAACATAAAGGAAATCATTGTCGATCGTGTTCAGGAAAAACTAAAGGAAAAGTTAAGAAAATTCCAGCGCGAGCAAATGATTCCATAAAATAAAAAATGTTATAAGCTACAAGTTCACTGGCAAGCGAAAACGATTCGAATCTCTTGCCGAGATTCTCTGTCAGCGGAATAATTTCACTTGCTGTTAACGATAGAACGTTTTTCAATGTACACTTTGCGCCGTTAATTGTTCGCTAATGAACTTGAAACATCTTACATACGTTTCAACAGGAGGTACAGAACCACAAAACGCGAGAAAGTGTTCAGTCTACGTTATCGAATTTCATTGTACAATTTCGTTATTCCTTGAGCAGGCCAGCATTTTTGTATCCCACTCAAGGTTTGGAATCGATGAGAAGCGAATTTCTTTCTTCGACAAGGAACTCGTTTACTGTGCGGTACTTGTGTGTCGTTCGATTCGAACTCAATTAAACGCATATCCGATTCTATTAATACCGCGTATCGTTGCTTTCGTTTTACGTAACAAAATGGAACAGAGTGCAACCATACAGTAGCAAATGTACAACTTCTTTTGTATCATGTTATATTACGCATATATATATGCAAAAAATGATATTTACAGAAAAATGCAAGTATGCATGTATCGTGTGTGTACGTGTCACTGTGTTTTGAAAACGCGTGTATGTTACAGTTATACGGAATATATATAACTGTCAGAGATTCCAAGTCGATGAAATTCATCGACTCGAATTAATTCCAATTTTATTCGCGGTTTCGCCAAAATTGGACTACTGCTATGTATAAACGATTCTTAGGGCACCATATTTCATTGGTAATAAAAAGTGCATAGAGATACACCTTTGGCCATTATGTTTAGTTGCCAATGAAGTTTTTCCTTGAACAACGCTCGTCATCGTTAAAATGCACGAAAACGCCTACGTTTCGGTTTTCTTATTTTGTTCGAAATACTTAAATATCACTTTAGGCCACGCCGAGTATCTCATCGATTGCCTGTTAAAACCATCAGAAAGCATTCTCTTCCAAGCGGACGACGATGCACGCATACGTAACGTTCCTAATACGAGCGAGAACAGTGTAGCACCTGAGATCACGTATCTCTTCTTCTTCTTTTTCTTCTTCTCCCTTTTCTCCTGGCAGCCAGCCAGTCGTGCGCGAAAATCATCGTTCTGTTAAAATTTCTAAATGTAGCCTTCTTTTGCTAGAACACGAACACGAACGACGCAAGACAGAAGAGGAGATTGTGTGAACTTATATATATTTATCTGTTCTCCTCGAAACATAGTTCGTTTCGCTGCTTTCCTCGGCTCGCTACGGAGGAGATACGTATACTCTAATTCGATCGCGCTAATCTAAAAAATGGAATTTGAACTACCAAATTTGCGAGTTCCACTGAAACGAAACACTCGCGAATTTTGGATGAAAGACCTTACATGATTTAAAAAAGAAAAAATGAAAAAGGAAACAAAACAATTTTCTCAGCTAGAAACCGTTTTTTCGATAGCGCTACCTTTTTATGCGGGTTAAGACCTCGGCGCCGGATGGTTATAAAATTGCTTCTGCGATTGGCCAGATGCAGGATACATTTGATTTCCCGATGGCGGTGTCACAGACGAGAACTTGGAGATCGATACTGCTGTGGTTGATGGCGGAATGAACTGAGGAGGATACGGATTCGAACCTGGAGGTGCTTGAGACGCCTGAGGTACTAGAAATTGTTGTTGCGCCGGCTTATTCGTTGAAGCTTGAGGAGCGGCATTCACGTAGACTGGCTGAGGCGCGTTCTGCGGGACGGTAAAATTTGGATATTGAACCGGGCAAGGTTTTGCTTGAAATTGAGGATAGTGTATGGATGCAGATCCAGGAGGAGGTATATAGGGCTGGGGAGGCAATTGAGGAACCGGGTAACCCGGTGGCGTGTTTGTAATTGTGGGATGAGGCGGAGACGTTTTGCGCGCCTTCAGTATTGCCTCCGCCGTTAGACCTGTAACCGTTTCAAACAATTTTCAGCATAAGAACGAAGGAAATAAATTAAGGAAACAAATGGCGCGAATAGGATAGATGAATGTATACCGTGCTTGCGAGCTCTTTCCTCTTCGTCGTCACTGAGAAATAATCCAAATTCTCGCTTCAACCGTTCCGTCAGATTTTCTCTTTGACGTTCAACCAAAGTTGGAGCAGCGGACCAGCCAATCGTACCTTCTTCGCCACCTAAACAAATGAAATAATGCAATAGAACCAATTACGGTTTGTTATATTTCTTCTCATCGTACGAATTGTTACCTTTCTTCTCGTCGTTTTCCGCATTATTAAAAAGCGGTAACGCAGTAAGGGTCGGTATATCGAGCGTCATCGAAATTTTTGAGCCTTCTTCGTCGGAACTCAGAGACGAGGTACCGCTACTCGCACTGTCAGATCTACCTCTCGCTCCACTTTTATCCGTCGTCGAAGTATCGCTCGATGGTTCAGGTTCTGGGGGTGTGCCAGTCGATTGTTGTTTGCGTTTGCGGTATTCTGATATAGATAACTGAAATGGCAAAGCATTTGTTAATTAACGACAAATGTACGAATGAATATTTTCAAAATATAGAAAACTATTCGTTAAATCGCATCATGCAATTCCAACCTTTCGTTTGACAGGAGGGATCGATTCGGGTTTAAATGCTGGAGCAGGCATGCTGTTTGGGACGACTGTTCTTGGATCCTTTAATCGTTTTATTTCTTTGGGTGGAGTTTCGGCTTCCTTTGTTGGAGCATCTTCGTTATGAACATTTTGCGGAACAGGTTTTGATACCGTTTCTTGAACTTGCGTACTCTGCTCCGGAATTTCTACCTTTGTTTCTGGCTCAACGTACGGAGTACTATTATCGTCAGTGATTTCTTCTTTCGCTCCATCGGATGTCATATCATCTAATTTGGCTTCTAGCAACTCCCTTAATGCAGTCGATAGCATTGACTTTTGCTGCTCGCCGTTCTTAGATTCGTCAACCGAATCCATGTCGATTGTGGATTCAATGATGGCTGCTTCGAAGTTCAGTTGAGTCTTTGAAGTACTCGTAACCTCTGTCTTCTTGCGAATACGTTCGCTTAACGGTGGAATGGAATGAAAAATCTTTGGTGGGTCTGCAACTGATTCTGCGTCCATATTAGAGGATGTAGATTCGAATATCGATTCTTCCGAAGAAGCAACAAATACGGATGGGTGTTCGGTTTTTTGAAATTCTTCGCTGTGCTCTTCGATTTCTTTAGCACTATCCTCGACAACATTAGCTGATCTGTGATCGTTCTCAAACTCATTAAATAACTTTTCCCCATGATTCAAATGAAAGGATTTGAAGGATGTCTCATACTTTAAATCGTCTATTTCTTTGTCTTCAGATTCTGAATCTTCCTTGGAGCTTTCCATCAAGCCTTCTATACCGTCCATGCTCTTATCCTTTTCTGAACTGCTGTCTACTTTTTCCTTATAATCGTTCCCATCGTCACCAGTGATCTTTTTCATTTGCGCTTCCACGTCAAATTCGTCGATCGACGTATTATCATCTGACTTTTCATCATCTTTCTCGGACTTTCTGTCTTCATCGAACTTGTCGCTCTCGGTATTCATCATTTCACCTATGCTGCCACCAAACTCGAGCCTCATCTCAGCTACGCGTTGTTTCAAAATCACATCCGATTCCATGACAGCGATGGGAGAACTAAGATCTTCCATTTCTGTGTCCCCTTCGTGCTGATCGATTATCTCGACCGTACCCTTTTCAACATCCATCTCTTCCTCCTTCTTTATACTGTCCTCTTTCTTGATTTTATCTCTATGACGGTTAATCATTTCATTTTTAATAGACCGATATTCATCCTTAACAAAGGGTTTCGACTCGAAACTCGTATACGCGTGGCACTCCATTTCATCCTTTGTTTCCTCTTTCATCTCAATATTCTCAGATTTCACAAACGAAGAATCAGTTTTCGCGACCGTCGTCGCCACTTCTTCTTTCTTCATGGTTTTAACGTGAAAGTCTTGAGGAATGTCTATCGATAGCTTTTGCCGTACATTCTCGTGCGAGTTGTTCACGTGTTCGTCCGAATCGACTATTTCTTGTTTCACAGATTCTGTCCCCGACTGATGTTCGTCGTTATGTTCGACCAACGGTGATTGCGGCTGTTCGATGAAGTCGTCCTGAAAAAGAGACACGATTATTGATCTCTCTTAATGGTCCTCGTCGCAGAGAATTCGAAGTAGAATAAAACTGGAACTTACTTCAGTTGGACATAGAGATCTATTACTCGGAGCAGATTCAGGAATCAACATGGTCGGTGTCGTAGGTGGGGTATAATTGTCCGACGACAAACTTTCCCTAGCTATTCTTCGCTTCTTTGGCGGAGCTACCATTTCACTGGGCGGTGGACTTTCTGGTCGACTGTTTGGTGAATCGCATTCTTCCGAGATAGCTTGTCGCAGCCATCTCTTCTTGGCAGATCCTGTAGAAACTGGGCACACCGTATTGTTCCCAGCGACCGCTTGTCTACGCTGAGGCGGTGAATCGCATATTCCAGAAACGGAATTAGCTGCTTGGACTAGGGTTGCCAGACTCTTGGCTGCATAACTTTGCGTTAAAAACTCTGCAGACGAATCGGTTGGCAAAGAAAAATCCGTAGACCTGCAAAGTGTATTTATCGAGTTCTGAACTGGTGCTGGTGGTAAGGTTGGCAACGGCGAAACCTGAGACATATTGTTCTGAGGTGGATCAGGCGATTCCTTTAACCATTCGTTCATCAGAACCTTCTTGGTTTTAGGAAATTTAAATCCAGGAGCTAGAGGACCAACCGCCGCCGCGACTAGTAAACAAGCCGACGACAGAGGAGTGGATGGAGTGGAACTTTGAGAACTACTGCTCGCTCCACTGTCGCAGGTTGGACTCTTCACTGGCGTCGGTTGCTGCAATGGAGGCGAACTAGGTCCAGGCGCGTTGGAATTCGCTAAAGCTAGTAACAAGCCAGCAGCTGTTGGAATTCCTTGGTGACCAGACGTGTTCGCGCTTTCATTGGCATTCTTGATCGGTGTATGCAAATGAGACGAATACGGCGCATCACGACTTTGCGAATGATTTTGGCTCAGAGGCGGTGACTGCATCGAGGTGCTCTCTTCTCCGGACGATTCGTCGGAATCAGCCGAATTCAGCCTCATTCTTCGACTGCTGCTTTGAGAAGAACTCGTGGTCCTCGCTCGACCTTTTCTCCTTTTCCGTCTCAAAGGTCTCTCGGTACTTTGAGGTTTTTGTTTAGATTGCAGCGACACATTGTGTGTATCTTCGTTGTCACTATGCGTACCGCCAGATTCTTTCCTTTGCGCATTACGCGCTTGAACCTCCTGCTTCCTTTGCTCCGCTTTCTCTAGTCTTTCAAAAGCTTTCATGATAGCTTCCATTTTTCTCTCCTCCCTAGTCATTTTCTTTTTATCCTTCTTCGTTTCTGAAATTACCGGTTGACTGGGATTTGGCGATGTTTGCGGTTGTTGCACCGTCATCGGAACTTCCTCCTTGGGTACCTGACGTACTGTACTGGCGACGGTGGTTGTAATTGTTCTTTTGGGTGGTACGGATACCGTTGATACCGTCGTCGACGACGGTGCGGTAGGCTGTGTAACAATAGTACTAGGAACCACGGTAGAGGAATCACTATCCTCGCAAATCGTGTTTCGTCGTCCCCTTCGTCTCCTTTCTCGACCGCTAAACAAAAAGGAAAAGTGAATCATGAAAGAACAATTATCGAACTTAAATATTGCATTGGAAAAATTTCAACAAACTTACTCGGCGTTTTCAGCCAATGTTCCATTACTTCCTCTTCTATTTAACTGGTTTAGAGACACTATTTGACACTCTCTTGGATTATTACATGCACAAACGATAGGCATCATGGGGCCATTCGGATTAGGCGATAATAGCAGATCATGTTGTTCGTGTCTAATCGTGATCTCGGCATTTTTCTCGATCGCGGTAGTAGTCACGATATATAAATGTAACGTTCCTTTCTCGATGCAATGTTTCACTTCCGCGTTAGGCTTACAACTACGTCGCACGAATCTAGCATCGTTTCCATACGTTCGGGTATCTACACACACTTCTGTTCCATCGCGCGGTAACCGATAAAAGAATACGAAAGGTCCTGGCCTCTGAGTATGCTGTCTTCCTTGAGGATACGACGGTCTATGTTGCGTGCTCAGCATGTACTTTCCTCGCAATTCAACGACAGGTGTATTCGGTGGAAGGTACATTGTCGCCACTAAAAACTATACCAAAAAATAACAACGTTATCATGTATGAAATAGTACTATAAACACGGAATAAAAAATAAGTAACCATACGTACTCTCACATTATTGCTGTGCACATTCAGTCTACATTTTCCAGTGGCAATGATGTTCATATTACTTTGCCTCAAATCACTGTGTGTGCCGTTTACTTTGATAGAAGAAATTCTTGCTCTAAGTTCCGGACTATAATGATTCGTCACAGCTTCCTCGTATCGTTCGATCCATTGTCTGAGCGGTGCAACATTAGAGGCCCAAGTGTCTTGCGTTTCCTCTTCTTTATCCTCGAGACTCATTCTACGTTTCGCTTTGCGTTTCCCTGGACCACTCCGTTTCGTAGCCTCTTTCTTACGAACCGTACTAGATTGTCTCGGATGAGAATCCCTTCTCTGTCGTTTCGCGACATTATTGTTGTTATTGTTATTATTGTTGTTGTTGTTGTTGTTATTGTTGTTGTTGTTATTATTCAGCCGTCTTACTTGCGGCGGTTCCGACTTTCGTCGGGGAACTTGTTGCTGTTGCAAAGTGCGTTTCTTTGGGATTGTATTTACACCAACATCGGTATCTGCTGAACTGGTAGACGACGTGTCGGACGATGTGTCTGAATTCAACAATTCTTCGCGCTTACGCATTTGCAGGGCACGAGCTCTTTGTCTATCGACGCGCCGCGGCCGACAGATTTCACAGAGATACTCATCAGGAATGTTAGAACGGTCTATACCCATACAATCGACGTGTTGCCAAACTCTGTAATTATGCACAGTTGTGGTTTATAAGTTACGGTCAATCAGTTAAAGTATTCTAAAGATACAACTGATACTTACAAACAACGATCACAGCAGATCATGTATCCATCGTCATGTTCAAATTCGCTAAAAATAGTAAAGATACTTTTTTAAAAACCTGTAAGAAAAGTTATAACATACGAGTTCGTGAAAATGCATACCATATACATCTAGTAACACTATCTTCGTCATCGCCTTCTCCTTCAGGGGCAGTTTCAGTTTCTTCACCTTCCAATTCACCGTCTCTGCCTGTTTCACTGCTGATAGCGCTGGCTGCATCGTCGTCCACGTTAGTACCACTGACAACTACGATCAACAGTCATATTGAAAACACTTGCTTCTATTATGCTCTATTTGCGAATGGTCATCAGTAACTACAAGATATACCTTTGCCATAAATAAAAGGATGCTGAGAAGTCGTAGTAGAACTGCACGCGCCATTGATGGGTGTCTGTTTTGTATGTGACGGTGGCGAAGGAGGAGATGGCGTTCGTGGCGGTGGTGCCCCATAATTGTGATCCTGTAGGACGTACTGAAGACACTATAATCAAGAATTAAGTGTTCTAGGAACAACTATATATGACTACAAAATGCAACAGTACACACTGCAAAAATGATAGAAAGTTCATCGCTAATCTGCAATTATATATCTACTACAGTGTATGTGTTACCTCGTAAGGAGGGGGTATTCTTATAATTGGAGATGCAGGTCGTTGTTGGCGTTCGTCTTCTTTAGTTTCGCGCAACTCGGGTTCGGATCTAGAGATATAACGTTCGATTAATCCATCATTAATCGATATACGTATCAAGTAGTGAAAGAAACGAACAAATACTAACTTGTTTTCAACATCTTTACGAGGTTCGGTGCTAAATACTGGCAGTAACGTTTTTACTTGTCCAGACTGTTGCCTGACTTGTTGAGGGAATTGTGACGTAGTAATAAGCTGTTTTTGTTGTACCGTTTGCTGTTGTATTTTAATTGGCTGATTCTTATGCATCAGCATGTTTGACGCAACAGTCTGTTGAGGAAGCAAGGTTTTGATGCTTGCCTTTTGTGCTACCGCAGTCGTCGGTCCTCCTTGATTCTTCACCGCGTTTACGTTCGTGTTTAAAGAGGTCTTAATACCAGCCACTTTCTGTGCATGATTTCTCTGCGCTGGTTTCTGAGGTGGTATCGTTTTAATGCATCCGGGCTGTTTCTGAGTGTTTTGAGGTCCCATCATGTTTTGTTGTTGCTGGATTATTTTGACCGGTTGGGAGTTCGCGCTTCTGTGCACCGTTTGCTGCACGGTATTTTGCGAATTGGAAGTTTTCACGGTATTGGCAATTTTCTGTGGAACAGTTTTCAGGTTGCTCTGTTGCAAATTTTGTCCTTGACTCTTTGGTACACCCACTCTCATAACCATTTGTTGCTGTTGCATCTTCGAATTGACCTGGGTTCGTTGGCCGTTTGGCATTGTTGCGATCGTGGCTACCTTTTGGTGCACGTTCGTAATACTGTGACTCCTTTGTATCTGCTGATTCGCGTTTGCTTGCTGTTGCTGCTGTTGCGGCTGCTTCTGTATCACCTGTTGTTGCTGCTGTTGCGACTGCTGAACTTGCGAGGTTTGTTGGAGCATCTGTTGCTGCAACTGAGTCGTGCTCGGGGCATGGCCTTGCTGACTTTGCTGCGACTGCGACGATATTACTTGCTGTTTACCCGCTGCTAACAAATTCGCGTTTTGCGGCGTTTTAGCGATATTCGGAACACTGTTGCTCTTACAAACGTTTCCGATCGTTTGTACCCTACTAGAATTAACCGTGGACATAGTCTGAGACTTCTGCAAAGCCATCGTAGTCTGTGACCTTTGATGCTGTGCCGACTGAACTTGTACATGCTTTTGAACGTGCGATGGCACTTGTTGCTGACACTGTACCTGTCCTACCACTTGAACCTTCTGTATACCAGCTACAGAATTGCTAGGCTTCTGAACATTGTTCATAACCGTGGTAGTCGACTGTTGTTGCCTAGGCACAGTCACAGTCTTTTGCGACTGAACCTGTAACTTTTGTAATCCTTGCTGCTGATTACTCGTAATCTGTTGAAGTTGTGCTTTATGGTTCGGGGAATTGTTTAACATCTGCGACGACATCTTTTGGTTATTATAGACCTGTGCTACCTTCTGCGTGTTCACGGCGTTCGCTTGTGCTTTCTGAAGGGTCGAGTTTCCCTGTTGAGTTCTCTGTATATTGACATTGTTCGTGACTTGATTAACGGCGAACTGTGCTGTCTGAACGGTCGCGGTGGACACCTGGCTTTTCTGTACGGTTTGTATCCTAGGCACGGAATTCCTCTGCACAGTTACCCCTTGGCTAACATTTGTCACGGCCTTAACCTTCTGTAAATTAACCGTTTGTGGCTGTCCAACGAGATTCTGCGCCTTCACGTGTATCCTCTGAATGTTGGGCAACGAGGTCACGGTGTTGATGGCTCTGACCGCGCTGCTGCTAACCACCAATTGCGAGGAAACCGGCTGAACTTTCAGAGGCAAGCTAGTTTGCAAGCTAGACACGGCGGTGGTCATTTGTTGTTGCTTACCCTCGCTGGTGATCAGTTGGTTCCTAGCTTGCTGTTTGCTCTGGGTAGTCATGGTGGTGTGCTGCAAAGGGTACACGTGCGCCACTCCGTTGCCCGGCGACGGTAAGGGCTGAGCGTTTATCGGTAGATGAGTAACGTTAGAGGAAACGTTCAACGTCAAAGGCGCAGACTGCGTTTGGTGGCTAGAGGATGGCAATTTCTGCGAGATCACGCGCGTAGTTAGCACCTGGGTGGTATTCGTCTGGGGTCCAGCGATCCTCTGTACTTCTCTGACGGTTTTCGTCACCGGATAGGTTACGCTGACCGATTTCACGGTGGAAAAGGAAATCACGTGACCAGTTGGAATCTCCGAGGTATTCTCCAGGCACTGAAGAATCTGAGAAGACTTGCCGGCATCGTTGTTGCTCGCGACCACCACGGTGTTGGGTAAGCTATCTTGATTCAGCGACGAAGACGGCTGATTATTAGGGTTGTTCTTCTCTAAGGATGTTTCTATCGTGCCCAACTGCAAAACGAAGCTCATGGTGGTTTCAGCGGCCTGCGGAAAGCTGTCGATGCATTTCGTTGCGGTAGCATCGTTCTCGTTAGCATCGGTACGCTCGGCTGTGGACACCGGGGGAGGTGGGCCAGGCCCTGGGGACAATTGTTCCCCACCTCCACCTGTTCCACCCCCCGATAACTTGATCACCGACGGGGTCGACGTTTTGGAGGCCTTTCGATCACGCCAATTGGAAATTCGAGCGAGTCAGGACCGAATGGCTATCCTCGCCCGGCAGCTTCACGGAGTACCGCGCTCTTCGATTCCGCTATTTGAGGATTCTCGACCATAGGCTGCAACACATCATCGCCAATACCTTCGTTAGATCAATTTTTATTTTCATTCATTAAAACTCGATTTTTGCAACTATCGCTTTATCAATGCCAATTTCAATTTCCGTTCAAACTACTCAACAGACAAAATTTACATTTCGTTGAAAATATTATACGGCATTTAGAGAGCAAGTATATGTTCGTAGCTAGGTTACCTACGTACTCGAAACCAAACATCCCGCGCAATACGCATTAATTATTCAATGTCCGTGACGTGGCGTTGCAATATTCGAGGCTATTGATCCGGAAAAACGTTGTCTTTTGCTGCCTCGAAAGAAAGACCCTGGTTATCTAACGTCGATTCTTGTCACTTCCAGTGAATATCATTTTTTTATAAGTTCATTGCCGAAGATAGGGAAGAATCGTTAAGAAGAGGGCAAAAAAAGATAATCGAATATGTAATGTTTCGAACATTTTATTATAAAAGACACACACGAAAGTGGTAACAATGATTCGAGAATGACGGAAAAAGAAGAAATATTGTTGCGCGCTTTCGAACCGGTTTGAAGTCACGCGATAAAATCGATTTAGATTCCACAAAGATTAAGACGCAAATAGATCCGTAAGTGACTAATGCGCTTAATTACAGTTCCTCGCTGTTCACAGTCAATGTAATCGATCGTGGAAAAAAATTCGAATATGACGTATTATAGTTACCTCCGGCTAGAGGCTCCTACTCTTTTACTAAACAATTGCTATCGTTCAACAACAACGAACAATTGATATCGCAAAGCGACTACATGATAATTTGCATCGAAACTCCTTCGATCGATTAACTAATTAATAGATGAAAGGTACAAATTGCTCGTGACAGTTTTGACGGGAAAACTTTTTCCAACAAGTATTGCTCTTTTAACAGATTGTCAACGGATAAAAAGATCTAGTAAAGTTTTCTTTAGCCATACAGTTATCCATACAACTTTCTCGATAGTTATTTCTACGTATATCGTTGGGCGAGTTAAGAGACGAAGAGCGCATGGAAATTGCTCGAGATCGCGCTGCGATCGCCTCATATGAATGTGGAAGTGACGGTAATTTTTTTTTCCGGTAAAAGTTACAAGCCATACGACAACATTCACTGATTTCTGTCGAAGCTGCACGTGCAGTTGGACTCGTGCCAAGTATGTCTACGAGCATCGCATCTTCTTTAGTATATACTACTAATAAATTAATATTTATCAATTCTCTCCAGTGAGTTCTGATTATGTCTACGTATACAACCGACCGAGTAAAAAAAAGTTCGCAGCACTGACCAATAGTAGCGAACCAACTTATCGGCATGCTTAATTTGCCTGGAACAACAACCGATAAGCGAAATGTATGAAACGTGTCTAAATAACGCAGAAATAACTTTTGCGCGCGTGCAATGAGAAAGAAGGGATAATTCCCACTCCTTACGTACATTGCATTTTACTGTTTTATCGTAATTGGTTAGTTAACGCGAAAACGACTCGAACGTTCCTTTCTCTTATATCATGAAACTAAAATTAGATATTTCATGTTATCAATATTGCAAATTATAGTGTGCTTTCGAAACGTTAACTATCTTGCATCAACGGTGGTGCACTCTTCGGTGCAACGTCGACAACATGTTCGAACTTCAATTACCAAACGTTTCCTTTACGTCCTTTCATTTCTACGATCTAAATAATAGTTTCTTGCGAATATTTCAAAGCTAAAGATTTCTTGATTCGCGTGAAATTTTAACCGCGTTATTATCGAATCAAGAAAAGATCCTTTGACGAGCAAAACGAGAGTGGCAATCACGTGACGAATGCGTGACTAGGAAACGGCTCGTTCAATGCACATGACGCCTTTTCTACCGTGCTCGGTATCAGTGGCACGTGCCACTACTACAATTACCTCCCGGGCATTTGCTTTTATGTTCAAAAGTGGTCGCGATAATTCTGACTAGTTCGGATAGAAAAATAAAATAAACTTTTTATTAATTGATTTACCCTGAAAAATGCATACACTAATTATATTTGTACACCAGCGAGTTATCTTATGCATCGATAATTATTATGCTCTCGATCGGATGCAACCCCCGATCGAGTTGATTCGTCTTGTCAACCGATTTGAGAAAAGCTAACGCGCGTTACACAACTACACCGTTGTCGGTTGTAACGTAATGACGTTATCGTTACTGTCAAAACGCCAATGGCAGAGATTCAACTTTCATCGTTCGGCTACGCATACGTCTGTTAACCGAGGTTAGGTACTTGGTCGCATACCGCGCTGGATTTAATTTCAATGAAATCTTAGAAAAATCATCCCAACAGTTCTTTCTTTTTACTCGAGTTCAGATTGTAAATTTTCATCGACCGAATAAAAAAAGATAAAAATACATTTTCGTACAATTCATACAAAAAACAGTTCGAAAACATCATAAGTGTATCGAGGACCCATGTAACGTGATATTATTTCAGATGGTCCGAAATCAGGGAAATTGGCAAATCCAACTCTACACCTTGTAGCAGAAACAAAACTATATTTCTGTAGCTAAATATAAATTTGTTCAGCGGTTACGCGTGGCAACGTTAACTGGCGAATAAATGTTCGGCTATGCGTTTTCGTAAAATTTTTATTTCCTACGATAATAAAACATTGCGCTTAACGATAAGTAGTTAAGCCTTCGTATAAAAGACATATCAGACAATTATGTTTTATCATGCTGGAACTAAACCGGAGCAACTACATGTCTCGTTCACTTTGCGGGCATAATTATATTTTGCATGTACCGCGAAAATAAACCAATTAGTCGGTTAGTTTTTCAACCGTTGCGGAAATTTAATCGAATATCGGACAGTTTGCCACAGGCTTTCCAGTACTCGTGAAATTAACGAGTTTCCGCGCGCAGATTCGCAGAGTACGAGACGCGAGTGTGCAGCGTTGCAGTCTGGTTTGTCGCGTTGGCAGCAATGGGATTTGTGGCGACCTACTTGGCGTACCTCGACCCTTGCATTGATTCGATGCGAACCAAAATTATTCCTGAACGATTATCGTTCGACGCTGACCTCCCCCGGTGCCCCTTCGTCCTTCTTTTCCATCTTTCATAGCTTCTACCGATGAATATTTATTCTACGTCAAACAATAAAAATATAATCGTTGATAACGAACGTCCTGCTCGTAAAATGTAACTGAAACAGCGCTTAGAAAAATAAACGTTTTTATGCATATTTTTTCTTCGGATACAATAAACACGAAGGATAAGATTTGAAGCGAAATCGTGAGAGGGATTCATATATTTTCATGGTGTTTAGAATAGAAGTATTTTGGATAGATTTCTATTAATCAGGTTATTGTTACTTGCTACGGGTCAACACTGTCTACGAGCCGTTTGACGCTTCCGCCGACCCGTTCACCGCAGGGCTATTCGACGTTGCAGGAAAACGGTGTTGCTCTCGCTACCAACTCGTGCGCAGCTCTAATGCGCATTATGCTGCTGCCATGTAGCCAACTTGATCGTAAGCAATCACGCGGATGTAACTAGCAATGAAATCGATTTTATCTACTACAAAATCGATTTAGGAACAACTTTACGATATCGAAATATTCAATGACAAAGTATCGATCGTTTTTAAATGTCAAAACGTTCGTTTACTTGGCTTATATAGATCGATTATCGCGGCTAGAAATAAGCGTACGTGCCTATATTGATTTTTTTCTTGCGTGTTTAACTATCATTTCCATAGGAAATTATTAATCGTTTTACTCGTGTCTGTCGCTCCGTTTTCTTTTCCCTGTAAGGTTCTTATTTAATCGCGAACAAAATACGTGCTATACCTATGAACATTGAACCGAGGAACACGAATGCAACGTCTTCTCGGTAGATATACTAACCATACCTACGCTAGTTCTACGCCGTTAAATAAACGTTCGACCTCTCTCTTCCGTTTCTTCTCGCTCATTCTTCAAAATGTCCATCTTTTGCTCTCCCTCTCTTTTTTCTCTGACAGTTGATTCTACAACGAGGCAGAGCAGGAGCGTATAACGTACGGTAAGCCGTATACAAAGGTCTGATTGCCGGACACTCGGTGAAATATGCCAGTCCCCGCCAATAACCGGTATCACGCTGTCCTCTCTTCGCTTCTATGCTGTCTTCACTGCGCTCATGGCGGATCTGAGAGGAAGAAGGAGAGCGATACACTAGCCGAGAAGGTGAAGAGAGAAACGAACGAGAATCTGTAGAAGTGAATCAAGATGCGAAACAATGCCATGTACTAGGTAGATCGATGTCACAGCGCGAAAGCTTTTCCTTCGCGTTTCGCTATTTTTGCGATAAAATCTCCTCTAATTTTCTCCTGATTCTTCTTGTTTCTTTATTTTATTATTTTTTTTTTCTACGTAAAACATCGTATCGTTCGTTGCATAAATGTTTTGGTTTCGATCCAAATCAGTCAATAACCTGTATTTAGGTTTAAGATAATCAGTTTTAAAAGATCCTAAAGAACTTGCGCTTTCTCGTACACGGTGCATAAAAAGGTCAGGGAACGACGAAGGATTTAAACGGTACTCGAGAAGATGGTTGTTGTACGAAGAACAACCACTCCATTTTGCAAGAGTTTCGTGCCTCTTCGCTCGATCATGCATGTAAATGAATGGGAGCGTCACGAGCTTGCAAACGTGTACTTGCGCGCACAACAGTTTTACAATCCCTTTTCGTGCTGTCGCGACGGTCGATACGTAACGCGTCACGTCGTTCGGCAAGCTACTGAAAGATGGCTTATGTTTCCACGAATTCTGCGATCAGATCGTATTCGAAATAGTACGACAGTGTACCGCCTCTTTCGCGCCTAGCTTTCGTTAACCGATTACATACGAATGCGATTAAACAATAAGGATAAACCGATATGCGCTAAAGCGACCGATGCCATCTCTCTTCTCAATAACTGATCCCAAGTGTCTGAGATTTAAATCTCGGTTCAATGTACTCGTATCGAAAACACAAATCATGTAATCGGATTACGTCGAACCGAGTACGCTTAGTTCCGATTAATCCTACGTTACATGGATAAGACAATGTAAAAATATCTGCTGCTCTGAACGATAATAATAAAACTGCACTTTCTACTTTCGTTCGGAAACAATTGATATAGCCATGAAAGATAGAAAAGGAAGAGTAAAAAATTGAATGAAAAAACACATCTGCGATCACGAGGGGCAAAAGAAACACAATGCGATTCTGTGTTACGCGGGTGTTTCTACGGGACAAGGGGACGAGATACGAAGATCCAGCAATGCACACCTCGCTATTATGCCCAAGGTTACCAAGAAGCGCATATCTCTTTTTCTCTTTTTCATGCTTTCAATCCTGCCCCATGGAACCGGACTAAATTTTATTGCATTTCGCTGCACCGTCGAATCCGAATGCCTATAAATTCTCTTTCCCTTTTTAAGCGTAATCTCGTTTACCTTTTAAGCTAAATTATGTTTCGTTTACCTTTTTTAGCGATACATAAAATTATACCTCAAATGAAACCGATATGGCTCTATGAAAATTCGGTTTTACGTTTACGACAAACGAGACACAACGCGTATAAATTTCTACTTTCCGTCCACAAACTATTAAGCGCGAAACAAGTTTCTCCGTTTATCGTGAATACGCCGTAGCCATAGTAACTGTAAGCACCATTAATATACTCTGACGTCATCCTAAAGAAATGCATCGGTTCTTTGCGGCGTAAATCTTGCGAAATCGTTGTTAGTAACTCGTCCGCCTGACTTTCAATCGAAATTAAACGGGCTTACGAGATCATTTCAATCGGCTCGTAGTATGTCCCTTTCAAGACCGATGTAACGATCGCGTCAAAATTGTAAGGTTAGGTACCTGAAATAACGAAAAATCCTTCTTTTTTCTCCTATGAAACAACTATGTGTGTGTCGCGCGTGCCCATCACTGCGCGCGAACTTCCCTTGCGGTCGATACGATTTCACCTCATAGCTGGTAAATGCTACCACCAGAGGCGTATTCTATCAACCAAATTTCAATCTCGGCAACAGACAGTTCAAAATGCTCAATTCTTTACTCGTAATGCGTCAACTGCATCGCTGTATTTCGCATGTATTCATGCAATTAACTGTACTTCGGAATGCTTTTATTTCTAAATTTTCTAAAACTATTTGTATCCTTAAAAAGTTGTATTTGAACGAAGTAATCTTCCTTCTCTAGAAACGTGACAATTATTACGAGGGGCTGATAAAATTTCGATCCGCATCGTAGTAATCGATTGATACGGGAAATTCGTGTCGACGCCTTTGGTTAGAACTCGCTAGTAGTACCATATCTGCACAGGTATCCCGATCCCTTCCTTCAGTGAATACCCCATAGATTTGACTTTACCACAAACGTTTCGAACGACCTCTTATAGATGTAACTCAATTAGGAAAAGAAACTGTTAAACTTGCATCGAAGACTTTGTAAACGTATACATAAAAATTATTTACGTGTAATAAATTTGAAATAAAATTTCAATATGATAACATTCGTAGAAGCGTTTTTCTAAACATATTGATTTTAATGCCTTTTGATAACTCTATAAACAGATTAATTTTATTTACTTAGATATCGTTCGATAAGGAATAAAAGATATATCGAAAACGCTTTCAATAGTTAACACCGAATGGAAATAAATATCGAAAATTATTCAACTAATAAATATTAGCAAAAATACCAAATATTCGAATACTAAAGGCAATGCAAATAATGAGAGGCACAAGGAAGAAAGTAATGTAGAAGATCGATAAATTTCAGATCCTGGGGATAGCAAGTTACTCGACGAAGGTAAGACATGCAGAGAAGAATTTAGCGTGACAAGAAAGAGAAACGCGGCGAGTTTCGCGGAAGAAGAGGTGGTGTGAGAAAATAGGAGAGACAAGAGCAGGATTGGTAGGGATCGCGAAAAGATCAAGAAAAAGGAGAACAGAAGATCTATGAAGGTAAACGAAAGACAAACCGAAGGAAAGCCATATACACATAACAGGGGGAAACGAGATAGAAAGGAGAAAAGAGATAGAACTGACAACATGGCGGTCTAAGAGACCAGAGCGCCGCCTGGTAGATTTTTCTGTTCCCGCCGTAAAATAGTTATCGCGTACAAACTTCTTTCGTCAGATTAAACACATAATTTCATGTTTTTTAAATACACGTTTATGCACATTCAAGTTATGTATATTAAATTGTTCCACAACTTTGTATCGAGCGACGCAAAATATAACCAAACGTTTTGGAAATATTATAATGTTTTTAACCAAAATGCAACAAATATTAAATTATATAGAGCATAGAATAATACATAATACGTCATTGAATATATTACATAAATGAAAGATACAGGATATTCATTATTTGATGTATTCTCATGAAACAAACTATATATTGAATACTATATTGACAAAGTTAATCGATTCTATTCCTATTTTTGTTCATTTAAAATATAAACACGACTGTTAAAGTCTCAACTTTTAGTAACATTTCTGCCAATTTATATACATATTTACTTTGTTCAATTGAATGATATGCATATTATAACCTTTTACTTCGTACATAATTAGCATAATTTAAAGTAATGTAGTTGCAGACATTTATAAACAAAACAATATAACTATAAAATATTGACAATAAAATGGCAAAGGAGTATAGGTACATTTCTTCGATGAACGATAATAGAACACGATAATTTGCTCGTATTATATCGATGTTTAAGTTAAATTTACACGAATAAAATTAAAAGTAAATATAACAAAAAAGTAAAATGATAAAAATTAGACATCTGTAACATATAATTAACCCAAGACATGTACAATATGTTTCATGGTTATGAAAAACGTAAACGAATGTAGTAATATTATTTTGAAAAAATTAGGAAAATACAGTGAAATATTGTTCGAAAGTTAATAAACACTGCGTAAGTTTTATAGATAAAGTAGTATGTGTACGATGTGGTTGACCTGTACTCACTCACCATTTTACCTGCCATTGTTACCACCATTCAGAAACAAAAATTGCAACTAACATATATCTTTTAAATGTTCGTTTTCTTGTAAAAAAACAACAACAAAATGAAACCGAGATCATTCCAAGATGCCGAAACCGATGTCCCGCGTCGTTGATGATACTCTTTTTTGGTTAAGTGAAATTTGACTTAAAGTCGTATAAAACGACAAATATCATTATACATGTCACAGAATGTCAATGACAAAGTCGTTTCGCATTTTCAAAATCAATTTACGAAAAAACACAATACACAAGATTATTTAAACGTCACAAACGATTCATAATATGATCAGAATGTAGCATTACAGCTGTCTCTCATATAACGAGTTGATGAAATTTTAATCACTTGTCACTGTAGTTGCAATTTATTGATCATTAGAGGCAATCAAAATGCATAAAAATGCATTGCTTACCTTAATATGACAGGAATACAGAAGCTCACTTTAAACTTGGATGTAAACACAAGCATTTTTTAACGGAATTAACACCAGGGCAGCTTAAATAATAAACGAAAAAACACTCTTTACATCGCGGACAACGTTATTTCACTATCCGAGATTTTATTACGTTATTAAATACCACAATAAATACGAGAATTCACGATCTCTTCGGAAAACATCCATCGAAAACTAAAGATGGCAGCCATTCTTCTGTACAAAACAAAGGTTCACATCCACGGACTCGCAAGCAATGAAGCCTCGAACCCAGATAACTTCCGGCGCTGACATCAGCCCGCCATTTTCAATTTTTCAAAAATGCATTGTCTTATTTGCAAAGAGCTTATAATAAGATTCAATTCAGAACGTTTCGTGCTTTAACTAAAGTTTAAAAAGCAGTCGCTTCAATTTTTATTTACGTAAAATAGAAATATATCAAATTTGCAATTTATAAATTAGTGATAAACTAATGTCAAATATTACTGATAGCTGGCGCTGAAATCGAATTAATGTCTTATACTGCCATCTGGTTTGAAATATACAAATGAATATTTTGCTGCCAACTTCAAGGGAAGCATAGTAGTTATTTCATCTCTTCTGGTTGATTGAAAAAAATGAAAATAAAAATTAAAAAATTGATTTTACATCGATTATAATATGATATATTCCTTGAAAAATTAATTCAGTGTTGTTTGTTTCCATTGATGATCTTTTAAAGCTCAATTTCGTGTCAATAGTCGAGTTAAAGTCAACTGATATTTAAACAATTATTGATACAAACGTCACTAAGAAAGTTGGTAGTATATGTTACGATTGTACATATATACGATATGAAAATTCTACAATTGTTATTGCTTAGGGCTTAGGTTATTGATTTCTAAATATGCAACATATGTTTTAAAACAGTAACAATATTTTTAACATGAATGTACGATATTAATTGAAAGAGAAGCATCTTGATCGCAATAATTATAATATAAAATTGATCATACAAAAATATTAAGGATGCAATAATAACAAACACTGTCTTTTAGTAAATAGTGTGGGTCACCTAAAAAAGGGAAAGCACAAATAAGTAAGTTAACATTCTTGTCCAAAAGGTAGCTCCATATTTAAAACGAGTTAAAATTATTTTGATATTCTGCTTTAAATTTATTTATGAATTTCAATAATTTTAAATTAGATTTTGTTATATAAAAAAAATTTTCTATTAATTTGATCAATTTTTGTGTGCATAGAAATGGCAGATACAGATTCACAATTAAAACGACTCTTACTGCCAGCAGAAGAAAGTCTATTTGAACAATTATTGAGGTTTGGTTTATATATTGGTGCTGTGTTCCAAGTTATATGTTTGTTGGCAATTGTTGTTTATCAAGCTGGCCCTTCTGATAATGTGGCTTCTTTGAAGGTACTTTCATAAATCATTCAATTTTGGGATTGTTGATAATTTGTATGTAGTAGAATAATGAGGTTACAAGTTAATTACAGGATGACCCAAGTGATGTAGAATGCTCAGAAAATAGTCCTCAGGTTACTCCAAGAAGACCTCATAGACCACGAAAACAGGAAAAGAAAAAGAGACGCTGAATTATTTTCTCTATATGAAGTACATTTCCTATAACTTAAATTATTTATCTATTTAAAAGACTGTTTTTATATATAATTATTTATACATTTCATTTTTGTAATTAATATAAGTTAATAATTTCATTCCTATTCCTGGCCTTAATAAGACAAGTAGTATCAAAATATTGTATAACATTCCATGAAATATAATACGTTTTATATAATATTCTAATGATATTGTTGATAAGATAAAACAGTATTACTGTTGAACATTTAAGAATATAAATGTAATTATTATAATAAATGTAATAATGTAATTTTCTATTGTATGGATTTTTAACTTTGTAAAACTACCAATTAATGTATTAAATATGTTTATCGTTTCTTATTTTTTTACTGATACATATTCTTTATTAGACAATATTTATTTTATATTTATTGAGAAGATATATCTTTCTATCAACAAAAAATTATTTAGTCCCTCAAACTTATTCTGCATCTCGACTTTAACCCCTTTTGTAAAGAAAGGTGGCTCTAAACAATACTCCTGTTATTCAAAATGAAGTACGCGATCTACAGATAATAAGTTGAATTAACATGATTGATGTACGATAATGTACATGGAAAGTGAAAACGTTTTGCGTTAAGATCGATGTTAAACATTCTTTTTCTTGAATATATCGATATTACTTAATTTTTGATGTCTGTATCATATTTCAGTAATCATAATTCCAATGAAAATAATTACTAATAATCGCTACAGTAATGACAATAATGTTTACGGTAGCAAAAATGACATATAGTATGTTATGTCCTAACCGTTGTGGTGATAGTAGAATATGAACTCCTAATTGTTTTCTAATTTTAAATATGCCACGAAAAATGTCATAAGGTTTTCAAGCTAATATTATTTAGTTGTTTTAAATAAAGAAATTAACATGTTACATTCAACGGGAGCATTATCACCACAAGATATTCTATCAGAGGTTAGAAAGTTCATTTCCGGAGCTATTAGACCGACTCATAGTACTAGTACTCTTGATGTAACTCGAACAGCATTATCATTACTTCGAAATGTACCAGCCGCAAGAGATGCGGTGCTTGAATATTTTTGCAATGTCTTTTTCGTTGCGGTAACTAAATATGTTCGACAAATCGAGGTAAGTTTAATAATAAACATAATTTGGTTGAACATTTTAACGAATTATGCGTTAAATACTTTTAGACAAACCAAAATCTAGCAATATGCGAGGAGACTATAATAGCTGAAATTCATACTGTTTTGAGTAACTTTATTAATGGAAATCCAGAAGCATGGGCACCAATTATATCGGCATGGTCATTGGAATTACTTGGTATAAAATTACTAAAATTCCTTAAATGTATCTTTTTACATCACACAATAATTGTATTACAGGTAAACTCTCCTCAGATTATGCAAAACGTGGTAATTTACCAGTCAATGCTGGAATAAATGATTTTCTGCAACAATGGATGTCTTGCCGTGCTACTCGTACATTAATCGATATCACTGCCCAATGCCTCCAGTGTCTCATGCACTCAGATACAGAGTCCTGTATTAAAGCATTATTGGATACTAGCGTATTACATAGTCCTCATTTTGATTGGGTAGTTGCTCATGTTGGAAGTTGTTTTCCAAATACAGTTATAACCAGGGTATTGTCATGTGGTTTGAAAGATTTTTGTACCATGGATCATGAACATAGCATTAAGAACCCCAAATTGAATTCAGTCGTTGGAATTTTGGGACATTTAGCTGGTAGCCATTTTCAAGATATTAGAACAGCATTATTGGACCTATTCAAAGTAAAATTAACCTCTATTAATATCCATAATATTAATAAAAATAATATCAAGTATACATAATAATAATAATAATTCTAGTGGAGTTTGGAAGAAGATATGAATGTTGATGAGGATACCAAGAATCAGAAACTAGCTACTGTTCCATTTCTTTTAAATTTAGCATCTCTTTCGCAAACCCTTCTAAAAGCAATAACTAGTGATGTGTTACAAACTTGTAAGTAAATGTGGTTCATAATAATGAACAAGATTATACTTTGTTGTTCTTATTGCAGTGAAACCAGATATAATTCCACAGTTAGCATTATTTGCATCAAACTGGTGCAAGTACTTTGATAATCAGCCAGAAGCTCTTATAGACTTGACTGTGCATCTGGTATTAGGATGTGAACAAGGTGCATCTCAAATAATCAATATCCTGTTGGATACTACTTTAAATACAAGCAATGTTGGATATCATAGTGTTAATGCAGCTCAAAGTGTGAAGAATGTATGCTCTGAAATACTAGAATTAGTATTACAAGAAATTGATTTGCTAGTAAGAACTCATGGACCACAATCTACAAATGTTGCTTTATTGAACTCTATCAAACAAGAGTTACCTGTGATATTACCATTACTTTTAAATCCAAATCCATTGCGAGTGCGAACAGCTGTAAGATTGTTATGTTTCCTCGGAAGTCAAAATTCTAATATATTAGTATCCGCGGCCTCGTACATGTTAGTTAAAACTGTAACGACTTTCCATCTTGCTGCTTTAATACGTCTTATTTCTAATAATATCGTACTTTTTTCTTCTAATAAATCTGAAACGGAAAATGTGTTGGCTAGTTACGGTTACTTTACACAAGTAGTAGAACAAGCTCTTAGAGAAATAAATTATAAAAATGTTATGGAGAAACAAGAAACGAGACAACTCTTTCAAAATCTTACAATCCTCTTAAAGTAAGCATATAATAATATATCAAAACAGCTGCGTTTTACTTTTTTCTGTAGTCATAGCATATATTCATTCATTTGCATAACTTATTTCTATATAGATGGGAGAAATCAAATAAGGCATCAATATTTAGGTCGAAAATGATTTCACATGCTATAAAATCTAATTTGTACCAAATTTCTGCTTTATTAATGAGGACAGATGACTTTGATCTAGCAAATGATATTGCTAAAATGTTAGATCTATTCAGTATGCCAGAGAAAGATCATTTTGCACCAAATATAGAACTTACTTTAAAATTAACAAGAGCCATAATTCAATATTTCTTTTTGTGCATAGCAGAAAATGGTAATCACCGATATATTTATCAATAAAAGATTATGGAACAAGAATCTAAATGAACATTTATTTTTTAGATATTACAAAGAAACAGCAAGGTATGAAAATAGTTTGCCATTTATTGAAGGATTTGACTTCTTACTCGCCATGTGCTAGAGTTCTGGCTTTAAGAGAATTTTTAGGACACAGTATTAATAATGATCGTGCCAAATATTTTGGAGCAAAAGAAAAATTTGAACCAAAATTTGAGGAAACGTTACTTTTACATCAAAATCATAAACAGGTAAAGTAATATGTTAATTTTTTATAAACAAAATTGTATAAATCGTTTTTCATATAGGTCACAAGTACAATGTTAGCTCAAAAACATTCTTCTGTATTTCATGCCGGAGTGATTGGACATGGTCCTCGAAGGCCGCCGCCCGAAAATACAATTGACAAAGATATTATTACTCTAAACAAAACGCTATTAATGGATGTAATAAAGGTAAAATTTTCAAACGATTAATCGCATAATATGTTACAATTTATTATCTATGTTTTATAGGCGTGTTGCAGTAATCGGGAGTCTGAAAGGTATCCCGTAAATTTAGATGCTTTAACAATGGTTAGTTTGTTGTTAGTTGAATTAGTTTCACCCGATGTTATGTATAATGGATTACCTTGGCCAGACGAAGAATTTACAAAGGTATATTTAATAAAGATATCATAATTATGATTTTAATAATCAATCTTTTATGAAAGTATGTAACATTTTAATCATTAGGTTACCATAGAAAGAGATTTACAAATTCGTCGAACTTTTAAAGATGTCCCATTGTTATGGACATTGTTAGAGTTAACAGCTTGGTATAGGCCAGCTTTAGCCTATTGTTCGGTTTTATTACGAGGTATTGCTGCTACTGTTATGGCTAATTGGAATACAGAAGAAGGTGTTTCGCTTGTGAGTGTTATGGCACTTGGTCAATTACTACCACCCCCATTAGCAAGTATAAGAGATATTTTACCAGTTTTAGAACCTCATCAGGTACGTTTCTAGAATTAAACAGTACTTGATTTACATAATATTTACAAAATTATGAATCGTAATCAAATCTTGCTCATTGCAGATAAATATTATAATGAAAGAATGTGTGTGGGCATATATGCGGGAAAATGTTCCCTCACCAGCCCTTTTCACACGTAGCGAAGGAGCTAATATTGCTTGGAGGGACACAGATACTTCTACTCCCAACGCAAGATTCACGGAAATACTTCGTTTAGTTTTGTTATCTAATATCCACATGTTGGGCTCACTTTATGCTACCTTGTTTTATAACGAAAACAAATAACCAAACTTTTAATTAAACTCGAATCGTTCTTGTATATATATTTCTGTAAATAGAGCGATAATAATTTTTTATGTTATTAAAATAATGTTTGATATAAATATTCTTGTTTTAAATTTCTACTTTTACAATGAAAGTTTCCAGTTCAGTTTATTCTGCTACATGCATGGAACATCCTGTCAATTATCATTTGATTACCTTCGCATGTTTTCAATATTTATCAAATATTGTAAAAGTTATAAACTTTGATATATTTTAAATGTTAATATATATTAATATATTTAAGTTTCGAACATTTTAACTACTAATCTAACAATAATTGCATCTTAAAACAAATTCCAATAACAACATTATGAATATTTACATTTACTTAAACGAAAAATAATATAGGTCAAATTAGGAGCGAAAGAAACACAAAAATGATAAATTTCAGTTTTTATAAAAACACATTTTCCTAAATACATACAAGAAACAATTATTAGTTTATTTTGTATCATTATCGGTATAGGAATGATGATATCTATGATGAGCGAACACTGTTCGAAGTAGATTTTGTACGAATACCCTAGGTGGGTGTCTCGTCCTGACGAAATGATTATACAATATGCAATGATTCGATTTATATAAACTTTACGAGTTTAATCGTACGTTTTAAGAGTCCCTCGTACGACTCCATATCAGCTGGAGCATAAAACACTAGTAAAAAATGTTGAAAATATTTAATTACTTTCTTCCTATGTACACTGCTCGTTGTATGAAAGATATATTTTATAAGTAAATCCAGAACATTCAAACAAAATAGAATGTCTGTATTTACATTCGAGCATTTAATATATTATGGTCAACTGCGATTTTCCACACCATGTCAACATATTGCATTATTACTAATGTTCTGTTATATGAAGAACACAGTGTACAACCGCTTGCAATGCTTTGTACATAAAAAACGGTATTGTTCTTTATGATACATAAATAAAAATTAACAATTACAAAAATCGCAGGTTGTAGTTGTTGAATTGATACGTAATAGTTACGAAACAATAATTAATTAAATATTCCTCGAGTGTATGATAAGTATATCTGAATACAATTTTTAAGAAGACTGTTGTATAATACGTACACACACACACACACATATATGATATATACATCTATATATACATATATATGTGTGCTTTATCTATGTAATCTTTTTAATGGAAAATAAAGTATAGAACCGTACACTTTGATTCATGTTGATGATCTTCAATTACTCTGCCGAGTAATCATTAGTATTGGTAGCGCAGAATAGACTTATTTTACAATAAATTATTATTCAGTTCTTCAGAATTAAAAAAAAAAATCACCTTCAAAGTCAATTTTGTATAGACTTAATTTACATAGAGTTTAGAAAAGTAACGTGCTCATGCCACCCATTTCACTTTGTTCCTTAACAAAGATCTCGAAGTACTGGTATATGATTGTAACAGCAAGTAAAATACCAGTACCCGATCCGATTGCACCAAGAAAATCAGCTAGTACCGACAAAGCACCGATACACAATCCACCAAATGCTGCCGCAGTCGGAATGTATCTGTTCAATTCATGAATCATTGAATTATCCCTGTGTCCTCTCATTACCATTTGTTGATCTTTCAATTGCTTCGCAACCTGAAACATAATATTCATTGTAGATAGAAAGAATTAAAATAAATAACAAAATGAAAAAGAAAACAAATACTAACCGCTTTTGCTGAACTACCAGAAACTTCAATCCACATTTTCGAGAAGAACGCACAAGATCCAAGCATAAAAAGAATGTAAAGAATAGCATGAATAGGATCTTGAAGGATATGTCCAACAGATTCCGGTGGCGATAAATAATAACATAATCCTCCAACAGGATAAGATCGCGCAGGACCACCACCACCGATATCAGACCATACTCCTAACAGGTTAACTATAATGTTCCCTTGAAATTTAACAGCCAACATTTGCGATATGACGTATAAATTTGACACCAATGCAGATTGAAGAATTATTGGGATATTGCTGGTGTAGAATAGTTTAATAGGATAACTGGTATATTGTCCCCTGTATTTGGCAGATTTGATCGGTAAATCAACACGGAAGCCCTATTGGGAAAATATATTTATAGTTTCAATCGAATATTTTTTCCTTGAAAATTTTTAAATTCGAAATACATGCATTACATTACCTGGAAGTAAATTACAATGGCAAATACTAAGATCGTAGCAAGTAAGTTCATAAGATTAGGAAGATTCTGTCTATAGAATGCTTCACGGAGAGCACGAACTTTATCCTGTCTTGTAGCCAATAAATGGAACAAGGCAATTACTGCACCTTCAAATTCTGTACCACGCCCTAAATAAATCATAATAAAAATTATTTAATATTATTGTATTATATTGAACAGTAACTAAACTTTAACATTATTAATAGAAGACTAAATATAAAATAATACCAGTGTTCACAGTGGCTGGAGAAAATGCTTTCCATACTATTGTCTCACAAATATTTGTAGCAATGAAAAGTGAGATACCGCTTCCTAATCCATATCCTTTCTGAAGCAATTCATCTAATAGTAAAACAATCAACCCAGCAACAAATAACTGAATAATGATTAGTAAACAAACTCCAGCTCCAATTTCTGTTGGGTCACCATACATTCCAGTCATTACATATACAATTGCTTGACCAACAGTGATTACCATACCGAACACTAAAAAATGAAAGAATAACTAATAACATAATGATATAAATGTACAGTGATGCTTCTAAGACATATAATATCCTTTTACATTTCTGTGCCCCGTTAAAAAGTGCTCTATCTTTTGGAGTATCACCAACTTCAATAATCTTTGTACCGCTTAACAACTGCATAATGAGACCAGATGTAACAATGGGAGAGATTCCTAATTCCATAAGGGTACCTCTGTTTGATGCAAGTATAACTCGAATCCAATAAAAAGGATCAGCGCTATCAGAAGACATAATGCCAAATAGAGGAATCTATAAAAATAGAATAAAATATATTTCATTACAAATAAATTACAAGTATAATGTTTAAGTTATTTGAAATCTATTTTACCTGGCAGCATACTAAGAAGATAAATAATGTAATTGCAGTCCATAATACTTTTTCTCGAAACTGAATCTGTAAAAACCTTTGTATTACTAAATGATTATTGAAATGATTATAAAACTTCTGAGGAAATTTGGATTTAAGTAGCACACAGATGGCAAATGATAATGGTTTTTCAGAAAACATAAATACAAATAATTGCACATAAAATATCATAATAGATGATAGAGAAACTGTAAATATTAAATGAAAATAAAAATAGTCTAATATAAACTTACTTTTCGTTCCGGCTTTTCTATTTCCGGTAGTATACTGCAAAATGGTTTTATTACCTCTAGAAATTTGACTGAAAAATGTACATAAAGATATTAATTATTTTATCGATGAGGCATAAAAATAAAGATTAAAATATTAGAAATTTGATGAGAGGAACAATATGTCGTGAAATAAAGAAGATTAAGAGGTTACAATCATGGTTAATCGTAACGAGTATAACCGTAAATAAGAAATTTTTGAATTTCTGACTGGAAATGATGTACTTACAACCCATTTTTAATCCGAGATATGATTATTTTATGAAATTACGATAATGTGACGTTTTTCACTAACTCTGGACTTGAGAATACCGTCACGATATTGGACCAAAGCAACAACTCGAATAAACTCAATAGCATAAACGCGACTGACTACTAAACTGTAGCGAGTCGTGGCTGCTTTTGTCGACACGTATCAATATGCTACTGTCACGTGACCTGATGATGTTGGCTGACACGAGAGTGAAATTCTTTTAAGTGACGCTAGATGTCATTAAGAGGTTCTTAAAGAGAGCACGCGCGAAATATCTTTCTTTTGATTGGAAAACGTACTTTATTCAAATTTTAAATGTCCTACGTATAAAACAACTTTTTCAAAATAACAGTTTTATTATTGTTATTATTTTAAGCGAAATAAAAGCTAACTTTTACCGAAATCTAACACTTTCAAATTATAATTGATTTTTATTCCTAATTTTACCTTTATTTATAACAAAATATAATTTACTGCGTAAGCGAATATTTTGAAAGGACAATTGTAAAATTCAAACGAATTTCTCACATGAATATTAAAATTATGTAAAAATGTAGAATAATTTTATCGATACTATCTTGAATTCATTAACATAAAATTATAGGTCAAATATCTTAACAGATGTGATATTCGTTTTTATTATACTTAAATAAATGTTAAAATGTTATCGCCTTATTCTTAAATGTTATCGGCAAAATACACAAGATGTAATTGCTGTTTACTATTACTGCTATTTACTATTCAAAGTATTATTACAAACAGTCGTTTGTATATTTAACAGTTCTACACACCTGCAGAACGTACTATTTAAACGGCCGAACATAAACGGCAGTTGAGACTTGTTCACTTTTACCCGTTACTTTTCTTTCGATCGCAACTTGTAGAACTCGTAAGTTATTACCTTCCGACTCTTTTTATATTTTATAATGGGTTTTACTATTTTGGATACAATGCAACATATTATCTATAATTCCATAATATTTGGATTGCTGTTTGTTACCTTTGTGCATAGTGGGTAAGTGAAAGGATTTTATTGATATATATTTATATATATATATATATATATGGTATGTTCCGTCCTTCATAAAATACGTATAAATATATAGATTAACATTAAATATACGAAGATATATTATAAAACGAAACGATTTACTAATTCTATATTGATTGTAATATTTGTATGTTAAAAGAAATGTTTTACCATTTGACTATTATTGCAAAAATATTTGTAAAATTAAAATGTTATTATGAATGCTATTATGAAATCCATAATTATGTGAAATTTTAAGTGTATGTACTGTTCTTCAGGAATTTGCCTGATAAATATGAAAATAGCAAGGAATTGACTATTAAACCAATAGTAGGACGATTTGAACATAGTGAAGGACCTCATTGGGATGATCGTACTCAGAAGTTATATTTTGTTGACATAGAGGCACAAAAAATATGTAGGTTCTGTCCTGTTACAGAGCAGCTTACCTGTATTAACATAGGTAAATAAGTAGTTTACATATATTCTAAAAGAAAGAAATAAATTTGTCTTTAAATTAATGTTTTTATTGATGAATCAATTAATTCATATGTGAATTAATTATAATTAGAGAGAGGCCCGGTTGGATTTGCTATTCCTGTTCAAGGGGAACCTGATAAACTTGTAGCTGGAGTAGCAACAGGTTTTGTTTTAATAAACTGGGATGGTCAGACAAATATCACAAAATCTCCTCCTGAAACATTAGCTACTGTTGACACAGATCGTAATGGCACCAGATGGAATGATGGAAAAGCAGATTCTTCTGGAAGATTCTGGGGAGGTTTGTTAAATATTAGCATACTGTAAAGAAAAACAAATTTAATAACATATATCTTTTACTAATTATATGTATTCTTTCTATAGGTACCATAGGACCAGAAGTAAATGATGTTGTTATACCAAATCAAGCATCATTTTATCGAATTGATTCTACTCTCAAACCAAAGAGAGAATTAATTGTTACTAATAGTAATGGATTAGCTTGGAATCTCCAGGATAATACACTTTATTACATTGATACACCTACTCGTCAGGTGGCAGCATTTGATTTTGACTCTATCAATGGAATCATATGTATGAAACTACACAATTATATTATGAATAAAACTGAAGTCTATAATAAATTAAATTAATGTTATTTATTTGCAGCTAATAAGAGAATTGCATTTGACTTTAAAAAATATAATATTTCTGGCATTCCTGATGGTATGACTATCGATACAGATGGACATCTCTGGATAGCTGTATACAATGGTGGTTGTGTAAGTATTACAATGAAACTTTTAAGACGTACATATATGGAACAATAATTGATTGAACGAACAGGTGCTTAATGTGGATCCTGAAACTGGTAATCTTTTGCGAACTGTGAATCTCCCTGCTGTAAAAGTAACTAGTGTTGCATTTGGAGGTCCTAAAAGAGAAATTTTATATGTGACAACATCCGCACGTGGCATTTCAGAGGAGGATCTAAAGAAACAACCTTATGCTGGTTATGTTTATGCTGTACATGGTTTAGGGGTTCATGGTCTTATTGCAAATTCGTTTAAACTTTGAATATTAATTCAATTTTTGTGCTTTTTTTGTCTATGATATTATTACTTCAATACTTTAGATATAAAACACAATGATGCAATAAACGCAATATATCAACAATTTGCATTTGTTTCTAAGACATTATTTGTTAATAAAGCATTAATAAAATTATAAATCTATATTAAATACGCATCCGATATTATTATACAGCTTAATAATTCATGTTATGTTTCACGTTATATCTACATTTGTTATATATCTTCTGTTAATATTTACTTGATATTCTTATTTTTAAATACATCTTGTTTTCTGCGATAACCCTACTATACTCTATATGGTCAGATAATGGTACATTTATTGTTATGCAACTTAAGTATAAGTGGATATAACAGACTCTTATATAAAGAATTTTCACACGACATTCGCACACTTCTTAAAGATTTCGTGCATACATATAGTTTTGACTATTATAAATCGTTTAGTTCGGTACAAATTATAAATAATTTATTTGCTGCAGTGCTTTTTAATATATACAAATAACGAGGTAAGTATTATTTAATAAATGAAAAGTTACGTAATAATTCACGTAAATAAATAAATATTTAGACAATTCTAATGTGATGTATATACAATATATTTACATGTAACAATATGTGAGAGCAATTATTGCTGTAGTATGTGTCCATGATATGCAACTATATATATATGCACTCACATATGTCATTACATACACTCTATTATTACAGTTGGAAAATGTCACAAGTAACTGTTAAGCCATTGGTAGGGCCTTGTGAACTCGGTGAAGGGCCACATTGGGACCATGTATCACAAAAGCTTTATTTTGTTGATATAGTTGCCAACAAAATTTATAGATTTGATCCTGTATCACAAAATCTTACATTTGCTTTCATAGGTGGGTTTAATGAAATTTAATTGCTTTCTGATTCAGGATGCACCTTATAAATACATTTCTTTTGTAAATAGAGAGTGGCACTGTTGGGTTTGTTATTCCTGTTGCTGGTTCTACCAATAAGTTTATAACAACCAGTGGTACAGATTTTGTTTTGGTTTCTTGGGATGGAGAAAAAAATACTACAAAATGTGCAATTCAAATTCTAGTTAGTGCAGATAGTGATCGTACAGAGACTAGATGGAATGATGGAAAAGTAGATGCTGTTGGAAGATTCTGGGGTGGTTGGTAAACTATTTTTTAGAAACACATTATTTTTAATGTAAATTATTATGATACATGATAACTTTTTTCCATCAGGAACAATGGCTAATATGAAAGATGGAATTTTTCCACCAAACAAAGGATCTCTTTATTCCATTGGTACTGATCTTGTGCTAAAAAAACAAGTGTCTCCTGTAACTATCAGTAATGGATTAGCTTGGACTTCTAATAATGATACAATGTATTACATTGATTCAATGACATATCAAGTAGTGGCATATGATTACAATATTCAAACAGGAGATATATGTAAGAAACTTCTGTGGGACTTATATATAATGTACTTTGCACTAAGTAAATTTACATTTAATTTTCTCTGTTTACAGCTAACAAGAGAACCATATTTGACCTTCAGAAAAATAATATCCCTGGAATTCCTGATGGTATGACTATTGATACAGATGGGAATCTTTGGGTAGCTGTTTTTGGTGGAGGTGGTGTGAGTATTATCACTATAATTTACATAGTGAATGTTAGTTAATGTAAAAGGCACGATAAAAAAACAATTAAAATTAATTTATTTAATTAAATATATAATACTTAGGTACTTCAAATAAATCCAAAGACAAGTGAATTGTTGCGCTTTGTCGAGATTAACGGTGCCAAGAATATAACCAGTGTTGCATTTGGTGGTCCTGAACTCGATACCCTATACGTAACATCATCGTGTATGGAATTAGATGAAAATCAGTTAAAGGAGCAACCATATGCTGGTTACTTGTTTGCTATAACAGGTTTAGGAGCACGTGGATTTCCCGCAAATTCATTCAGAGTACCAGATAAATTAATATAGATCTGCGTATAAATGATCGAAGTATGTACAAGTATACGAAACATATTTTGTTATAAACATATTTTGATATTAAAGAGCTACGTTTGTAATAATCTTCGCAGAGAAATAAATTTTTATAGCAAACAATTATTTTTATATAAGTTCTTATTTAATAGTAATTCACCTTACTTTATATCTATACATAATTTTTGTTAATAAGAGTATTTCTATAAATTATTGATTAGAAAATGTACAGATTTCACTAGCATCTAATTACACGTGTTTATTTTTTGTATATATATATATACACATACATATACACTTACATGCAACAGCCACACACACTCATGCATACATACATACACACACACACAGTATATATATATACATACATTCGTACATTTATATATAAAGAAAAGTGTATCAGTTGCAGAATGTACATAGTAGAAAAATAATGTATCGTTTTGTTAATATGCAAAAACGTTTTTTGAAATTATGGTGAAACAATATTTATCATTATGTATGTTATCTCAACTGTTATCGTAATCTTGTGAAAAGTATTGATATTGAAACACTATCTTGAGGCGTATTTAACCATGAGAAATTAAGTTCTTACTACTTTTTATTGGGATATAGTGTTTGAGATATATATATTTATATATACACATAAGATGTTCGACTACAGGTGGGCATAATTGTGGGGATGGTAGCTGAAGTGATAGTGTCTAAGTTTTTTTTTCACCAAAATGTTTCTATAATCATGCTCATTTGTAACCGAACACTCTGTACATATATATATATATATATATAAATATATACTGCATATGTGCATATATAACTTTACGTTAGTTTGTCTTTAAAATTTTTTAAATTTAGAATACTCGTATTTATTATCTATTTGTTTTTTCTTGTATGAAAATTAAATTGTTCATATGTAGTATGATTCCATTAGGCACAAAAGTGAGAAGGCTAGCAATCTATTTCAGTCGTTCACGATGGAAATAAAACTGTATACTGCAACGATATTAAAAAATGTTATTCGCACGATTATGTAATCGTAATCATTTATATATCACGGTTACTGTAAATTGCAGAGGTCTATCGTTTTTCCTACGAATAATACATGAAAAATCATTTGGAATACCAAATCGCGGGAGGAAAGAGAAAAATATAAATGGCATTTTGCCGTGGACGTTTAGTCATCTAATGTTATAATTTCAACGCTATCGTTAGCGACTTTCTCTCCTTTTTTGTTAGAAATGTTACTCGATTTTCCTCTTGGTAAATCATATATGGTCATACAGTCTGTAGTCGAAGACCTTAAAGGTTCCGATACTTTTTGTGGAACGACGCTTACACCCGAAGACAAATTCTTCGTATATTCCATACTCGGCTTCATTTGCGGTTTCTGCTGCGGTATGATTTCTAAATGCGAGTGTTGCTTTAATTGGGAAAGCATTGAAAGAGCCTCCGCGGAATTCCCTTGAGAGTACGAATTTGTTATAGAATTAGAAATATCCATCGACGAGGCTGCTTTTGTTTTCGTGGACGATTTTTTGTAGCTGGAATATTTTGTGCTTGGACCTTTCAACCCACTTTGGGGGTTTACAGGACTCACCGATATTCCACTTAATTCTGGTGGTATATAAGGTGGCTGTGGCATCGACGAATTTCCGGGAATCGCATTCAACATATTTGAGAAGTTACTTGGTAATGCGGGCATAGTTTTAGCCACTTTCGTTTTTCTCGCTGGATTTTGCATATTTGCTTGGGTATACGATCTCTGCGAGTTCTTCTTCGATAATAATTTATGCTGCAACGACGTTCCTGAATGCGAAATAGGCACATTCATGGATAACGTTTGCTTCATGTTCATTGATGGACCTATTACAGAATGAGCGACTTGAGGCACCGTTGATGGATTTGTCGTAGTGGCACTTTTTAAAGGAGAATGGGATAAAGAAGGATTGTGTGCAGGTTGGGGTTCGGTCAGTGATTTTGACACTCTAATTTGGGGTGCACTCATCTGTTTGGGTGGACTCGTTTTAACATGCTGAGTTATGGATGGTTTCAAAAGAGAAACTTGAGTGGTTGGTGGCTGTAAAACCGTTTTCGAAGCTTGCGATATTTGTAAAGATTTTGGTAGTTGAACTGGTAAAGAATCATTTTGTGGACTTTGCTTTGATGGTTTGTTCTTAGCCGATACCGTGTTTACTGGAGTTATCGATATACTAGGTCTATCTTTAGTTATCGATGCGGTGGTCGTAGTTTTTGTTGTAGCTGCTTGCTGATACATGGGTGAAGAACGTACAGTCGTTGCCGTTGAACTACTTAAACCTAATAATTGTTGAACCGTTAAATTATTCAAATTATTTAAAGTATTCATATTGGGAGCTACATTCATATTAGATGTAGATGTGCTCATTGTAGTCACGTTGCTTATATTAGGTGCAGTAGCGATTGTACTACTTAAGCCACCAGTTAAATTTGACAATGAAGACATATTATTCTGATATTGTCTAAGAATGTCTTGATAATTTCCCATTTGGTTCAAATAATTCATAGCCGATAAAGGATCCATCATGCTACCGCTTAAACCAGTAGTTAATAAAGCAGAAAGTATATTTGGATCGACCAAAGGATGCATAAAGTAAGGATTCATCAAGGAGCGATTTCCTGATGCTCCCATATAATTGGCGAAGTTAGATTTCGTGTTGAACTGGTTCATTGTATTGCCACTGTGTTGCATCGCTTGTAAATATTTATTAACATTAGGTGGTCGTCCTCTTGGTCGACCAGTGGACGTTAAACTTTTGTATGATTTTCGATTTTGAGATGACTGAGGCGATGTAGAACTCACTGTTGGCTGAGATGTGATCACCTGTGCAAATAATATATCGAAAATCGGTAATTTAAGTTTACTCTATTTAACAATATATTAATGTACTTAGAAATACAAAGTTAACGTAGTAGAATTATAAAACTTACAGGAGTCGGAGATGTCGATTGGGGTTGTGCTTGAGTATCCCCGACAGGCGTATCAAGATTGGAAAAGAATTTGTTCAGAACTTTTCGATTATAGTTGTAATCGTTACAGTACTTCGTTGCAATTTCCAAAACATTTCCTTCTAAATTCTGTTAAAGAATCATTCAAACGTGTCATTAACTTTAATATGTAAACTTGTAGGTATCTTATATTTTCTTATAAACATATACTAACTTTATTACCGATATATGTTTTATACGTGTCTACCAATAAAGAAGCCAACGTTTGTATTGTTTGTTCTTTAGTGTGAAAGCATTTTAAGGCTCTTTGATATACCCAATAAGTATCAAGGAGAACTTGAGTTCTAGCATCTGTATTTTTATTGGACGTAGAATCAGAAGCACTTGCACCCATTAATTGAACTTTAGTTCTAAGAGATTGTAGACAGAGAGTTAGTGCTTGACAAGACAGTTGTTCCCTTTCTGAGTCACGTAAATATTTCCTGAAAAAGCAACATTTAGATTATATGATAGAAGAAATATATTTAATATGTAATTTGATTGAGTTAATATATAATCTTCTAATGTAAAATTTATGATATAATATACTTGTCTGATTCTGGTATTTTCCCAAGTTGTACGCTTAATTGCATTAACATTCGACCGTCGTTCGTTTCTTTAAGTACTTGCATCAATAGTGTTACACATCTTGACATATGAAATGCAAAACTTCCTGGCCTATCAACTTCTCTATTTGGTATGTGCCAAACACCCTAAAGATAAAATCAACAATATCAATACATTAAGATAAGAAGAAAAAAATCTGTTCTAAAGGAAGTCTAGATATTAGAGATAACAGTATATTCGTGTACTTAAAGTCTTGCAGTGTCTATGTGTTAAATAGACATATCAAAATTAAGTTTTTTATTACAAATTAATTTCACTATTTTCATTCTATGCAAGTGAAATTTTATCTTTGCATATTTTCTTAGCACAAGAACAATGAAGATGTTCAATTACAAGTTCATAATACCAATCTCTCTGCTGTTATGTGGTATCAGGTAAAGATTACATAATTAAAAACACTTAGATTTTAGAATTACTTAGATTTTTTATATTGCATTTTTTTAAATATATTATCTTATAATAAGATATTCGCTAATCCTTTTGCACAGTATATACTTCATCATAAAAGAGATTACTGTTAAAACTTTTAAAAGGTCTTCCAAAGTTTTGGAGAAACTTATAATAAATACAGATGCTGGCGCGGATGATGCAATGGCTATACTTTTAATTCTTCGGACTGAAGGATTTAAGGTGTTGGCAATTACGTGTTCATACGGAAATACACATTTGGATAACGTTGCTACTAATGTACTTAAAATTTTAACAATTGCCAACAGAAGTGACGTGAGTAGAGTTAACTTTTCGTTTTGACTAAAAATATATTAAAGCATTTTATAGATACCGGTATATAAAGGAGCAGACAAGCCATTACTATATCCATATAATACTGATACGTTTTTTGGTTCTGATGGGCTTGGAGACTTCAATTTTACCGAAAAAATGATTGCTAAAGTAGATAACAGCAAACATGCAGCTGTAGCACTTATAGACTTAGTAAAACAATATCCAGGTTAAGAATTGTTTGAAATAAATAATTATATAAAATATATTAAATCTAAACTGTCACACATAATTATATGTATTTCCTGTAATTTACAGAAGAGATAACTTTATTGAGTCTTGCTCCATTAACAAATATTGCTACATCAATTGCATTGGAGCCCAATTTTTTAAAATATTTGAAGAATCATATAATATTAGGTAGCAGTGTTTCTGGCATTGGCAATGTCCTACCTAATATTGAATTTAATTTTTATCAAGATCCAGAAAGCAATTATATAACTCTAAACTATACTAAAACAAGTATTTTATTGCCATGGGATGCATGCAAAGAAAATACTATGCCTTTGGTAATTATTTAAAATAATAGTTAAAATAATATTTGTAAGAATTTTTATAAGACTAACAATATTTATGCAGGATTGGAGAAAAAATGTATTAGGAAAAGTTAATTCTACTATTATGAATTTCTTAAATAAAGCAGAACGGATAAGTTTATCGAAATCGAAATCATGGACTTCTGCAGATACAATGGCAGCTGCAATTATGTTGGAATCAAAACTTATAACCAAATCTATAGTAACAAATGTAAGTCCAGTACTGGATGGAGTCGCGAGAGGTTCGGTACTTGTAGATTATACTAATTTAACTGGTAGACCAGAGAACACAAAAATTGTACAATCATTTAATTTAACTGCTTATCAAAAATTGTTACTGAGAAAACTTTCTTGAATTTATTAACTATAATGTAAAAATGAACTGTACGAGATAACAAAATACAATATACTTACACTAAAAAAATTAGTGCTTTTCCTGTCAGAAAAAAGTCCTTGAAAGCTTTCGCCTCGGTAAAATTGACAATTGTAACTGTCTAGTAAAAGGTTTCTGCATTTTGTTATGTCTCTGGCAGTTTTATTATTGAAGAAGAAGTGTGATAATCTGTAAAACGATTTATAATGTTCAGAAAATCTTAAAATACACTGTTCCAGACCAGCTAAACAGTATGCTATCAAAGTAGCAACTTCCTCTTCCGTCATAGTTTCTTCTTTCTGTACGAAATTAGTTTCCTTCTTCTTCTTTTCATTATCACTTTCCACAGAATCGCTATCGGTATCACTTGAACTATCGCTATCAGAACTATCATCGCTACTACTTGATTCGTCGCTACTACTAGAACTTGAATTATTTGTTTCTGTTGTTGTAGTTGTTTGCGTTGTTGTTGTGCTTTCTTGAGAACCTCTCCTACTTATTGTCATTTCTTCTTTTAATAGCTTCTTTTTATCATTTGATTTATCTTTCGAATCTTTATTGTTTGATTGTAAATCTTCACTTTGTAGCCATTTTCCATCAAACTTTCTCGTATCCTCATCTTCGGGTGTCGATTGACGTGTTTCCTGACTAATTTCCATCGCTTGTTTCATTAATGCATCCATTAGATCTTGCACATTTTCAGATTTACCATCAGCCTCAAACACATTGTTCGCTTTTAACGAACTCTTTTTGCTTTCGTCAGATTTCACTCGGGATTTCGATTTTTCAACGTTTCTTTTCACTTTCTTTTTTTGTGATTTTGATTCGTTACTCTCGTCACTTGACAACACCATAATTTCATCGCTTTTCTCCTTTTGCATAACCATGTCACAGACTTTTGTAATTACATCATCTATTAAAGCCACGACATCTTGCATTAACTGCAAATGAGATACATTGCCTAATTTTATTTTCTTCACATTATCTTGCGGTAACTCGGTAGGTGATCTTTTACGCGTATCCATTTTCATTTGTTCCATACGATGGATTGAACTGAATCCTTTATTTGTTCTATCCACGATTTCGATTTCTTCGATGCTGCTTGAACGTTGACTAATAGCAACAACGTTTCTTTCTGCTTCAACTACAAGTTCCACTTCTTTTCCAGTACCTTTATTATTGGTAAACAGGTTATCTTCTTTGCTTTTTTCATTTAATTTTGAATTATATTTCATAAAAGGACCTTGAGCACATTTTTCAAGTTGCAATTGAAGCTGTTGCCCCAAAGATTTCTTCACAGGTTTACCTTCGTGTTGTTCGAGGTACTTCAGTATACTTGCATGGATTCGATAATGTACTTCTAATGCTTCCACTGAAAGATGCTGTGGACCTTTATGACTTATTCTACGTGGATATTGTGCATTATTGTGGTACAACAATTCGCTAGCCTATAATCAAATAAAGAAGATTTAAAAACTTATAAAGACTGGACTGCATAAAAACTTATATAGATTATACCTTTGCATAATGTTCTAAAAATATTGGAGGATCTTGATTTTTCTTTTCAGCAATTTTACCAAGCATGTACTGATAAAGCCATCTTTCATCGTGCGGTGTTGTCCCATCTTTAATGCCAATAAATAAATGAGCACAAGATTGAAAACACTGATGGGCAATTTCCAGCATTTCTTCTTTTCTAGTTTCCAGAATTTCGAACCGTTCCATACTCAATGTGTCTGTTTCCTGCTTCAATAATCGCGAGCAGAATGAGTGAACAACGTACGCAAAAGTTCCATATTCGGTCCAAATAATATGATTACAAGAGTCTAGTTCAACAGCGTGTTGATAACTAGATTGTGCCATCTTTGCCTTTGCTAACAGTTTATCTTCGTTTCTAAATTCAGAAAGCATGAAATGTATTATTAATTCGTTTAATGATATGATAAGAAAAGATTTTTGTTGATACTTACATTGGTTTATATTTGTTTAACCAAGTCTCTATTACAGTGCCCGAGGACATTGCCAATCCGGTCCAAGAACTTAATCTCGTTGGATGTAAACATAAGTCTAACAAATAATAACGAATTGCTGCGCTCCATTTGAGATTTTTAAAATAAAAGTCTCCTAACAAGTAATAAATCGTAGACATAGAATGTGGCAAAGGTTTTTTAACCGTTGCCATTGTCTTCCGTTCTCCCATTATATAAGCCATCATTTCGTCGATCACTTGATTCGGATCACTTTCTGGAGGAATCAATTTTATTATGCGTTTAAACAATTCTTCCGTATCTGCGCTGATCGTTAAAGACCTAGGTGAATTGAATTCTGGTATCTGTTTGGGTTTATAAAAATCGAACAACAATTGTGCTCCTTCCCATGTCATTTTCATTTGAGGCACCCCATGATCTTCTATATGTTTCGGTCGACCTTTGTTCACCCTATTGTAATGACCATAGAGACAGTAGAATATTTGTTCCAAATATTTCGAAACTTTACCTTTTATGCTAGAAAACTGAGGTGTTTCTAATTTTGGGATAACTAGACCCAATGTAAAAAATAAAAGTTTCGCCTCGTTATAACAACACCATGAATGTCTACCTATAAAATTGTGAGCAATAAATAGAATTGTTATGGATGCCGGAACACCTTCATCCTCGTCGTCTGATTCAGAATAATTAGAATTATGCTTATTTTTGTACGATGATTCAGCCTTTGCTCTTTCTTTATCTTCTTTATACTGCAAAACGTAATGTAACAAAATCCAAGGCAGAACGGTTTCAAGTGGCATTTCAACGGTATTTTCTGATACATCTAACTGATTACAAACGATGTGAACCAAATTTTGTACTAATCTTGAAAGGCGTGTCTCTGGTAAATACTTTACGACGAAAGTGCTAACTTCGATCGTACAAGCTTCTAATTTTTCAAGCGCCATTAAAACAGAATTTGTCCACTTTTTTTGTTCAACTTCGTCGGTAGTGTTTAAATAATTTTGCCAAGCTTCATTGAGGCAAGCTTCCGCCCATACATAACATTCTTCATACTGCTGAAGTTGCCATAAACTATCCAGCAACATAGATAATTGTTGCACCCTATCAACGATATTGTCGCTAACGGACAATAGTTTATTTCCTTGTTTTGCAAATTTAAATGTATCTTGTAATACATAAGCAAGTTCAGCATACTTTTTTTCGTCGTATAAATGTTGTATCTCGCCTAATTTCTGTCCCCTACATTTAAAGACCGTTTAAAAATACGATTCAGATCGACTATATTAATAAAATATCTTTTGTACTACATACCTTTGAATAGATTTAAGTTTCTTTTCCACTATTTTAATACTGATTTGAAAATTGTATTTACAATTGGGTAGTTTTAGATAAATATTTTGATTTTGTTTTTCTAATTCTTTCATATGATTTAATAACTGAAAACATTATAATCATAATGTTCATAAGCACATTACAAAAAAAGGAACACTTGTTTATGTAAAAATTTAGATTTCTTACCAATTCTAAAGTTTCAATGACAATATCTGTATCACCCTGGCACAAAAAGACATTGGCTTTAAGCCACAAAACTCTTAATAAAATGAATTTATTTTCTTCATTCAAAATATCCCTTCGAACGCTCGTAAAAATTATATGCCCTAATTCTTCCGATGGTAAACCTGTACCAAGCTTATCTAATCTAAAACAAAACATTTCATTTATTTAACTTTATCCTTTTAATATTTCAAAGTAAAAAGTATTATATGTTAAGGAAAAATAATGAAAATAAAAATACATAACAGGACATACGTCGAAGAAGGTAAGATATCTGGTTTATTATTTAACCATCTATCTGTATGAAGTTCACCAAACAGTAAAGTCATTTCAGTATCTAATTTAAAAATATCATCATCTATATCTTCTTCAAATGATGATGGGTGTGGTATATGCTCCCTATAAAATAAACATAAGTTCTGTAGTATCTTGGGTTTATTTAAACATAAATGTTTATTTATTATTTGTACCTCATAAATGTGTATGCCTGCAAATATATTTCTGACATTCCTTTTGGCCATTCTTGATTCCATTTAATGCATAGAAATTCGGTATACCTTGCTATAATAATCATTAAATTACTTTTACCACTGTGCTGATTAATAAACATGTTTACATCTGCTGCTTCTGATTCTGTACCAAAATAATGTTGTTGCTGACTGCAAAAAAAAATTAATTACTACAAACATTTACTTGCATACTCATAAATAATTACCTTGTATCAGGACTTGGCGATTTTGAACTGTCAGAACTTTTAAGTGCTTCTGCAATATTACTGTTATTTTCTTGATTAGCAAATAGTTGATATAACTCCATTGTATCCATAGAATCATCCATATTTTTTGAAGGATCATCTTTAGTTAATTTTACTGTATCTGGTCTAAAACATAAAAATTACAGTATATCGAAGATATACTTATACAGTATCAACAAATGTTTATAAAATATTCAAAATGCATACAATAATGAACTAGGAAATATTCTTCTAAGAGTCTCTTCTAATTGGACATCATCTCTTTCAGCTTCCCTCCTATTTGAACTTCTTACTCTTGCAGAACGTCTCATACTATTACAACTCCAAGCCCATTGCTGTAGAAAGTACAGGGCACTTCTGCGCCTTTTTTTCACTTTTTGTACTTCCTCTTTTCCCTCAACCTTTTCATTTAATTTACCTTCTGTTTTGCATTGGTCCTTATCTACTTTCTTTACACTTTTTTCATACTCCTTGTCATTGGATTTATTACTATCCTTATCACTAACATTATCATTTTGTATCTTGTTCCCATTATTATAAGTATCATCCATCATTTTATCTGATTGAAATTTATCTCCATTTTCATCTGTTTCAAAATTAGTTTGATCTTCCAGATCATTCTTTGTTTGACTTTGTTCTTCAAACTGTGCAGCATCTGTGTCTGAAATTCTCAAAGGATCATCATCTTCTATTATTTGTACATCTGTAGAACATGATTTTTTATCATCTTCTACTTCTATTTCCATCATAGTGTCGGTACCACCATATACTTGATTGTCATCAGATATTTCAAATGGAGAATTAGCTTCATCTATATCCATTTTTAATAATTTGTCAGTATCGTCTTCTTTTTTTATAACAGTATTCTGTGATACTTCCTGATTTGTATTCATATTATTTTCTTGAATATCAGCTTCCACATTGGCTCTAGATGTTTCTTCAGTGTTATCAACCACTAAATTAATTCTACTAACAAAACTTAAATCGTTTTCTGTGATGTACTTATGCATATCCAATAAAGATTCTCCTAAATCTAACCAGGTGTAGCTCTTTATGGATTTTCTTAGTGTCAGATCTGGTAATGGTTTAGAAGTGAATTCTATTTTACAGGTTTCTGCCCATTTTTCAGCGACTTCTTGTGCTTCTGCTATTAACTTTTCTCCTATTATATGATCATATTCAGTGTACAGTGGTGGATCTAATTGCCAATCACTATTGTAAAATTTATAGCATTCTTTGAGGCATGGAATGTCTTTGAATATTTTATCACGGAAAGCTAAACCTTTTACATAGTTAGGATCACGTTCTAATGCCATAGAAATATATAAAAGACAATTCATATAATCAGGAACTGCATATAAAGCAGTTATCATGTTATCTAAACATGGCCAATGGTTAGTATTGCATTTTAAGCCTTGCTTAAATGATGAACATGCTAATTCTAAATTAGAAATTTTCATTGCTAATGTGCCTATTCTATACCATAACGTTACATCTGTATCATCCAAGTTAGCTGCTAACCAATAATTTTCTATTGCTTCATCATAATTTCCTAATGTAGCCTGTATTGCACCAATATTTTTAAAACAAGAATATTTTAATGACAACATTGGCCTAGATCTGCCATCAGGTATTTCTGGCTTTTCAACCTCATCCAATAATTCAGTTTCTAAAAGATCTTTAAAAATATTCAATGCATCTTCTTGCTTGTTTTGCTTTAACAATACTAAGGCTTTATTATATTCTGTAAGAGCTATTTGTTCCTGTAAGAAATGAATATTGGTATAACATTAACAAACATATGTCATTCAAAACATAGAATTACAACTTTTATAAAAACTCAAAAAGAAAATAAAAGACATAACAATAAATTCAAATTAAACATCGATACAAATATACAACTTTTGTACAATCATTATTGATATTGGAATAATTGATACAATAAACTAATTTTACAAATAGACCAATTATTTACTTATAAACTGCAATTTTTTGTTGTAGATTACACGATTATTTAACAAAACAAATATACATAGATAGTAATAAAAATCAATTAAATTTTGGAAAATGACAAATTTATAGGTTAAGCTTATTAAGAAGCAAAAAATGAATAGTGTCAACCCATACTTGAGCTTCCTTCGTAATTGTTGGTACATCTTCTTCTTCGCTTTCTTCGCTGGATTCTTCATTCAATGCTGATATTTTTATCATTTTCAAAATTTTTTTCAAATCGGTACTTATGTATAAAACATCAACAAATCAACCGGTTTTTTTTAGTGCCGCCATACTACTGATCACCAACGTGCTCGTCGACTTGTATGTGTTGATATGCATTTATACATGTTTATATTCGTACAGAGTGTTCAAAAAATTCATGTAACAAGGTTTAGACATAATCAAATTATTAATCTTATTAAAATCATATACATATTTATTTCATCCAAATATTTATGCATTATTAATAATTATATCATTTAAAAATATGCAATAAATTTAAATAAATAGATGTCACATTTATACGTTATTGTTTCACAAACTTTTAATAGATATATAATAAAATTTTTTCTTTCTTATACAGATCACACTATTTTACAAGTTAATTTAATTTATATTGCTGTATCGAATCAAATAAAATTAATTAATAAAAGTCAACGTTCAAACACACTGTATATATGATATCTAAAAACTTAAAGATAATTCAATTTACTCATTTCGCACATATTGCAATATTTATGTTATCTGTATATTTAATTTGTACGTATATTCATACTAATATACATATGATAATCATTTCCACCGATTTACTTAGAATATTTAAATTAAATTATAATATTCATAATAATTATCTTTCGATTTATTTAACTATTTTTTTTTAATTGCCAATAACTTGTTAATTTTACTCTGTATTTAATATTGTAGATAAAGTAAATACAATGTTCTTGTACAAAATTTTATAAGGATCGGATTCAAAAGAATAAATACTAACGACTCTTTCAAGGAAAATAAGTGTATATAAATTAAGGTAAAAAGTAAGCATTAAGTAGATCAGTCGAGTTTCATATTCAACAATGTTTATGGTTTGGGGTAAGTATTGTCACAATGTTTTGGTAAATATATGTGTTTTTAAGCTACAGAAATTAATTTGTAATCTATTAAACGATTTTATATCAATGTCAGTATATCAGTATCTATATGGAAGATAATTCTAAAAATTTGAATGCATTATGGGTAATATACCAAATACATTTTACTTACAAATCATATCAAAACAGTTTATTTTACTGGAGATGAAAATAATTATTATAAATTTACATTGCATTAATATTTTATAACTTCGTAAAACTATTATGTATAATAATGAATTGAAATAAAAACCAAATTTGTTGAGTAGTAATGTAGATAAGATATAAATAACTGCGATCATAAGTATAAAAGTAGTACACTTATTTGCATACCTTTGTTCATAAGAGTGTAATAAAATAGTAATTGTAACAGTTCAAAATATATAGTTTAATATTAATTATTGTTGGCACTTGTAAATCATAATATAAATAACATTTTGTCTGATTTTATGTATGAAGTTCATATGCGATAACAATTATTTAAAATTAAACCTATTTTCTTTTTAATTAAATTTACATTCAAATTTTGAGCACACAAGAATAGCAATTATTAATTATTACAATAAATATATACATTACAGGAGACTGGTTCACAGGTGGAGTACAAACTGTAGATACACAAAATCTTCTTGATTCTGTAATTATTACCAATAAAACTATTATAAGAAGAATTCGTGTACCCACTTATGAAGTACATAGAAGTCATTGGCGCAATGGTGAGATATTACGCATTAGGGTAAAAATTAACAGATATTTCAATATTACTATGCATAATTCTTTTTTATAAAATTCACTTCTGTTCCATATTTTCATTATTATAAGTTGTTACGATTGTCTTTAGATCCTGAAATACAAAGACATTATTGGGCAGCATCTTTTCTTGTTCCTATTGGAACAATTTTTGTCCTTGCAATGGTAGTTCTCTTAATGGTAATAATTTCAGAAATGATTCATTTTTCATTAGAATATAAATTTAAATATATCGTAATTTCAGGTTTTATTTAAAAGGTGTCCACATACGGTTGCCGCGATAGTTGGATCAGTTCTTGGGATTATTATTATATTTACCGCATGTGTATCGATTAATCATGCCCCAATATATGTTTAGCAGTTTTTAATGTTACTGTTATCAAATTTAATGAAACATCTCATTACTTCTAGTCTATTCAAAATATCAACAAATCAAGACTGATACAAAATTTACGATACCATGGTATATGCGTGATCATGTATTGAATATTTTTATAATCAATAGTTTGAATTAAATATATTTTTTTATAATAAGAATATTTTACTTACTATTAATGACTCTTGCTGCTCAACTTGAGCTGAATCATATCTTCTGATATCCTTGTTACTTTTTCTTTATAATTATTTAATGCTTCTTGTAGTTTTTTATAACTCTAGAATAATTATAAATAGATTCCTTATCATATCTGTACAAAAATATTTTATGCGAAAGGAAAGTTATATGAATTACCTCAGAAAAAATTGGATTTTCTTCAATAGCCTCCTTTAGTTCGTACAGAAGTACTTCTAACGTATTAAACGGTATCCAGACTGCGGGATCTCTAGCTGTCAAGAATGCTTGAAGACCAAAATGTTCTATCTTACCATTACCCATAACAGCATTAATATATTCAACTGCTAAATCACTAGCTTCTAATATTCTACCAGTGTTTAGCATAAGACGAAGAAGTTCTGCAGCGTTTCGTTTCTGCAATATCGTACATAGCATTTTGTATTATAAACTGAATATAATTTTTAATTTAACAGTAATTTACCTTATATGACATTAGTAACCATTGAGGTATAAAAGCTCCTTCTTGAAGTAACTTTCGGGAAACTGCTTTATGCAATTCACTGTATCTGTCTTTCTCATGATTCAGAGTTAAATATTGTAGCAATCCCCAAGCAGTGTTTGTGACATTTGTGTTAGTTAAACCAATGTCGAATATATCATTTTGAATAAGCCAGTCCCATGCATTTGAATTTTCTCTTCGACTTAATCGTATACATTGCGAAGTCAGACTTTCGAATACAGAGCTTTTATTAATGTTAAATTCGTCACACAAATGCAATGCTGTTATATACAAGCCAATAGTTGACAAAATAATGACAAGTTCTGAAGGACCAGCGTGCGCGACGATTTGCAATTCTGAATTAATTTTTGATATTTTTAATCTAGCATCTACTATGTAGTATTCCTTTTTTATGTCGTTCAGTTCAAGAACTTCAATCTGTTTCTTTATGTTATAATTCAAAATTTCCTTATCACTCATGTTTTTTTTTGTTTGCATATCTTGATCATCCAATTCTTCCAAAAAATTTTGATCAATTACAGGTCTTACAATCCACCTGTAATTTTCAGATACAAGATGCAATGCATTAATGCATGCCAATAAACACTGAGCTTGTCTCGATACAACTGCAACTGACTGCGATTCTTGACTCAAACGCATAGCTTGTTCATACATCACTGAAGCAGCTAAGAAGATCAATAAAATTAATTTCTACCTTTTATCATTTTAATTATAAACATCATAATCGATTAAATGAATACCTTTTCGCATATTCCCTTTATTTATATGGAAACTGTATAGAAAGTTGTAGTAATTATTTTCCATAAGGTCCACGCTTCTGGCTCTACCTTCAACTATTCTTTCTAAATCCTCGTACATATCAACGTACGGAAATGAAATCAAATCTATTAACTTCTTTCTTTCAAATAAAGTTACTACTAGTTGCCTTAAACAATCTACTCTACGAGCAGCGTCGGGATTTGAATTTAAACAATTATATGCTTTAGTGTGGTGACCTAAGTTCAAGTGTTGCGTGAATACTATAGAATGTAGCGTTGGTAGATTAGGATTGTCTTTATCAGCCATCATTATAGCTGTTTCAGCGAGTTCAATGATACAATCGGCAGCGTTTCTTTCTTCGAATAATTTGATAACTTTTAAGTAATATTGAATTAAAGCGCTACTTTCTGATAGTTCGCTACTTTCGAGTAGAGCATCAGCTAGGAATTCATCCGTCAAAATTCCACTGGAAGCTCGGAGAAATTGATCACAAGCTTTTTGTATTTCTCCCATTTCAAGTAGTGCAACTGCTAATATAAATTTTCTCGATGCGCTATTCCATTCGCACCATGTATTAAGAAGTCTTACGTACTCTTGTACTAGTAAAAATTGACAACTTGACAGCAACCATTCAGGGAAAATAAAATTACCGGATCTTGGCCATCTGACAAATTTTCATTAAAGAAGTAAATAAGCACATTAACGTAAAGTGTAAACGAATCACTATTTTCATAAAAGGATACATGAGCTGTGCAATAAGCGTAACATGCGTTAACATGCCATAATGCCAAGGGATTAAAGTGTTTGCATTTAAATTTGTATGAGCCATTAAACTATGAGCATGTTTTGCACCAGTATTTTGTATAAATAATTCCAATAATGACAAAGTTCGATGCTGTTTGAAGCCTACGTTCGTCCTCGAATCAACAAATTTCAACAGTGCCAAACGTTGAATACTAGAATCTCTAAAAATATAATTAATAAATTAAAATTATTAAATATGTGTTTATACATGTGTTATACATTAAAATATTAGAAAACTTTAACTTACAGCAGCGATTGACCGGGTATTGGTAATGCTGTAGATTCACATATCCATGTAACAACAAAATAAGCCTGTGTTAATACCACTGTTCTAGGTGCTAGTGATGACTTAACAGCATGTAAAGATCGCGAATCGAATAATTCGGGTCGTAGTAGTATTATTTGTTGTAAAATTAATAAATTCCTGCAGATTGAAAATCTCGATTGCGTTATTTGAGCTACACTTTTCGCTATTGCTGAAATACCTAACTGACTACTAAAAAAGTGATTTATATTAAGTAAGAGTTTCGAAGCATCGTGGTCTCCGTTCAATTGTAATTTATTTGGTTGACCAAGATCATACGTCAACGCTTCTAATAGCATTGCCATAGCACTAGATATATCTCTAATATTTGACAATCTATGACAACTATGGTGATGTGTAATGAGATCGCTAATAGGTTCTTCCGACTCTAACATCAATCTTGATAATAAATCGTCAATAATAATGTCTGGACTTTTTAAATGATACAGTTCTCGTTTCATAGCTGCTTTAGTTTCTTCTGATAATTGTCCTTCTATCAGAACTAGCGCCGACATCAACGTTATGAGATCTTGACATATATCTTCGTCTTGTGATAAAACAGGCGTTGTTTTAAAACGAGATGTGTACGACTTTTCGTTACAGAATATTAAATATTCTAGAGCTTCCATTGGTCTTAAAAGTGAAAATGATGATTTCTTCAATAAAATTACTCCATAAACATTTGGTAGTAATAATAATCCTACGGGTCTAGTGCTGTTGGCATGATATTGGATTACACAGGAATAAAATTTGGACCAACAACGATTGGCGATTTCTAAATAATCTTCATCCATAAGTTCGTAATCCATAATTTCAGCCTGTATTTCAGCTTCTACCGCAATGCACACGCGTTCTTTTAATTCGGTCACGGTAAGAATTTTGTCCTCTATACAATTAGATCTTCTGTAGATATTCAGTGCTTTTGTTATATCTGTCAAGGAAAACTGTCCAGGTTGAAAAATGTAATCGATATATGCTTGTCTTGGATCAATATCAGGATCACCGAGGACATAATCTCCATCTGGTGTTTGTTCTAAAATCGCCGTTTCCCATTCAGAATTGACACGTGCACCGCTTAGCGATAATTGTGCATGCGTTACTTCAACAGTGTCCATATCGGTGGTTCTCCAAACAGCCCATAATCGAGTAGTTGTAAAAGAAAAATCAACTAGATGTTGCTATAAATATCGATTTAAAAATTATCCTTTAAATAAGTGAAAAGTAATGATAAAATAAAAATAAAACTTTTATAAAAAATACTTACATCTTGGGCAAATCTCGTGCATAATCTAATAAATTTAAATATCCCGTTATCTTGAATAGGCTTTAAAATACTGAATTCGCATCTAGTACTAAATTTTAAAAAGATACCCAGGTACAATTCATTATTGGGACCTAACGTTTTTCTCAACATATGACCTTGTGCACCTTGGGATGCAACACGATTATCAATCGTGGCATCGGTTACTGCTACGCATTGAGCTTTATTGCAAGACCACATACGAATGTTTCCCTCACGACATAAAGCAAATAAATATGTATCATTTCCACAACTATGTATCATTAATGACATAGCTACATGGGCTTCGGAACTACGGCCACCAAAAGCAGTTGCTATACCGCTCAGAAATCTTGGCACAATAGAATCTTGTTTCAATTCACTAGTATGTACTAAACCAGTTTTGGTATCTAGTCTCAAAAGAAGGATAGTGCCTGAATTATATGCAAGGGCAAATAATGCTTCTTGTGGAGGAACAAACCATGATGCAGCTGCATGAGGCACTGGAAAATCTATGTAAAGATCCAAATAATTTCAATACAATAATTAAACTTAATGTTAATATATATAATTAATTACTTACTTGTTGTGCCTGCACTAGTAATAACATGAAACATATGAGGATCTTTTACTCTTTTTACATTTTGTGTAGAAGCTTCACTAAATATTGACTGTATACCTACATCTTTGTATGTACTCAATGAATGTTCCTGTACAACAGAATAAAGTGAACACAATGTATGTGAACTAAATTCAAAATGCAATTGGTACTAATAATCTTATTTCAATGATGTTTGTTAATGCTCATAAGATACTTACATTTTTATGAATTGTTTCAGGATGAGGAAATGATAGTTTGTGAATACTAGAAACCGTTACTATTAATATGATAACTGAGTTAATTGTTTCGTGTATAGAAATACCATCCAAGAGTGGTGTATCTGTAAATTTATATCTTACTCTACAATTGGCCAAATTAATGTCTAAACTATGCTCAACCAATTCAAGCACATCATGACAAATATGCCAATAAATAAAACGATTGCGAGTAAAATACTTTGAACAATCATTATACGAATAACCACCAGCTCTTTCTGGAACTTTTATATCTTGTAAGGTGCTTTGGCTTCCACCTGCAAAACAATATCATGGTTATATTATATATTATAAAATAATGACTTATTTGAAAAAATGAAATACAAATAAAATAAGGTTATGCATCTTCTTTATGGAAAATTAATGCTTTACTTTATACCATTATTGAAATTATACGTATTCTTAAAAAGAACCACTATTTATATTTATAAATGAACATAAAAATATTATTTGAGATGTTTCTTTAACAATAATTTTATATCTCCGGTTAAATGAGAGGTTATAATTACTCACCCGTGTTCAATGTAATTTCATTCCATTTTTCTGGAACAGTTTGATCAGGTACAACTTCACGATACCCTAATAGGAATTCTTCCATTTTTTTAACTTATTTTCAAACAAATGATTTGTCAATTTATCTTTTAAATTACATCACAACGGTCCTCCAAATTTTAGCGGGCACCATTCATTCGTGCCATGCTTCACGCTTCGCGCTTCTTATTTTGGCGCTCTCAGTTTTGTAACATTTTATTGTTAATTACTGTTTACACCACTACGGGGAGCCCTGGTAGCTTAGCGGAGAACGCTATCAGCGCGTAATCGCTTGCAGTCATTGCAAGTCGGTGTAAAAAATGTCATAGAAAATAATATTTCCCTTTTAAACATCATGATTTAATTAATGTAACGAGTCAATTAATTCTAATCTGTATCTGATGACATGAACATTAAGATGTATCAACTGTCGTACAAAATATAACCTATAGTAGTTTGTTTATTGATTACTTATTTTACATTACTAATATTTAACAGTGAAACAAAAAACATGAATAAAAAAATTATTACTGCACTTTATTTAATACTGAACATTTTCTTTTCCGTTGTAATTGTATTATTAAATAAATGGCTTTACATTCATATTGGATTTCCAAATATTACATTATCTATGATACATTTTATTATTACTTTTATTGGATTAATAATCTGTGAAAAATTTGATATTTTCTGTATAAAAGATATTGCAATCAAAGAAATATTTTTGATTGCTGCAACATTTTGTGGATTTGTTGTATTGACTAATTTAAGCTTAGCATACAATACTGTTGGAACTTATCAAGTAGCTAAAATGTTAACAACTCCTTGCGTAATAATAATGCAAATAATATTTCACAAAAAGCAATTTAGTATATTTGTAAAGTTAACCCTCATTCTTATCATAACAGGAGTAGTAATTAATTTTTATTACGATATTCAATTTAATATTAGTGGAACAATATATGCAACATTGGGAGTATTTTTAACATCTTTATATCAAGTGGTACAATATCCTACCTTGCTTTCTAAAATATTGAAATTGACCATTAATTAACACAGGCATTTTTAGGTAATGAGTATAAAGCAAAGAGAATTTCAGATGGACCCAATGCAACTATTATATTATCAAGCACCTTTATCCGCTGTTATGTTACTTTTTATTGTGCCATTTTTAGAACCTGTGGAACAGACATTGACAACAAGTTGGTCATTAATAGATTTAGTATGTTAACTTATAAAAATGTTATTTTCCTAATTGCATTTGTAGAAAAAAATTAAGCATATAATTATATATTTTATACTTAGATCCTAGTTATATTGTCAGGAATAATAGCATTCTTTGTCAACTTAACATCCTACTGGATAATAGGAAAAACATCTCCATTAACGTATCCTTTTTTTAATAATTATTATTTTGAAAATTTTTAAATAATTGGTTGTTCCTTATTTAATAATTAGTTATAACATGGCAGGACATTTTAAACTTTGCCTATTGCTTTTAGGTGGATCATTATTTTTTCATGAAACACTAGCTATAAATCAAGTAATTGGTATAACTTTGACATTGATTGGAATTATTTTGTATGCACATGTTAAAGTAAGTGTTGCATATTAATGATATGGTTGTGAAAAAATTTTTATAAATATTTTCTTTTCAGATATAAAATACATAGACAGTAAAATATGAAGAAGAGAAATATTTACTTTATAAAATATAATGGGTTACATAAACAATAAAAAACAATTTTATTTAATTCTACATGATACTTTATTTCCTTGTCACTTGAATTTTTTAAATTCAACCGTCTTTAAGATTTCAGTAGATATTACATGAATCAGAATATAAAAAAAAATTATATGAAAAAGCAAAAGGGGAGGTCACCGTCGTACCTAGGGCTAAGAGGATGATTAATTCGAACTGTCGTTCAAACTAATGAAACTTTTAAAATTATAGACTCATGCTCAAATATTTTCCCAGGTACACCGGACCCTACTATACGCATGCTTCAAACTTGTTTATATAGAAACTGACTACTGCTTCAAGCACTTGCGAGAAAATGATAAAACAGTGAGACATCTACAAATGAAAAATGGTATTAAAAGTAGCATAAAGTTCACTGTATATTAAACAATAATATGTTTCTCATAAATATTTATTGTGAATTTCATAATTATGAGTTTTGCAAGATATTAATTACGGACTACTTCATATTTTCATAAAATTGTTTATCGTTTCAACTTTGAATGTTATTTTCATTTATCAGTTGAGGGAAAATTTATCATAAACGAATTGAAAAACAATTGTAATTTTCATGATATTACAAATTTAAATTGAAAGAATTAAAAACATTTCTTACGGCTCACTTCACTTAAAATTACGTTTCTATAGCAACGGGATAGAGTGGGGATAAAAGGCCGCTGTTTGTATAACGTGCTTTTCAAAAGGATTTTTATAATATTTAAAAAGCATGAAGATCGAAGAAGTAAAAAGTACTGCAAAAACTCAAAGAATTTCGGCTCATACGCATATAAAAGGTTTAGGTCTCGATGAAAATGGTGTAGCTATACAGACTGCAGCAGGTCTCGTTGGTCAAGAAACGGCTCGTGAGGTTAGTATATTTTGTATATTGATGAATTTTTTATATTATACAACAATTTTATATCGGTGTAGCGCGACAAGAATACTCGAAATAAATGTTCCTTTTAGTAAAGTGAATAACAATTTCTAGGCTGCTGGAATAGTAGTTGATATGATAAAATCAAAGAAAATGGCTGGCAGAGCGGTATTATTAGCTGGCCCACCAGGTACTGGAAAAACTGCAATAGCACTTGCTATTGCCCAGGAATTAGGTAATAAAGTACCATTCTGCCCTATGGTGGGTTCAGAAGTATATAGTTCTGAGATAAAAAAGACAGAAGTTCTTATGGAAAATTTTAGACGAGCTATTGGTCTTAGAATTAAAGAAACTAAAGAAGTATATGAAGGAGAAGTTACAGAATTAACTCCAGTTGAAACAGAAAATCCAATGGGTGGATATGGAAAAACAGTGTCTCATGTAGTTATTGGTTTAAAAACTGCCAAAGGCACAAAGCAATTAAAATTGGATCCTTCCATATATGAGTCTTTGCAAAAGGAAAAAGTAGAAACTGGAGATGTAATTTATATAGAAGCAAATAGTGGTGCTGTAAAAAGACAGGGTAGAAGCGATAATTTTGCTACAGAGTTTGATTTGGAGGCAGAGGAATATGTTCCTTTACCTAAAGGTGATGTTCATAAGAAGAAAGAAGTTATTCAAGATGTAACATTGCACGATTTAGATGTTGCTAATGCTAAACCACAAGGTGGTCAAGATGTTATGTCTATGATGGGTCAATTAATGAAACCTAAGAAGACAGAAATTACAGGTAATATAATATGAATTTAAATTACTTAAACAAATTTAAATAAATTATTAACTTGAATTATCTTTTTCAGATAAATTGCGTAAAGAAATAAATAAAGTGGTTAATAAGTATATTGATCAAGGAGTTGCAGAACTAGTTCCAGGTGTCCTATTCATTGATGAAGTACATATGTTGGACATAGAAACATTTACTTATCTTCACCGTGCTCTGGAAAGTGCAATTGCTCCTATAGTTATTTTCGCTACAAATCGCGGACGTTGTGTAATTAGAGGAACAGAAGACATTGTATCACCACATGGAATACCTCTTGACCTTTTAGATAGGTTACTCATTATACGAACGCTTCCATATTCTAGAGCAGAAATAGAACAAATAGTTAAGTTAAGAGCTACAACAGAAGGACTACAAATCGAAGATGAAGCTTTGACAACTCTGGGAGAATTAGGAACAAAAACTACATTAAGATATGTAATACAATTATTAACTCCAGCGGCATTAACGGCAAAAGTAAACGAGAGAACAATTATTAAGAAGGAAGATATCGAAGAAGTAGGATCATTATTTTTGGATGCAAAGTCTTCTGCTAAAATTCTTACTCAGAATAAGGACAAATTTATGAAGTAAAAATGTTTATTTAGGTATTATTTAATATTAATACATTAATTACTAATGCGTTCATTCAATGTAATGTAAATAAGAGGAAGTTGTACAAACGTTGAATTTGTTATAAAAACAAGTATGTATTTGAAATAAAACTGAATTTCTATACAACATAAATATTAATTTAAACTGCAGTTTTTTATTTCAAATGATAAGTAATGAAATTAGATTACACATACTAAGGTAATTTCTCAATATTGTTTAAAATGTTCTATAACTCAAGGTTACAAAAGTTCAAACTGTAATCAGAAGTAGTGACATCATAGTATGATAGGTCTGAGGGTATAAAATCTCTGTCCACTTTAAGAAGCTCCTTAGTTTTCTGGGATATATCAAGTAATCATATTCTTATTGACTTCATATATGAAATACGGTTGTTTATATTTCGAAACCTACTTATAAATTCATATATCGTTTCATGCTTAAAATTTATTATTTATCATGTTATGTACATTGAAAATGAAAAAGTGTTCAAGATTGTTCAATAGAAACAATGTAATTCGACATACACGTAAATTAACATTAAACAATTTGTCTAAGGGAAAACTTGAACAATTATTGTCACAACAGGATGAATTTCAAGCCAGACACATCGGACCTCGTGAACACGAGCAATTACAAATGTTGGAAACTGTTGGATTTAAGGTAACATTCTATTATTTATATATAAAATAATGCAAAGTAATAAAATCGGATTTATAAAACATTCGTTGACTCAATTTTATAGACCTTAGAAGAATTAACGAAAGCAGTAGTTCCAACTAAGATCCTATACAAAGAAGAATTAAAGATTGAGCAACCAGTTAGTAAGTAAGATCATCATACGTGTACGAATGTATGCGAAATAACATGTTGAAACATTTGGGAAGAAAATTATAGTATGCATAAGCGTGCGAAGTCACGAGACTTTTGATATGAAACATGTGCAAAGCGATAACCCTTTGATACTGAAATAAACAAGTTAGGGGTATAAACATCCAATGTTGTTACCGATGTCTAGTTGATTAAATAAATTTTAAAGTAAATAAAGAAACAATATTTCTTTTAAAAAGGATACTATTTGCCTTTTTTTAATTAAAAACTCATCTAGTTTTAAACTATAAAGAATAAATAAGATTATGACCTTTCATTGTATATGTGAACGTATCTTGGATCAGAGGTCAATCTCGTGCATTCAGCTCGACATTCACGTGATTTTTTAGAACAAAAGACTAACTAGAATCTACTTTGATTACAAAAGTATTACACTCACATGTTTACAGGATATAATAATTATGTTGCAGCTGAATACGAATTATTGAAAAGGATTACAAAAATTTCGGAAAAGAATGACGTATGGCGTTCATATATCGGTATGGGCTATCATAATTGTTGCGTTCCTCATACTATTATGAGGAATATATTCGAAAATCCAGGATGGTAAGCTTTCATAGAACATAAATAATGTGTACTAGATTTAATATAACTAAGATAATTAGTATAGCTCTATTTAAGGACAACACAATATACACCTTATCAGCCAGAAATATCGCAAGGTAGACTCGAAGGTCTCTTAAACTATCAAACAATGATATGTGATTTAACTGGAATGGAAGTAGCAAATGCATCCCTTTTGGACGAGGGTACAGCAGCAGCGGAAGCTTTGGCTCTTGCTTACAGGAGTAACAGAAGAAAAAAGTTGTTTGTTTCCGATAAAGTTCATCCTCAGACTATCAGCGTTATTTCTACGCGTGCTAATTCTCTCGGTCTTACTTTTGAAATTGGAGATGTTCATCAAGTCGATACCAGCGCAAAAGATATTGCCGGTATTCTTTTACAATATCCTGATACAACTGGCTCCATTTATGATTTCAAAGACATTGTGCAAAAGGCACATACAGATGGTGTATGTATTCCGTTCTACAAGTTGGAATCGTTAAATCAAACTGTTAAAAAAATAAAATTATTTGCTCTCTTTTTTAGACACTGGTTTGCGTAGCCACTGATTTATTAGCATTAGCTGTACTTAAACCTCCAAGCGAGTTTGGAGTCGACATATGCGTTGGTACGAGTCAACGTTTTGGTGTGCCGCTTGGGTACGGAGGTCCTCATGCTGGATTTTTTGCATGTCGGCAAAAATTGGTGCGTTTGATGCCTGGTAGAATGATCGGAGTTACAAAAGATTCGTGTGGTCGGGATGCGTATCGTTTGGCTCTCCAAACACGCGAACAACATATCAGAAGAGACAAAGCTACTAGCAATATTTGCACCGCACAAGCATTATTGGCAAACATGTCTGCAATGTATGCAGTGTACCACGGACCCGAAGGCATAAGAAATATTGCGAACAAAGTACACTCTTTGACTCTGATTCTCGCAAAAGGATTGGAAAATGCAGGGAACAAAATAGAAAATGAATATTTTTTCGATACTGTCAAAGTACTGCCTAAAATACCTATAAAGACTATTCAGCAAAATGCAAAAGCATTTAAAATAAATTTTAGGTAAATGAACGACGAATAAATGATATAGTAATTTGACGAATAATTTGGTGAATCTTTTCAGATATTATAATGATGGAGTTGGGATATCTTTGGATGAAACTACTACAGTTCAGGACATAAATGATATCTACAAAATATTTTCTGTAGATACGACCGTTGAAGAAGTGTGTCAAAATGAATCTTATACGAACAAAAGTCTCAATGAATCACAGTTTGTTCGCACTACACCATATTTACAACATCCTATATTCAATAGTCATCAATCTGAAACCAGAATCGTTCGATATATGAAGTCTTTGGAAAATAAAGATGTATCTCTCGTACATAGCATGATACCATTGGTAAATTGCGCCTGATTAGTGTATAATTTATGCTATCAACACCATAACTATACTTGTAATTATTTTAACAGGGGTCCTGCACTATGAAATTAAATTCTACCACAGAAATGATGCCCTGCAGTTTTCGAGGATTCACAGAAATACATCCTTTCGTTCCTGTCGAACAAGCCAAAGGATATCAACAGCTGTTTGCCGAATTGGAACAAGATCTTTGTGCTATAACAGGCTACGACAGTATAAGTTTTCAACCGAATAGCGGAGCTCAAGGAGAATATGCTGGATTGAGAGCTATACAATGTTACCATGAATCTAATGGAAACAAGCACCGACAAGTATGCTTGATTCCTATTTCCGCACACGGTACCAACCCTGCTTCAGCTCAAATGGCTGGCATGCAAGTGAAGCCTATTTTGGTACAGAAAGACGGTTCTGTAGATATTGCACATCTAACAGAAACGATTGACAAATATCGGGAGACATTGTCCTGTTTAATGATAACGTATCCATCTACGAATGGCGTGTTTGAAGAGTCGATTAGCGATATTTGTTCAATAGTTCATCAAGCTGGAGGGCAAGTGTACTTGGATGGAGCTAACATGAATGCCCAAGTTGGGTTGTGTCGTCCAGGTGATTACGGTAGTGACGTTTCCCATTTGAACTTGCATAAAACTTTCTGTATACCTCATGGTGGAGGAGGGCCTGGAATGGGACCTATTGGGGTGTAAGTAAAATTATTTTAACGTTTGCTGTGTTATTGTAAAAAATATAATAACGTGTTCATTTACAGTAAACGACATCTTACACCTTTTCTTCCATCGCATCCTGTGATCGATTGTTTGGGTAACGGTAACAATGATATAAAACGATTTGGTACGGTGTCAGCTGCACCTTTTGGATCGTCAGCTATTTTACCAATTTCGTGGGCGTATATAAAGATGATGGGTCCTAAAGGATTACGAAAAGCCACGCAAGTTGCAATTTTAAATGCCAATTACATGAGTAAACGTTTGGAGAAGTATTATAAGACTTTATATAAAGGAAATACAGGATTAGTAGCACATGAATTCATTCTGGATATACGAGAATTCAAGAAAACGGCTAACATTGAAGCTACAGATATCGCGAAAAGATTGATGGACTATGGCTTTCATGCCCCGACAATGAGTTGGCCTGTAGCAGGCACATTAATGATAGAACCAACTGAATCTGAAGATAAGAAAGAACTAGACAGATTTTGCAATGCTCTTATTTGTACGATTATTATACTTTTTATAAACCTTTTTTCTTCAATAAGTTAGATAAATAAGTAGTAAAAAATTGTATATTCCAGCTATAAGGCAGGAAATTAATGACATTGAAAATGGAAAACTAGATATCGTCAAAAATCCATTGAAAATGGCGCCACATACGCAAGAGCAAGTGATATCGAGTACTTGGGATCGACCGTACTCGCGAGAATTGGCGGCATTTCCAGCTGTAAGTATTTATACGTACACATGTAATAAAGCGGTGATAATTCATACCGATTTATATTTCAGCCATTTGTAACAGGAAGTAATAAAATTTGGCCAAGTGTTGGGAGAATAGATGATATATACGGTGACAAGAATCTATTTTGTACGTGCCCCCCAGTTTCAGTCTATCAATAAGCGTTTGTAATTATTCATCCTGTACAGTTAGTTATAGAACTATTTAAATATTTATTGTAATTTTTTGTACAAACATATTATTTATATAAAATGTTATACTTTTACAAGCAGACAAAATATAACAGAGACTTGATTGAAAACTTAGTTCTTTTTCTTAGCAAACAAAAGGCATACCGTTTCAGTTTGTATTCTTTATCCTTTTAATAATATATGTCTATTGAATAGATATATTTACATTGTACATTATTACAAATTACTTCCTTAATATTTATACATATATTACAAACCAGGCATAAGGTATGCAATATTGTCGAGCATTTGCGAAAGTGTCTCGTGTTTAGCTCCATTAGTTTCCGGTATCTGTTGCGTTAGACAGATTAAAGGACCCAGAGCACATAATAGAGAATCCAGCAAAACCGATAGACTGCCCGAAACTGCGATTTGTCCATCGTGTTCTTTCAACCTTTCACCAATGATCGTTAAACTCTCACCAAGAAGTTTCAGATGCGCGGCTACATCAATGGGTTGCGTTCCAACAACTTTATACATTCCTGTGCCTATCATTGGTTCGTTAACCAGATCTTTCCCGGTTCGATTCGATGGTGGCGATACCGGAACGTTCCCTACAACGGACGGTAGACCTAGCTGAATAGTGTTTTTAGACGTAGCAGGCTTTTGCTCTTTGCCATTACCTGTAATGGAAGGAAAAGGAACATAAAACTTACCGCGTGTTCGACTTTAAACGAGATACATGCATACCAAACAAATGAGAATAAAATATCTACCATGTAATTTTTAGGCATAAAAATAATATTTTATCCGATAAATTGTTGACTAATACGCGTGCACGAGAAGCAAATTAAGATAAACGAACTACCACATAATCTTTACAAACATACTCATAAAAATGATGTATACATGAGAACTAACAAACCCACCAATCTTATTAATGAATTTTTTTCGCGAAGCAGGCGGCGGCATTTTCCAAACAGGCTCATCTTTACTCGCAGGTAAAGAATGAGGTTTTGCTGCCAAGCGTTTTGCGCGTCTGCGCCAGTTATATTTTTCCAGATTTGGAACAGTTGCCCATAGTTCTCCTAACCGTTTAGAAATTGCTGCAAAATCTATAAAAAGCAATGTTTCACGAGTAACATTAGCGCCATTTGACGATTCGTTTGTAGTACATAAAAACAAGTAAAGTTTATATACCCATATAAGGACACTGCTCTAGTAATTCCTGCCTAATTTCTTTAGCCCATAACATGTAAGCAGTAAATCTTGTTTTCTGAAAATATCACTGAACTGTAATATAATCCCCTTAGAAACTTTCATATGTACATACCCCTTTGTCTTTTCGTTGTGCCTTCATTCTACCTATTATTTTACCATCTTTAATAATTAGTTTTTTCTTACATTTCTCAAGCATATATAAACTGTTTGCTTGCGAAGGCGTTTCTTGGCCAGGTGGTTCAAGTTTTCTAAAACCTGCTTCTCTATCATCTATCATAAGAGAATCTACTTCATCGTCGCTTCCAGAGTCTATACTATATCTTTCATCTTCATTTAATCCGGATGGGTCATCGGATTCTGTTTCCGAAGTCTGCTCTTCGTTATCTGATAATATTTCTGTTTTCATTCTTTCCTGTCCAGTACTAGAATTAGAATTTCTCCTCTGTCGTCCACCGCTTCCATGTTGAATAGACTGATTTGGCGATATACGTTGTGACTCATATCTGTCCAAGAATTGTTGATTTTGTAATTGTTGAGCTTTTTGACGTTTGTACTTGCTATCCGCAAAATCATCTGGTGACTCGAAGTCAACAAGCTTGGAAGATTTCTTTCTCACACGGCCACTGCGGGAGATACCCGTGACCTCTAGATCTGAAAGATAAAGCGGACTGCACCTTGCCAAGAAAGAGAAAGGGATCAAAATACTTTGTAACATTTAACTACCACTCTTACAACTCTGGGATTCAAGTTCATTACATCAATGCAAACAATAAGTGTGTGTGGATATTCCGACCTAGTTTATCGTGTATTTGTTATTTTACATTTTTCTGATAGGTTCAAGAATTCTTTTAAGCGACTGAGACACCGACAATTTAATCTCGTGGACGCGTATTATGTGCCATAGAACTACTTCGTATAAATATATAAGTAAAGAGGTCTTTGTTTCGTGTGAATAAACATTAGTTATTTATGAAATAATTAACAAATATTACTAAATATTGTTCAAAATTATATGAATGTAATTTATTTCGACAACATTATATCTCAATACATAATGGTTTCGTTATCAAAGCTTGTATATTTTACACAACTTCGCATGTTTGAAAAGCTTAGCCACGAACGAGTTGTACACACCGATAGTTTCACGATTTTCCGCTATGAATGGAAGCGCTAGTAACTGAAACGTAAATGGGACTAAATATTGCAAGGAAATTGATAAATTTGTTACAAACGCGCGCAAATCATGCGAAATACTGCAAGCGATACGAGCAAACAAACAATTGATCTACCACTTGTGTTCTGTTATGAAATAAAAGCTGATCTCACCGTCATTTTTCTGACGTTTTGGTGTCACGAACATATCCATAGCGTCGCTTTGTTGCTCTGTGAGCTTCTTCCGCCGCGGCGTCTTCTCGGATTTCGCGGGCTTACAAATGCTGGTGTGCATTGTGCGCTATTAAATTTTTGCCCTTCCAAAGTAAATACATCTGTCTAAACTTTAGCTATTTTTCTAGCAGAAATTTCTCTTCACTGATCAAACTTTATTTATTTCCAAGAGGTTTTTAAAAACAACTGCCACAAAGCAAACCAGAATGCATTGCGCAGTACGTATGACGCATTTACGTCGCTGCGCGCGTAATTTGGACTTTATTCACTCATCGAAATTAAATAAAAGATTCGGTCTAAAACTTAAGATAAGAAAATTACAACATATATTGAAAAAATATATATGAAAATTATAAAAACTTATTATTTTCAATATTACAAAGTTTATTGAAATTAACTAGTTAAATAGTAAAAAAAAATTAAATATTGTCTTCTTGTTGCCAGCCATCTTCATCGGATAAAAATCTTCTTTTGTGGGTGGTATTCATATAAGGTCTTAAAGCCCATTCTACATCAGCAGCTGATTCTGCATCTAAAGTACCTAATTTAATTTCGTACAATTTTAACTGAAATCTAGGTCCAACTTCTGTCAATTCAATGTCTTTTCCATGAACCTTTTTATACGTATGATGTCGGAATGATATATAATCATCATGATTAGCAAAGGTGATTATTCTTTTACTGTCTTCTTTTGGTACCGGGAATAGGTATTTTAAGATACTCATAACACGTGTACCTAACTTTGTTTTAAAGTTGTGGAAGATAAGATGAGGATATTGTTCTGACATTGTACCAATATCAGGCACATCGTGTCTCATAACAACATCTGACATAGTAAAGTACGCTGTAGGACCATATGGTAAATGACAAATGATAAGAGAATCAGGTATACCTCTATGTTCATGAACAATTATAAAATCTGTAACGTCGTTTGCACGACAGGCATGTATAAGTTGCTTCATTTCATAGTTTCCTCTATTCATTCTTTGAGAATTGGGGAATATTAAACGTAATTCTTTGGCAAACATTTTCAGCCGAGAACTAGGATCACGAGAAGTGGTAATTACAATTTTTGGATCTTCAACACCAGCCCATCGATATTCATCATCCTCGTGAGAACCTAGAGTTCCTCCCATTTCTGTTCCCATGGCCACAGCCATTTCTGGGCCTGCATCTTCCCAATCTAATTTCTGTTGTATATTCAAAGCATCTTTCCTTAAATCTGGATGTATCGGTACATTTTCTTCCAAACTGCGTTTCAGTTTTTCTTTCTTTTCTTGAATATTTTTCAATTTATCCTGAACTGATTTTCTGTAGAGGTATTCTCTACGAAGTCTTGCTTGTCGTCGCAACATTTTGATCGTTTAATGCGTATCTTTCCTTGTATATCTTCAGCATGAAAAGACTGTGACAGATAATTACAGGTTATATTAGATGAACACGTGTTTACACATTATCATAAATATTTTTATGTTATACTCGATTTATTTAAAGACGAAGCAATACAATATTCAGATTTTATGTTAATAAATTTTTATCAATTACCATAAACGTAGTTCTAAATGAAAATTTAATTATAAAACAACAATGGAGCGCAACATGCTTCGTATACGTAGTAGTGTATCCATATATAGGACGCATATTTGATAATACAAATGGAAATATCTTTTTCGAAAACATATATTAAACGATTTAAAAACATTTAACGCGATAATATAAATATTTCATTATATATTTGTAAATTAGAAAAGAAATTATTATATCAGATTTTGTATATCGCGCTGAAATATGATTGGTCCATCATATTAGCGATTGACCAATCAGAGCGCTTGATCGGCAGCCAATGATTGATTCCATTAGTAAAAATACAAAATTAGTAGCGTTGCTTTTTGTATTAACAGTTTACGTGGTCGTGTATAATTGAAGTGCGCGTAAAAAGTGTCGAAGTGAAAAAAAGTGTGAAATTTGTGCATAAATTGCTGTCATCGTTAGAAAAAAATGATGGTAAGTCTTTCTTGAGATAGTTAGTAAAGATATAAATAATTGTTTTTTTCCGATCGATGAAATATCTTGAAAATTAACTTTTCGATTAGTTGGCGTCCTTTTGACGCGTCCTTTTGTTAGACGAAAAAAGCAATTCTATACGATTAATTTGATGTTATACATCAAAACATTCGTATTAGCTATACATAGAATGACATTTATTTCGATATTATAGATGATTTACGGAAAAATGTGTATGGAGAGTGCTGCAGAAAATTTCCACGATTCTGTTCGGAGCATCAACCATTACAGGATCAAATGGACGATAATCAACGAAATCGGTGAGTCAAATTTTGTTCTTGATTTTTTTAATTCTGATACAAAGAATGCCTTTGTTATGGAAGTATCAAGTTATTTATTTGAAAAGTAAGTCTTACATTAAGTAAAACATAAGGTATCTTATATATAGCCTTTATAGAGATTCGTGTGTCAGTAGAATATTGCATCTATTACGCGGGAAAAATTGCATTCGAAAAATATTAAACTGCGCCACCTGTCGATATTTCTTTCGATGTTCCTTTTATTCGACGGTCGGTAAATCACGATTAATAATGTCTTTTGTTCTTTAGTCGATAACTTGATCGAACCATGATAAAGGATCGACAGAATTTATTTAATTGAAAATATTTGCGTCAGATATCACTGCTATCATTTATCTTTATAATGTTAGATAATTAACAAATGTTACACGAATAACTCGATTGCTCGAAACTGTAGTTTAATTGTAGTGGAAATTGAAAAAGTTTTAAACGCCATACTTAATATCGTTCGTTCATAATTTACGGCGTCCGCAGTTAATTGCAACCAGCTTGTAATTCCGTCTCGTTCGCGTTCTTTGATTCAGCCGCCTTCCTCTTCGAGGAATAGAATTTTTCAAGCTGTACTTAATTAACGATGAACTCTGCAAATCATATTCACAAAGGCATTCTTTGTCAAATTTCCGAATACTTAGTCGTCCATGTACCTACGCGCATTCGTTTCTATTTTAAATTTATAATTTTATTCGCACATTTTTCATCGTAAACCGTTGTAATTTACACGTGTTATAAGACGAACATCGAGGAACAATAGAGCAAACATCGGCTTAGCGGTTACTTATTAATTATTTATAAGAGATACGCGCACTTTTACAATAACGTAGAACGTAAAAAATTTGTGTACGACGTTTTATATGTTTTTCTTTCGTTGTATAACGGGGTTCTGAATCGAGTTTTCTTTCGACACCTTCGAAACTTTCACACCGCGTTTCGAAATCGTCTAAAATCTTCGAAAGATTTCTACGTTCCGTTCCAGGCGGTCCGAGCATTTATTTATTTCTATGAAATATTTGAGTTTATCGGTTACGTAAGTTCCTTCAAGGAAAGGACAGAAGGATAGAGTCTGATCGGGGTAGCGAATTAGGTAGAATCGACTGGTCGTTTAAACGGTTTCTCGCAAGAGTATCGCGGAGTTGGTGGAAAGCGTGCGCGAAAGAGGTAGAATCGCAAAGGAAGGGTCGGGGAGGAGAAGAGTCTTGGTGCTCGATGCTCGTGCCGTGTACGGCGCGGCGCCTCGTAATTCATTTAGACGGTAGCTCGACGAGACAGGCTCAATTACAGCCGCGGCAAAAAAGCACAGGAACGAGTAGCTTCTTCGTACGACGTGCGTGGTCCGTGTAAGAGCGCGTTGCCGCTCGAAAACGCGTCGCGTCGCGTTGCGTCGCGTCGTGCCGTCCCGTTTTGTTCCGTTCCATTCCGTGTCCTTCTTTTCTTTCAATGGGCCAAAGAAGCCTCCCAGGCTCGTGTCCTGCGTCACTCAACCGGCCACCGTCGACATCGTTAAAGGCTTTTTGTCATCCGTTTTGCTCGACTCCGCTGCCATTAAGCTCGTTCCTTCGTACGTGCAAAACGTCCAGAATTCCTCGCGCAGACACAGAAAGAGAATAGCGTATGGCATAGCCAGCTGTTTCGATGATCTTCCTCGTGTCCGGAACTTTGCGTTTTCTTCTCGGCTTTCTTTCGCCGCGTTTACGGCGAAATCGGGTGAATCGCGATGAAAATCTACGAGGGGAAATAAAGCGATAAATCGTGGAAAGAATCGGTAGGAAAGCTTGGCCCGGCACGATTCGAGCTGTTCGCTCGAGATAGTTTTTGTAGGTTGAATCGGGGAACACGAAGCTCCGGCAACGCGTGCACAAAGAAAATGCAGCTACTGTTCTCTGGTAAAAAGGGGTAGGGAAGGGTGAGCAGGTTTAATCGGCCGGCTCAGACCGAGACAATGGAGCCCGGTGTTGATGGCAATATTTTAATGAAGTTAGCAAGTTCCCGGTAGTCGGCCGTCGGTTCGACGTCGTAGACGCGATTCCAGGAGCGTGAACGAGAGAAGCCCTTAAGGGCAGAGGGAGGAGGCGCCACCCAACCACTGATTTCCACTTACCGATATCGTTCGAGACAAAGCTTCCTTCATCTTATGGCTGCTTACTGGCTGCCCGTTCCCCTCTTTCTCTCTTCGCTTTCTCTTAGGATTTCGATCCGTTCGCGGTAGCTGTTCGCAACGGATTTCATCCTTTTACGCTAGAAACAGCGCGATTCTTCTATCCTTTCGACAGTTTAATCGACAAAATTATTATTCGATCGAGAACGAATTAGTTGCGCGATCGTGAGTAAACGTCGATCGCCTCGTTATCGAGGCTTTTGTACGTTACAAATCGGGCCAGAATCGATAGAGACGTTTAATCTGATTAATCCGAATCGATCATCGTTGGATCGTTTGCATATCGAGGGATAGTCGGGGGGGAACGTCGAAGGATCGCGAACGAGAAGGGCCGCGATGATCGGCGTTGACCGAGCATCGATCCGCGAGCGAAATGAAATCGCGCGAGCAAACAAGTCGCTTTGCATACAACCCGGGATTAATTTGATCGATGCTTCGCCTAGTATCGATTCACGAGAAAATGCGATTATCCCGTTGGCGAAACGTACGACGACAGGCATTTTCTGCCGGATTTTCAACGGCTCTTCGCGCTTGTTTTCGCCGCTAACGGATTATTAGCTTGGCGCGCGTTTATCTACCTCGCGTCTCGATGATACCGTAAGATAACGTGTTCTACGATTTCATACTCCGCTCACTTTCGGTCGATGCCGTTCTACGAGCTAACGAGAGGATAGCTTCTTAATTAGTCGAGCAATTAATGCGAATCAGAGGCTGTGACGACGATTCTACCATCGCATCGTCTCGATTCGATAGCGTGTTAGAGCGGTATTATTTCGGCCGAGAGAAGGATTTTCCAGTAAGTCCTTTCGGCCCCGACGAGACGTAACGTTTGCTCCGTTACGAATCCACAGGAAAGAAACGAAAATTCTCGGCGTTGCGGTGTTTACGATCTCGAGAGTATGGCGAAGAACACAGCCGGTATCACCGGGGGGAAATCACCGTGCAAAAGCCAAGACGTTACGATTGCCCCGTTCGGTCGTAAACTTTCGTTGATTCTAATCGAGCGCATGTAATTAGAGCGAGAGCAATTGTCGGTAATTAATTGGAAGTAAATTAATTAGCTCGGATCGAATAGAAAGTGGAAAATTACAAAGTACCTATTCCGATTCCGAGCGATCCCGTTCTTCGTTCTCGCGTCCGAATCGAATCTATTCATCGAACGAAAGAGCGGACGAACGAGACACGGCGTTATCATCGTAGAAAGCTTTACCGCTCGAATTCTTCCTCGATAAAGTCGGGATCGGGCCGTTTCGATCGTGGCCGAAAACGTAAATCAGCCAGAACCGAATTCCCATTCGAATTCCGTGGGATTTCCACGGGACTACGAGATCGTTACCCGATAATGCAAGGCCAGCAGGACGCGATCGCGTGTGCGAAATAGGTGGGCAAAAGGGGGAACCTTAAAGAGTGCCAGCATCTCGTCCGAGAGAAGGACGTCGATGGCTATCCGATTCTTCCCGATCCCTCGAATCGACCCTCTTTTCTTTCTCTCGCACGGACAATACGAGACCGTGCGATTTTGCCCAGATTTCCTCTTCCCTAATTTATGATGGACAGAAGCAATTTGGACAACGAATCCGACGCAACCCCGAACTTTATCGCGAATCCGAGAGAAGAAAGTTCGACGACACCGCGCCAATTATAATTCGTTAGGACGCGAAGGTAATGGGCGAAAGTTTTCGAAACGAAAGTTGACGCGAGAATCGATATCGCAGCCGAGAATCGAACGTCTCGCGAGAGAACGGTTTTTCCTCGAAAGTCGGCGAAGAAATAGCTTTCCGTCGCTTCATCGAGTCTCCAACGTTTTAGCAAAAGTTGGAGGGTAATTTCTTGCTTTTCTCATCAAACTCTGCTCTTCGGAGGGATAAGGTATCGTTGGAAGGGTTCCAGGATAAGGTAAAGTTTACGGGGGATCGCGTGGTTTATGGCTTTCCACCGGTGTTTTCTACTCACCCCTCCGTTTTCTCGATTTTCATCGTTCGTTCGCTGGACCACCGCCACCCTCCATCGCTCATTTTCTTGAATTTTACGACCACCTTGCCACTGCCTCGTACTTCTTATTTCCCTCCCGTCCTTTCTTCCTTACAGTTTACTACGAAGAACGAATTTCTCAGCGAACTTC